GGTCAAAAGGGTATAATGATTTTTTTTTCTTTTTTAAAACCTTCAGTAAACAATCAACGGTATTTTTATTATTTATGTCGACTGATATGTCAAATCGATTTGACATATTCAGTGCCATATCAGTTCAACATTTTTTTTATTGTCTCTCGATGATCCCTCACAGCTTATCTATAAATATGAAAATCCATGCAACATTAAAACAAGTTGAACCTATTCCTTTTCTCTTTTTCTTACTTTATTTTTTACATGAATCATTTTAATTTGCTCATCAAAATACAAACACTGACACACACATTGCCTTTACCTCTAACCATCCTTACTTTCTATCTTTTTAAGAATAACCCCAAATCGAAATTTGACACCAACAGTTATTAAAGAAAAGTTTTAAAACTTTTTAATCATATCTTATCCGAATACAAGAAAACCACAAATTATAAGAATTATTAATCATTCCATACAAGATGATATGAAGTTGGATTTTCTGAATTATTAATTCAGTGAAAATATTGGATTTAACAATTTCTGAAAAGAAATCTTGGAATTGCTGTAGCAAATTCAAGTGGTAGGCCTGTGGGTATCAAATCCAGCGTTTTGATGGGTCCAGCAATGGTGGCATGCAGCAGAAGATATTAATATTATACTAAGATGATTTCATTGTTGCTCTTCTTAATAATGAAGGCTCCATCACCTACTTCTCAATAATGTTACTAGACTGAAATCTATGTACTTGAAAGGAAAGGTTGAATTACGTTACATTACATTGCTTGCAATAAGTTATATAGTGAATCATCAATTTTAGCATGTTATTAATTTGTACAAGAATTATCGTGCTTTTGATCTATGTTGTTCGGATTTTCATTTTCTTTCAAATAATCGTGTTTGACATATATTTAAGGGACATAAATATGAAAATCCCGCGTTCATGTCTGTAACGTACACTCGGATCCTACACATTTCCAAATCCGAGTAATGTTAGCTTTTCATTTAGTGATTTATTATTGTTTGTAATTTGTATAGAGGAAGCCGTTAATCACACGCGAGACGGGATGAAGCAGCGCGAGCAAAGTGCGTAGCCATCGGCCAAAAAAATGGCCTAAAAAAAATAAATGAGCATAGCCCAATATTTGCTATTTAAACATCTGAAAACCGCCCGTGAAATCACCACTCGTATCATGACGCACAGGCCAGTCCATATTAATTTGTGAAATTTTATACGTTTCATGTCTATCATATCTTATAATTTTGTTTTATAAAAAATATCTCATTATGAATTTTTTTTCAAAATCAATTTTAATATATAACTTATATAAAATTTATAATATTTTTATAAGATCATAAAATTCTCTTTCATTTTAATAAAGACTCAATACTTTCGGTGATACAATATTAATATTCTAGAGTCGATTATAATATCTTAATTGATATTAATTTATAAAATATTATTTATTTTAATTTATTAAATTTCATAAATTTATCTAAAAAATTCATAAATTAAAACTAATATGAATATTTATATTTTAAAATCAACTCTATCACCACCAAACAAAGTAAAGTTTATCAAACAGTGAAGTAAATTAAAGCCTGCTGCCCTTGCTGCCCTCCTCTCCTCTCCTCCTTTCACTACCATAACTCTCTCTTCCTACACTCTTTTCCTTCCAAAGATACATTTTTGCCGCAATTTCTTTTACTCTTACAAGTTACAACAAGTCCTGAAAAATGGGATCTGGGACAATAAATTGGAAAAAGGTAAATAGTTCCAAAGATGTTTTTGACTGTCTGTTTTGTGCAACTGGGCAACTAGAAAACGATCCCAAATTGGAAGTGTTGAAAATCATGTAGAGAGAGAGGTAGAAGTGGGACCATTTTTTATTGAATGAAATGATGTCTTTCTTTACTTCACTGAGAGCCTGCTGCCTCTGCAGTTCTCGATGAGCGAGGGAGTGAAGGAAGTGGGAAGAAGTAAGCCTTATTATAATAATAATAATGTTTTGTTCGCTATGTTGGATTGATATTATTAAATAGACTATGTTAAGAAACAAAAGCATTATAAATGGGATGTGGGGGAGAGAAGATAAGGTGATGCAACTGTGATAATGCAAAGTAATTAAAAGAAACGAACCCAACAACAAGATCTTTCTCCCCTGGATTCTTTTTATCCAATCGAACCTCTTCTTGCAGAGAACATGTCTCTTTATTCATGTATTTCTTAATATAAAGTTGGAAAATATCATCAAACACTTTATTGTTTATTATATTGACGTTTTACAGAGAGTAAAAGGGGTGCTTTTTTCCGCTTCTGATTAATTTGTCAATCTCAACAGTTGCTTTCGAATCAGGGCGCTGAAGGGTTTTCTGTGTTTTGGATTGGTGTTGCTGTTCCAGAAGAAAAAAAAAACGAACAGGCAACACCCAACTACACATGTTTCCTTTCCATTTTCTCTTTCTTTTCCGAACCCCTCACCTCTGCCAGAAACGACTGTCGTCTTGATGACACAGGTTCTCACCTGTATTTAAATTTCCTCAGTCAGTTTACCACACTTTACTGATACATTTAAACCTATCATAAACAGATAGATTTGCAATGATATCAGAAAATTAACTTTTCCATTAATAAAACTTTATCAGATATGAAATGTTTTAGGTGGGTTTTTGCTTCTGCATGCAAATAATCATTTAACTAATCATCAATATGGTTACATAAACAACAAGATAATGAAAGTTGTATCCCATCCCAAGAATATTGTCTTGTAAGAGATATAAATAATCCTAGCAAAATCGCTTTAGCTGTGAGTCTGTGACACATTGATGCCTGGCTTCAACGATATAGCAGCAGCAGCACTAGTATATATTTGTACTTTACGTGAAACGATTGCTCAAACCACTGTTCAGAAATTTACACCCATTTGTCACTTGAACCTTTGTGCTTATTTGGAAAAACCCATTAATTGAATGTGTTGTCTGTTACAAAAATGGCAAAATCAAACCTTTGTCGTTTGTAGGAGGGTTTTGCCTGTTAACGCCCCTCCTAATTCACTCCCCAGAGCTTTCCTTATCGACGTCTACATCATATCATTGTGTGTCCACGACCAGCCCCGCAGCTAAGGATGATCAGAATCTTAAAACTAAAATGAAATGTATTTATATATAGGGAAATTCTCTGTAGGTTAAATTTGAAAAAAAAAATTCCGTAAGCTACAAGCAACCAGAAATTCTTCTGCACCATTAAATTCAAAGAGCTAAGGTTAAATTTGTTGAATGCGATTTTCCCATTATTGTCATTCCATTGATTACAACTATGGGTTTGAATGAAAATTTTCGGCTTGTTTTGTTTTTTTTTTCTTTTATTGTGGATGAATATAAAATTTTATCAACATGGTAGAAAAAGCCTGTTAAGTTTTGTGCAGAGAAAGCTGTTGCAAACTCAAGAAAAACAGCGAACTCTAAGCTGCACAGCATATCGAAAAAAGAAAAATATAGAGAAACAAGAAAACATATAGTAGCACTTTAGGAGATTATCGTATTTTTTTTCTATTCACGCGAGTTACAATACAAATAATTTTATTTATAATATAGCATATTTTAGAATTCATGTTTTTATTTGAATTATCAGTTGAACTCAATTTCAAGTTCATATTTTATCCAATAGAACTTTAAAACCTAAATTAAAACTTCATTAATTAGTTGCTCATACTCTAGATCAAACACATTTCCTTCCCAACAAGCTAGCTTGGAGGGTTTTGAATATTAATTGAATGGATTTAGTAGCTGTCTTGCTCATCAAATTGACAATTGGTGTTTGAATTTTATTCTTCTTAAAAAACGTAAACAACTACTAAGCCAAGATCAGTTTGAGAAATGATTTGTTTTACCCTACCATTTTTAGCTATGTATGAAACTTAATTAATATGGGAAAGATGGGAAATTTATAGATAGCAGTATTGTTTAATCAATCTGAGTAATAATGATTAAATGAGAGCTTAAAAATGTTTGAGGATTTAATTAAGTTGAGCAGGCAGGGTAAAGTTCGTTACCAATTCCAGCACATGAAGCAGGTTGGTGTCAGAAACCTGATCTATCTCGAAAAGCGTTCCCTCTCTGAGCGGAGAGGAGTGAAGGGTGAAACTTGAAAGCATTCTGCAGCTATATCAAAGAAATTCAAGATAACCGGCCAACAACATGTAGAATAATACAGTAAAGGGGTTGGCCCCTATCACTGGACCATCTCCACTGCATCCCAATGGCCCCCAACACCGCCAAAACAAACTCATTTAAAGCGGTCTGGTGAGATTTCTGACCCCTGTCATGTGATTGTGGGGTTTTTGTGGTTTTGGGCTTCTTTTTAAAGAAAGTTATTGATTTTAACCCAAAGTTAAACCCCAACAGTTCTATTTTTCCTTTCCTTTTCTGTGACTTTCAGAGCAAAATAATGATTCATGCACCATTCAAAAAGCACTTATTGCATTCCCTGCAAGTAAACTTGTTAGATGATCTGAACCCTTCAAATATTGGTGGAGCCACAAATTTTTTCATCAATCCTCATTGGAGCTCAGCTGCGGGATATATTTGCAATCTTTTTTTTTTTTTTTTCTTGAGAAAAGATTAGTAGAAAATGGTCCTTTTCATTGTTGGCTTTGCAAAAGCGACTAATTCAGATTTCCTGCAGCATATGCACTCTACTAAATATAAAGTAGAATCTAGAAAACAGGAAGCATTCTTTTACATGGGAAAATGGCCAATTTTTAATACAAAGGAAGATGCCAACATTTAATTTTTAATTGTTCAGATAAAATTTGTCAATTAGAGCATATGCTTTCATGATGTTTTTCTGTGTTGCAATTGTCATAAATGGAATTGTCTATCTCTAAGCATGCAATCATATTGTGCCAAGATAAAAACAAAAGCTCAACAACTTCGTGAGATTTAAAATAATAAAATAATAATAATCAATTCGGAAAAAGATTTCTATATATTTTTTAAATATTCAGCCACTTGGTTTATATAATCATTCCTCTAGATTGATAGCCTGTTCCCGATATATCAATATTTTATTCCTTTTTTATTTTTTGTTCTCTCATTACCCTTCCAAGTAAGTTATATCTAGCAATTTCTTTTCCTTCACTGCAAGTTCTGATAAAACTCTTAGTCTTACACTCTTCTCTTTTATCTTCCCCATCCCTCTGTCAATCAGTTTTCTCTTACTTCTAGCCTCTGCTTTTAAATTCCTACTCGTTTTTTTTCCTCTTCTTTCTTATCAAAGATAAGGGAGATAAAGTGAAAGAAAGAGAAAAATATATAGCCATGGAAATTGACCAGTTAAAATCGGCAACAGAAGATCAGATGGAGATGATGCTGATGATGCAGATGGACAAGCTGCCTGAATTCTACGGGGTTTACAACGGCGTCGTAGAATTACCCCCAACTGAGCTTGCTGGTGCAAGCAATAATGCCATGCCAAATTTTTTTGACAACCCACCGGTTGGCTCACCACCCCCATTCATAAACCAGCCAACAACTATTCCATTCACTGGTTCAACCCCGGTTCGGGAACAAGGAGCCCCAGGTTTCTTGTCTAGCCTTGGCAGTGCAAGATGGAGAGGCCGAGCAGGGGAATTATCAGGTGCAAATGCTTTTTTTACACCTTCTCAAAAGAAGAATTCAATGGCTGCAATGAGGGAGATGATCTTCCGAATTGCAGCTATGCAACCAATTCATATAGACCCTGAATCAGTTAAGCCACCAAAGAGAAGGAATGTGAAGATATCAAAGGATCCTCAAAGTGTGGCAGCAAGGCACCGGAGGGAGAGGATAAGTGAGAGAATAAGGATACTTCAAAGACTTGTCCCTGGAGGAACCAAAATGGACACTGCCTCGATGTTAGATGAGGCAATTCACTATGTCAAGTTTCTGAAGACTCAGGTGCAATCACTGGAAAGAGCTGCTGCTAACAGGCCAACTGGGATAGGGTTCCCTGCTGGAATGTCAAATGGGAGTTTTCTTCCAATGGGAAAAGCAGCATATCAACCTACTCAATACCTTCACGAATTCGGAGATGCTTAGCTAGCTCAATAAAACAAGAGTCTTAGTATAAACTCATTTTCTGGCGAATCTGTCAGACTTATTGGAATGTAAAAAAACTAAAACCAGATAATCATGATCATTCATCATCATCATCATCATCATCATCATCATCTGGATAATTGTTGTTAATTCTCTCCATGTTTAGGTCATGTAATCCATGTTGTATTGCTATCAAATTCAAATTCCTGAGTAGATAGCTCAACTGTTCAAAGAATTAATCAAAAGTTCTTAATAGAATGCATATGTTTCCATGCATCTGATACCTGACTCTATCTGTGACTCTCGTATATAAATTTGTAAAATTGATGTGCAATGCCACCTGTCTTATGAGCATCCATAGCTATCAGAAATGCATAATTCTCTAGCAAAAACAAAGAAGAATAATTAAACAACAAGGCCAAAAGCGCCGAATCCTAGACAAAAGTATAGGGCAACGACAGTGGGGTTGACAGGCTATGTCGAAGACTATATAATGTCAGCTACAAAAAATCTAGAGATAGAAAGAAAGAGGGAAAGGTTCCTTTCTCGAATCTTGATAGATAGACCTATACAAAAATTGGGACCTCATTAATTTGGCTTTAGTGGCATGAAAATTCCATGATATTGACCTAAGTAATGGACACAAAGGCAGAGCAGACCCCCAAATATGTACAGCCTTCTGCTAGTAAACTGTAACACGTGTTGAATTTAACATTAACCCATGAGACGTGTCAAGGTGAAAATTTCAAGGTACCAAATTGGGTGGGATTTAAGGTGATGTCATGGTTTATGAATTTCCGAGTCATTTTCGAGAGAGAAAGAGAAACAGGTTGAAGAGAAATGCATGGGGAAATCCACGTGAAGACTGACAAAGCGGTGGGATTTATAGAATAGCAATGTGGCAACCAGATAGCGTCGTTTTCCCTCAACACCTCTTCACGAGATACTCAAATCCACTCGGTCAACTAGCTCTCCTACGTCTCTCTCCACGTTGGACCCCTTGCCCCCTTCCTAATTAAGTAACTCATAATCGCAATTAATTTCCCTCAATCCCCTCCCAAATCTCCCTTTATCCACCATTTAACCTCTACATTTCGATACTTTATTCCACTAATTTATAGTCTATAGCTTTGCATATTTCAATTCAAGAGTTATCATTTCAATTAAACATTCATTCAGTTGAGTTTTTTTTATTGCCAATTGAAAGTATGTCTCAAATCACCTTCAAATTAAAGAGATGTTAAAGTTTCCAACATAATGCCTAATATATGTCAAATCGTTTTGTTTTCACACGCAACGAAGTGTTTAGTATTGATTTTCTTTCGATACAATCGTAGCTAGTTTTCGCATCTTATTACCTATTTTTTTTCTTAATAAAATTTTCATATCTTTTTCATAAGAATTGCTTGGCTTGAGATTTCAAATTCGATGTCAATGCAAAAGGATTGCTGAAATTTAGATTGTAAATTATCTTAATTTATGAATCTTGAAAAAAAATTATCATATGCTACTTCTTTTGCATAACATATATATATATATATATATATAAGATCACAAGTATTTTTAAGCTTTACTTAAATTTAAACTCTATATTTTTCGTCCTAATAAGATCAAGGAAAGCTTTAGATAGTGACAATTTACAAGAAAATTGAGAAAAAAAAAAAAGCATGTCTTTTCCTTTTTTTTTATTTTGGCAAAGACATCTCTTTTCATGAGTACTAGTGAAACATAAAATAGGTATTCTATTTGAGGGAATGGGAGAATGGGAATGGTTGAATGAAACTAAAACGGCATTTTCTTGATGTGAGCTTTGATAATTTGGTAGAAGTATCATCAAAGAAAAAGGATGTCAACTCTGTTGTGAACTGGGCTTCTCCGGCCTCGTTCACGTATATGTATTTAACCTTCTAACTGAAACTTATTTGGAATTTTGGACCACTGGCCCTATCAGAAATTTAAACCAACTGGACAAATCTTTTGTAGCTAATAAACCAACCAGACTATCAAGAAAATGGCTTTAAATCTTTCCTAGAAGAGAATTTCAAACCAAATTAAAAAATTCGATAACATAATAAAACACCCCACAAAAATCCCAAATCATTTTTTTTTTTGGAATACAAAACTAGTTTTGGAAGCATAAGAAACCAAAGGCAAGAGTGCCCAATGTTAGCCAGAATGATGTAAAAGGGTAGGTTGCCTCCCATAGCAAGATTGAATTGGAGAAATGCTGATGTTTCCGAGCATCATTCATGCCTCACCAAAAACCACTTATTCCTCCCTACCCCGAATCCACCAGTCCAATCTAAATCAATCTAAGAGATATAAAACACAAAAAAAAAAAAAAAAAGTGAGATACAATTATAAGAAATGGTCAAACATGTTATCAGAAAACCCATGTGAGATATCCCACTAAGATCCAACACCAGCACATTGAGGGATTACTGCATTTCAGAAAAGGGGAGCCCCATTGTCCTGTAAATTTAAGGCATAAACCAACCCCATCCAATCCCTAAGTGCACGGTATTTTTGAAGACACTGCTTTTATTATCCTTAAATATCTTATGGCTTGATTGATGCATGAAAAAAATGATGCAGAAATGGGAGATTTGAAGCAAGTTCAAGAAGGTTTTTCTAGCATGCAAACAAGCGACGATTGGAAAAGAACAATACACTCGCCATACTAATAGTTTTTGGATTGAAAATGTCTTGTTTCTGATACGCCATTATCTATGAGTCATGAATTTTATATATGCAATGATTCATGTCCGTATATAAATTATTGATTTCTACACCAAGATGATATATCACAATCACAATCAATGATATCAAGTTGGAACATGTTCTAATACCAACTATAACATTCAAAGTCCAATCATTAATGGCTTTAATATGATTTTTTAAGCTTTAACCACATGTGGTCTGTCAAAAGGTTAGTTTCAAAGTCCGAGTAGTGAGTGATCATTTGAACTATTTATATATTACATTCATATCCAATGTGAAAGGCATTAGATAAGTCAAATTAAAGCAATTAGAGGAGTAATATAAAGCACAGAACAACAGGATCAACCATGGGAAGCGAAACTGCTACTCTTGTCTTGTCTGGTTGATCAAGGAGAGACCGACCATGCTTCCTGGCTACCAAGTCTCTGTTACTAATATTTCTCCTGAGTCCTAACCAGCTTGATGCAAAATTACCAGTTCTGCCTTCTTTGTCTTAACTTCTTACACCTGGCAGGTAAACGTGAACATAGCTAGCTATATTACTATAAGAGACACTGATAGAACAAATTTAGCATTGTTCAATCCCGATGTGGAGGATCAGGGGGAGAAATAAATGATTTTTTATGATAAAATGAAATATGACCAACCAAAAACAGTAAATGACTTTATGTTACAAAAACAAAACATTAAAATATGTTTGTTGGTTGGTCGGATTAGACTTTAGTAAGGGAAAAGGGTATGGATCAAGGACACAATCTAATCTCTTGGGACAATATTCTTTTTCTTTTTTTCATCTAATTTGTCCTATTTGAAGGGTGGGATGTATTTAGGGTTGGCATGGGTCGGGTTCGGGGTGGGTTTTGCTCGTCCCAAACCCAATCCGACTTTATGCGTTATTAAATTCGAATTCGATCTTACTTGAAATTTTTTTTAGTTTTTCATATCCGAACCCGACCTCCGACCCGATATTATATAAACAGTATCCGACTCGACTCGACCTTAAATTAATAAAATATTATTTTTAAAATATAAAATATTTAAAAATATCATTATATAAATACATATATAAATAAAAAATTAATTAAAAAATAATTTTTTTATATAATATCAAATCGGATCGAATTTATCTAAAATCCGAACCCAACACGACCCCAATTATTTCCTAACCTTACCCGACCTAATCGACCCGAAATCTGAATTTCAAAAAAAAAAAAATTGATCCCACAAGATCGAATCGGATCAGAATCCGTCGAGAACAGGTTGAATTGCCGTCCCCAGATGTATTCTTGCTAAATCATGGAAAATTTGTCCCAATGTTGCTTCTAGAAATGTGAAAGCAAAATTTTAATGCTAGGAGGATCGGGGGATTTTCACAGTGTAAAAATTCAATGACCGACCAAAGTATATATTCCTTCAAATTTAGGGAGGAAAAAGAGGGTAAGTCAACTATGTTAGATATAAATTTTGTCGTCGTTCTTAATTTATTGACTCTGTAATATTAATAATCCTGGTCCTTGGATACCAATCATTGTATTTAACTAATTGGACGAAATGTCCAATTTTCCCTTTATATTTTCTTTTGAAAACTTCAATTCAATGCTAAGAATTCAATTGTGGACCTACTTCATCTATTACCATGTTTGTTTTTTTTTTTATTTTCTATAATCGAGTGATTTTATTTATCCGAAAGAAGTTAAAATATAATTACACCAAAATTGCTTTAACCAATATAATCACAATCCAAAAATCACACATCAAGAATAGTGCGTTTAAGCCCCAAGCTATATAAATATTGTTATTTACACAAACTACTGCAGTATGAGTCAAGCTATACAAAAGTGTTTTTATTTTCTTTATATTGTAGTTAAGAAAAAAATTCACTCTTTTTAAGGGTAAAGATCAAGAAATAAGTTGTATTACGTTTAATGAAAAAAAAATTATATTAACATCTTGTTAAGCATAGTTGTGAAGAAGGTTTTATTAAAAAATGAGAAGGGAAATAGAATTTTGTAAAATTAAATTTCATTTTGAATCAAAATTTTCATAAAATATATATATTCGAATAATTTTAATTTAATTATTTAAATAAAAATTTAATTTTTGATAATCTCAAATAAAAAAAAAATCTAAACGCACTTGTAAGCATCGTTGATCAAGCCCAAAAGTAAAATGTGACAAAATGATGAAACATCTAAAGCCTTCCATTCAACCCAAGGAGCCCATTTTGTTCATATCCAAGGGACAGTCCAAAATCTTTGGTAAATGAACAGCTTGAGCTAATTAATTTATCAACAATAAAAAAGGAACTAGAAGTACAAGTCTAAAATGCAAAGCGTCTTATGTTTAAGGGATTATTAAATCCTTGGTCTTTTGTTGAAGGATGTTTATTTCTTTATATATTAAAAATAATTGAATTTAGGTCTTACACGTCTATGTATTATTGTCTACTATTTCCTGCCTACCCTTACCATTAACCTTGACAAAGTCCTAACTCATTTGATTTGATCAAAAGGCATAAAATTAAAACCTTTGCTCTTAAATTTTACATTATTTATATATGCTCATTGCCATAATTTCTTTTTTCAGATTTTGGACCATTTATTATATATAATAAACTTCATTATCCTTGATGCTAATTACTTTCTTGACAATTAACCATATTATTACTTAGAAAGCATTGTATGTGCTCTACCCTTGTCACCTCATTTCTTTGATCGGGATTATATATACAACCTTCCCTGGTACAAACTCAAAAAGCAAAGCATCCAATAACAAGATCCCAATAATAGTGTACAGTCAAATTTGTTATACTTATCCAATTTAGCACCGATGATATAATAAAAATATATTTAAATATAAAAATTTAATTAAATTTATAAATTATTCGAATCAGATATAAAAATATTCGAATTTAATTTGATTGATAAATTAAATTACTTAATTTAAATTCAACTCGATAATAATCGAATCAAATTTAAATTTTATTTAAATTAAATTTAAATAATTTATAAATAATAATATATTATTTATATCTCAAATATAATCGTTCCATCAAATTTGATGGAGCAAAAGTCTTGACTTGTGGCTCAGAGAGGGGGTTGTTATGCAGTCTTCTTCTTAATCTTTTCTTGGAACGCAAGTGATCCCTTTTTATTTGAACACGTGGCATATTTTGAAGTGTTTTATCACACGTGACAATTTTTAATGTCTGTGACAAAGAACATTCCTCAAGACAGCCTATAACTCCCACGTAACTAATTCCATTTCTCCCCCATATTATTGGCATATATTTTCATGGTTTATCTTAAGGATTCAAGTTTTCGAAATTTATACGAGCTATTGTAGAATTTTCAAAACAAAATTTTACGAGTTTTTGAATTAGAGTGTATTAGATGAGTACCTATATCATTTTTTTATTTAATTAATGTTACTTATCAAGATTAATGTGTGATTTGATTAAAAAATAAATAAATCAAATCCTAGACAGCACACCAAATAAGAGAATATGTATAACATACCAACAATCATTTTTTTTATTTAATTAATGTGTGATTTTATTTAAAAAATAAATAAATCAAATCCTTTATAGCACACCAAATAAGAGAATATGTGTAACGTACCAACTTTTACTGGTCAAGCTGAAAAAATTAATATATTATGTACAATTAATTAATAGTTGTCCTTTCTTGCTCTAACAAGTCCTAGTACATATAAAAAAAAATTAATTTAACATGAATGAATGAATGAATGTTCATGATTTGTTTGTTTATTGTTAAATATGTTTGTGTTCGATTTGTATTTATTAAAATATTATTTTATTCGTGTAAATAATAAGTGATTTGTATTCAATTCAATTAAATTAAATAAATTTATTTATAAAAATTAAACGAACATGTTTATAAACATATATAAATGAATATATTTATAAATAATAAATAAATTATAATTAAATAAATTTAAATAAATAAATCATAAACGAATATAAACAAACTCATATAAATATAAACGAACCTTAAAATAAGATTAAAATAAATATATAAAAATATAATTTTATTAGTATTATTATAAATGACAGCAAATGAATAATAAATGAATGAGTTTTAAACGAACTTTAAACAAATTTATTTATGAATATTAACGAACCAAACATATATTTATTCGTGTTTAATTTGTTTAATAAATGAATATAAAAATATTATTCAAAATCATTTGTTAAATTTAATAAATTAATATAAATAAATAAAAATCGAATATATTTATATGCAGTTCATTAAAAACTTTATTCATTTACAATCGTGCCTTTTATTAAGTCATTTGAATTAGACCAACAAAAGACAACTATTAACCTTGAGTTGTTTAAAGCCAATTATTTCAAATAATCAAGAATTAATTCTAATTCTATTCTTTATCGTGTCATTTTCCTTTGTGCTCAAGGTCTTTCATTACGTATGCAACACAGTTAATTACCATTAATATAAATATAACAGCTCCTTATTGCTACTTCCTGCAAATTCATCTTCAGTTTTTGAGACGTTGACACAGCAACTCATTCTTCTTTCATTTGCTTCCAAGCCATGGCTAGAGATGAGAATTGTTTTTGCGACGATTATTTTCTACTCAACCCGAAAGAAGCAGGTTTCTTTGATCTTTTTCGCCTACTTTGTTCCTCTCAATTGGGAAATAGAAGATTCATTGACTTTCCAGGACAACAACAACATCAAAATTTTCGCTATAGATGGATCACCTTCATCTCCGTTCTTGTTCAGAAACTCCTCATGTTAGGGACAAAACCGATGGCACTGGTGGGGAATGTGATCGAGATGTGGCTAAATCTTTTATCAAGCAACAGCGGTCTTGTCGGTCTCCTACGAAATACTGTAACAAGTTTAGTCTGCTTCCCTTGTATTATCATTTTTTCTCTTGCATTTGAAAACACAAAATAGCTGCCTTTGATAGAATTTGACCCTAGTTTTGATTTAGGACTATACCCACCTTGGTTTGCATGAAAACTCATATTGTTGCATGAAGATCAATTGTTTTGTCACTAAAAAGGTTCAAAGGACAAAAACTCAGAGATGAGCTTTTTCATTGTGCAGTGAAATTAGTGTGGCCTCATAAATCATCGGCGACGTTCGCATCGTTGCTAGCATATATCGACACTCGGATTGATTTAGACAACAACATTAAACCTGGTGACAACAAATATAAAGCGTCCCTGGCTATGATGGCTGCGAAAATATCGTACGAGAATGAAGCCTTCATTAAAACCAAAGTCATAGAACATTGGAAGGTATGTTTTTTGCAACAAATGTTAAAAGGTGTTACTGATTATCATGGAATAAAATTAAATAATGAAAATTAAAAAGATAAAGCCAAGAAAAGAAATCAACTTTAGGGTTCCTCCTAATGAACAATAAAGTTTGAATATATAATGAATTAACCATTATTTAAACAAGAAAAAGTTTATTTTTATACTAAGACTTCATTTTAATAAATTAAGAGAGAGATTCATTGTATCGAAATTATCATTTTATCACGAAATTATTAAGAGTCCAATAATCAAACTACAACGCAAGTGCGGTGAAAACCTCTCCCATCGTTCATTCAAATAAAATCTAAAAAGAATGCATTTTACTTTCTTAAAGTCAAAAAAATAAAATTGACAACGATGATTGTTGTTCCTAATTTTTTTTCTTTCTTTTTTTTTTTTTTTTTGGTGCAGATGAAATTCTTGAAGTTTTATAATTTCTGGAACGGTACGTGAGATGCCACTTTATATTTCTTTTTTTAAAAAAAATTATATGACCTTATCATTTCCCAAGCTGGAAGGGGCAAAATCAACTTTAATGAACCGTGATCAACTACCTAATATCATTCAAATATAGATAAATTGATAATCATTTAAATAATCAATTAAACATCATTACTGATCATGATCATAGATCCACAAATCATTGGTTTTTTTTTTTTTCTTTTGTCTAAGCCAACTTGGTTTAATTCTTGCAAAAACACTGCTGTTTGAAGTCGTGTCTGATGATTTTTAAGTAGTTTAAAATTAATATATAGATATAATAATTTCATATGCAGACAAAGTTGCTATTAAAGGATTTGAAATGGAGTTAACGAAATAACCACGAATTCATTGGTTTGAAAATTAAGGATAAGACAAGTTTGGGCAGCTGGCTGTTGCCTCTTGTTTATTGTGTTTAATCTTAATGGCACTTTCCAACATGTATATGAATGATTTATGTAACTTAAACTATGATTGGTGAGAAGAAAGAAAACTGAGGAAACAGAAAAAGATGAAAGGAAAAGGAAGGAAAATTATTTCTTCATGATAAGAAAGATAAAAAATAAGATGTTAAGGGTAAAATCATAAATAAATTTTTGTAGTTAATTTATTAATTTAAGTTGAATGAATGTTTTTCTCAAGAAAATATTAAATTTGGAGGAAAAGGAAAAGTGCAACTTCACTTATTTTTCTTTTCTCTTTTTAGTTCTCTCTTTCCAAACCAAAAAAAAGAAAAAAAAAAAAGTAATTTTTTCTTGTTCCCTATTTCCCTATTACCAAACACAATGTTAAATTTTAGGATTAAAAGAAATATATACTATATAATTTAATATATTTAGTATAAGCTAATGAAAAAAGCAAGTCATGAGCAGGGATTTATTTGGTTTCTATGTAATATATTCATGTTTCTGCTTTCAAAACCCAATCAATATAATTGGTTTAGGGTTAAAATTTTGTCAAACTGTGGATCCAAATATTCTCCCTGCACCACCATTTAGGCTTTTGGTTTTGCTTTAGACAAGAAGACCAAGCAAAGCAAAGACTAATTTGGTTACTTCTAAGCAAAAACATATGTTATACATAAATAGTTGCCTCATTTGGACCAAGCAATTAGTTTGGTTCAAGTAGCCATCAGGAAATAAAAAAAAAAGATTTACATAAAGTTTCATAAATAAAATTCGTAATTTTTTTTTATTAAAAATAAGTTAATAAAAATTAAAATTAAAACTCAAATCAATAGATTGAAGAATCTCATCACATAAATCAAACATCTAAATTTTGAAGAAAATTTAATAAATTTTTATATATTTATTAAATAGATATTTTTAATAAAAATATTAACAAAATTTTTATTGCTCAATAAATATCAATCAAATTTGAATTAAAAATAATATTTTTAATAATTTTTTTACATATTATTGATATTCACATCAAACTCTATTAATCTATCAATTTGAATTTTTTATTAAAATTTAAAATTTTTATTTACTTATTTCTAACAAAAGATTTCACAACTTTCACTTATGGACAAAGACTTTATATAAATTTTGTCTCAGAAAATGAAATGTGAATATATCTCGTCAACTTTATTATACAGATGCTAAATATATTGACTTACATAATAATAATAATAATAATAATAATTTAAGAAATTATTATTCCATTGATTATTGACTTTTCAATCTATTTTAAGACTTCTTTTTTTGTTTTGTCGTTTCCTAATAAATTATCCAACTTGTGGATAGATCTATCCAAGTGGGTCAGAGTTCGGGTTCAATCCTGAATATTATTTAATTAATAAATATTAATTTTTAATCAATTTTAAAATAAAATATTAGTATTTAATTTATAAAAAAAAGAAAAGAAAAAATCTAAGCTTCTAAGCCCAACGGGTCAAGTTGGGCTTTGAGAAGAGATTTTGAAAGGCCTTATCAGATTTGGCCCGATCTATAGATAGATTTACTTGTAAACTACAAACCAACTAATCAATTACAAACATTATTTATGCATTTCTTTGTCTCATTTTCACACTTCACTCTTATTACGGTCAACCGTTAACTTATAATTTGAGTAATATAACTCTACCGAAGCTGGTGGAGTTTTTAAACTTTGTTAGATTAGATCATTTTTATTATATTATTTCTTTCGTTTTAAAGTATTTGCTATGTAGTGTTTTTTACGAAATTTGTAAAATTTTTTTAATTTTTACATATTTAATATTAAAATTTAAATTTTTTATAAAATTAAAATTTCATAATTTTTAATATTAAAAGTATAAAAATTATAAAACTTAATTTTAAAATTTTAAAATTTAAAAATTTTAGAAATTCAAAAAAATATATATGACATAATTTTGAGACATTCTAAAAAAATAGACAAAAAAAAAAGAGATAAAAGGAAGTATAGACTATGCTGTGGTTTTTGGTAATTTTATGCACTACTTTACTTAAATCCTACTTTCGTCATTTGCTTCATAGATTACGAAGAACGTTTTTCAACTCAAGCCTTCATGCTCCAAGACACACGGGTTAACCCAAACTTGATTGTCGTTGCATTTAGAGGCACCAGCCCATTTGATGCCAATGACTGGCGGACCGACGTTGATCTTTCCTGGTATGTGCTTAAAGAAATCGGTAAAGCGAAGACCCATATTGGTTTTATGAAAGCTCTAGGCCTGCAAAAATACCAGGGTTGGCCCAAGGAGATTCAACTAGGGAATCACCAACATCAATTTGCTTACTACACTCTCAGAGAAAAGCTGAGAGTTGTTTTGCAAGAGAATCTAGAAGCCAAGTTCATCTTGACAGGGCATAGCTTAGGTGGGGCATTAGCAATTCTGTTTGTTGCTGTGCTAATTTTACATGACGAGGAATGGTTGTTGGAGAAATTGGAAGGGGTTTACACATTTGGGCAGCCAAGGGTTGGGGACGAGAAGTTTGGGGATTATATGAAGGAGAAGATGAGAAAATTTGATGTGAAATATTTCAGGTGCGTTTACAGCAGTGACTTGGTGCCTAGGGTTCCCTATGATGACAAAAACCTATTTTTCAAGCATTTTGGACCATGCCTCTATTTCAATAGCTTCTACAAAGGGAAGGTAAGTGCACTTCATCAGAGTTGAGTTTAATTTTGATTTGAAAACAAAAGGGATGGTTTTGAAAATAACAATTTTGCAATTCAGGTTTTGCCGGAGGAACCAAATAGGAATTACTTCTCTTTGCTATGGTTGTTGCCATACCACATTAATGCAATTTGGGAGCTTATTAGGGGTTTCATCATCCCTTACGTGCAGGGTAAAGACTACAAGGAAGATTGGGTTTTGAGAATGTGGAGGATAATTGGATTAGTAGTACCAGGATTATCAGCTCATTCCCCTCAAGATTATGTCAACTCTACCCGATTGGGATCCTTGCCCTCCGATCTTCAGCTTCCAGATCGGACACATGAACACAAACTTTAAAAGAGATTGACAAAGATGATTCAATTCCATCAATATGTACGCAGAAATCAGAATTGATAGGTGAAAACAGATTTCTAATCGTAAGCAATGTGAAATAAGAGCTGCATTTGTGGCATTTACAAGTTTTAATGACAAAATAGAAATGCTTTGCATCCATTCGATCTCATCAATTCAATTACTTACGAGAAAAGAAGGTAAAAGAGATGAATGATATTTCTTTTTCCGTGGCAAACTGTCATAGTAGGAAAAACAAAAAAACAAAAAAAACAAAAACTTGAAAGGTTGATTTACATACATACAAGCATACCGGATTTTATTAGTCAAACATTCAGGAGATCTGGAAGTACACCTTGATGGAGGTAATGGTGCTTCATTCAAGCAAAATTGCAGCTAACACCAATTTAGCGTCAAGTATAATAGTTGCTTCCTGTACAATATTGATCATCTCCAGTGGTCCCTGTTATTCAAACTGGTAAGAGATAAGATGAAACAAGTAAGCAGAAAATTACATTACCAGCATGGAAATAGAGTTTTTGAATGCTAAGTGGAGACATTTCCATTTTCTACATGCACTAAATTAAATGTAAAACAAGTAAATAGTTGTCTGTCTTGTTATTCAATAAGAGGAAGATGCACCTTAAAATGCTATATAATCAAAACTCGAAGTAGCCTATTTACATGGGATGTTGAAGTGCCAGTTCAAATAACAAAAATAGCTAATATGTTTAGCAGGCGCATTGACCAGCATTTAAAGTGGAGCTTATTAAGGGGTGTCTCACCATTTTACACATGATCTTGGATCTGGATTACTCTCCATATCAAGGAATTATCCCATATGTACATATGGTTATATCTTAAAGTGCATTGCAATTCTTTCATAATGGTATGATATGTTATCACTACCTAAACTAAGAATCAATGAATGATTATACCCCCCCCCCCCCCCCGGCGGCACACACACAGAAACATAAAAGGGAGGAAAAAAGAAAATTTCTTTAACCAGTATGCAACCTGCTATTTGCCAGAATGTCATGTTAACCCTCCATGCCATCATTTTTTTTTTTTAATTTAAAAAAGTAGAGCAAAAATTTTGAAAAGAAACCATTATTCCAAGCGGAAGTTACCCAGCATTTGAGGACAGATTGAACCAGTAAATGATAGCTAAGGCATTAGAATGCATGGCAGGTGAAGCAACCACTCAATGAACCCATCTGACTGGTTCTATGGAATGATATCGGCTTATGTGAGGTCATTGTAACTTGATGGGCCTGGTTGGCTAACATTGAACTTCTCATTTCTTGGGCTCTCTTCTGAGCTGATCTCAGCTTATTCATTATCTTATCCATTGATGAAGATCTCTTCCTTTCCAGCTTCATCTGAAATACATTGTTGTGTCAGTAATGGTGGAGATAATAAATTTCCTGGTCATGCTAGACATGTTGCATTTTCACCACAGATTATTAAAATTTGCAGTCGTGATTATCTTTTTTTAGTAGTTTTATCTTAACAAAGTATATTCTATTTAATAAATAAATAGAACCAAAACTTTTGCCCAGAGAAGGAGCAAGTAATGCTATCTACCGAATTCCAATTCATCATGATAGCTTCAACATCTACATGAGCAAGCTAGTTAAAAAAGAATGGAAAGAAATATTAAAAATCATACTGCTGAAGAGATTTTTATTTTTACTGTATCAAGGTTGATCATTGACTTAAATATCTCTTTACAATTACTTCAATTGTGAATGGAGAAGTACTTAAGAAGAAAGCAACCTCTAGTTTCCTTATGGCTGCCTCAGCTTTTGCCTTCTGCAGGTTCTCCCATGCAGTGATTTTGGCCTCTTCTCTTTTGACCCTGCAAAGTGAAAGAATGAAGTTGAAATACGAATATCAGTCAAATCTGTCCCGTAAACATTTCAATCTCTTCTTCTGTTCTTTGATATTGATCAGTTTTTGATACCTGAACATAAACATGAACAGTTCAGAAAAGCCTTTCACCTAACTAGGCTAGGATTTGCTTGATTAAAGTAACTATGCGGTTTTTTAGGCAGAGCTATGAAACAAAAAAGGCAAATCCCACACATTCTAGCATCTCCAAACTCATGAGGATCAAAATTTTTGCCAAATTAGGCATTATATTACAATCATTTAAAGCTGGTTTTTGAGGAAGAATGTGATTGGGGTTCAAACAGAACAAAAATGTTTGAGTGGAAACTGTTAGCTTTTATTAAGGGATCTTGGACTGCTTGATAGAGATTTACTCAATGCCTTGAGGCATTTTTATTAGTAAAGTTTAAGCAGTCACTTCCAAAGTTGTTGATCTCTAATCTTACAAAATTGACACAACAGGACAAAAGAAATAGAGGTGATGTAGTAGTGAAGTACACATACTTGGAAATGCTTTTTGGTGTCTCTGTCACATCCCAGGTTGATGTACGAGTGTCAATAGCTCTCTTTTTCCAGTCATCAACAATTTCTGTGCTCTTCCCAGCATGTCGAGTTCTATACTTCTTTGACCACCTAGTCATTGTGACTCTTTCATCTACCTGCACATCTCTCACTTCTGACTTTGAGGAATGGATGCTCTGCAGTTCCATAATAGGTAGAGCAGAAGGGGTGGAAGGAGAGAAAGAAGGCCTTCCTTTGGGAGATGCGTGGGTGCTACCCTGTGGACTCATTTGGGTTGCCATGTCTCTTCTTGAAACAGTACAAGAAATATCAGTGGCTGCATCCTTGACAGCATCAAGATTTTCATCTGCATCTTGATGAGAAAACAATTGGAAAGATGAGACATGAAAGTACAATAGGCTTAGCAATTACCATAATAACAATAACCTATCTCTTCACAGAACAAGAAGTTTAGATTTGGCGAATGGCCTATATTCATATTTCTTGGATTATATTAAAAAAAGAAACATCAAGTTCATGATTTGGCAAATGTAAAGAAATTCCTACTCTGCTCATGTCCACTTGCCAGGACATGCAGATTCTTTAATGTTTAAATGGTTTCTAGATTAAGGGGTATGTTCTTTGCTGTTATTTAATCATTATAACACTTAATTAGTAACTTTTTTCGGATAATTACATAGAAACTCATAAAAAAATATAACATTTAATAGAAAGGTTTTAAAATTTTTTTATCTTGATTTATCCGTGATGCATCAAATATAAAGTTTAATTTAAGATTAGATTAATTTGGATGCCAATACTATAAACATGGAGAACAAAACTATCATAATTGATCTCATAATTTTCAAAAGGCACTCTTAATGTGCAGATGATTAATTTAAGCCAAAGCCCATATTATTATTTAACCCAGAAATTTTGCATGATAGAGAAGGACATGTACCTTGTGAAGGCAACGATGGTGGATTCACTACCTCAGAGCATCCATGCACACTAACAGAACGGGCCATGCAAGGCTCAGTCCGAACAGCAAATCCTCCAGCATGGCTACGAGAATGAATAGTCAAACCATCAGCTGCAATTACACCTGCTGAAAAAGGAGAACCAGCCATGAAATCTCCCGTATGGCCCCCATCAAACATGTGCATGGCAGGCGAGTACAAAGAATAGTAAGCAATCCCAGGAGGGCCAAGTGGACCGCTCTTTGATTTTGGTCTTCTTTGTGGAGGCATGAGGGATTGCCTCACACCACCATCCCCAGAAACTGGACTAAAAATCCACCTCTCAGCATCTTCCCACTTTGAAGGCAAATTCCTTCCATTGTTAAAAGGCAACACTCCAGCAGCAGTCCCCTGTTTCCTTCCACCATTGTTATGCAATGGCACACGTTCAGAATTCCAACCCTTCTGCATCCCAACACTCGCCTGATGATGATGATGATAATTGGGAGTCCCGGGGCTAGGAAATGCACCTGATTTCCGTGTTGCAACAGTGCTTTTCTTCACAGTCCCCAACCGCGGAGACGAAGCAGAGACATTGTTTAGATCTAATGAAGCCGGTCTTCGCCTATCAGGATTCTTCAACAAAGCCTCAGATCTAGTCCTCCTATCCTGACACTCTATATCCAAAAAAAAAAACAATTCTCAATTATTACCTCTTTGACAAAATATTAAGCTAAAAAAAGAACAACTTCAAGAAGAAACTAAAGGTACCTTTAAGTGCAAGAGAGAATGAGTTTCTTGCTGAATCTATGAGTTGATTTTCGTCCTCTTTGTGAGCTGCATCGTTTTCTCCTTTTTGAACTGCGTATTATCGTAAAAGAGAAAAAGAAGGGGTGACAATGACAATGAGCGAGTGAAGTTGAACTTTTTTTGGGCTTATTCGTTATTTTTCTTTCTTTTTTTTGGGTGCAATTTCAATTTTAACTTTTTCAAAAGAAGCTAATAATGAAAGAAAAATATTGCTACCTTTCACTTTTTCTCCTTTTCTGGAGAGACGACTGTGCTTTTGGACTGCTATAGCTTTGTTTGGATCTGGATCTGGATCTGGTCCACTCGAACTCTCATTCTGATCTCCTCCTTCGTGGCCTGCCAAACGCTGAAAAAGAAATTCACATTCCAAACATTATTTTTCTTTTTCAAAAAACAAAAAAAAAGGCATACAAATTGATCAACATTTGACAATGACCGATCACAATGTAAAAATGTTACAGCTTTCCCTGCTTATGCATTGCACTGAAAAATTGATTAAAAAAAAAAAAGGTTGACAGAGTGGAGAAGTTACTAAAGAGAGTTCGGAGGCAAGAGAATAGTGATCGTGAGCATCGGAAGCGAAAGAGCAACGATCGACACTAGCGGAAGCCGAAGAGAAGAGGCTGAAATTCGATTCCAATGTGAATATAACAGAATCAGGACTCGCATCTCGAACTCCATAACCTGATCTCAAAGAGCTTTGTTCTTGAAACCCTAACTCCGCCATTTTCTTCAAAGCTTTCACTTCTTCAATCTTCTTCTTCAAATTTCGGCCATTTTTTGCAATTTTTTTCCCATTTTCTGTTGCTCTTATATCTGTTGGATTGGAGTCAAAGACGAAGGCCTTTTTTGTTAGTGGGTTTGATGCTTTTAATGTAACGGGGTTTTTCTTAAGATGTTAACGTAACGGGTTTTGATTGCCTTGGACCTGGGATTTTGACTGTCTTGAAATTGACTGTAAAGACCTTTGATTTGTTATTGTTTGGGTTGATTATAAGGGTATTAAGGACTTTTGGGTATAATCTTGTGGGAGGAATTACGGGGGTTGTCACGCTCCAAGAGTATTCTTTTTATAAAAGGGATGTTGATTATTCTTTTCGTTTAAGACAAATTATGGGCATTAAATGATGATGTCTACTGGCATAAAACGGTGCCGTTAAGGAGAATTTGGAAAAGTTAGTTAAAGGCTTGAAGCAGAAAAAATTGTCAATTTTCTTTTTAAGTAAACGAGTACTATATTCAAAGTTTTAGTGATTAAATTTAAAATTTTTAAACCCATATTTTAGTATATGTGATTATATAATTCTAATTGAATTTTTGAAAATGAAATAAAAAATAAAAAAATATTAAAAATATTAAACCCTCACATTGAAGTCCAGCCAGATATTAATTTTATTTCATTTAATTATTTGTTGATTTATTTTATTGTTGGTTTGATTTTTTTTATTGAATTTCTTTTTTATGTTTTGTTAAAGATGATTTGATTATGATTATAATTTTTATTAATATATATAATTTAAGAAACACAAAATTATAAACAATCCAAGTAAAAATAATTATTCAAATGTAACAATTAGCAGTCATAATGGAAATATGAAATTGGCAAGAAAAGCCATCAAAATAAAGTTGAAATTGACCACATGATTAGAATTCCATTTATGAATTGAAAGAAAATTTGAAAATAATAGACTTTGTTTTGGCTGGGCATGGGTCAACTTTATGATGATTAACTAGTAATGTTCACACACAAATTAAACCCTACAGGAGAAAAAATAAAGGAAAAATATATTAGTTTTCTAACCTATGGATATATATTTTGTCATATTCAAAATATGAATTCACATGAAATTTAATTTAATCAATTCTTATAAATAAATTTAAAATTCAAAATTTAAAATCTATAACTTTTTTTAATCCTTAAACTATAATTCATTTATTAAAAAAAATATGAATTCCTCTTTTAGGCTTTTTGTTATCAAGATAAGAATAGTACAACGTGGTCAATAATACTATAATGTATTAATAAAATATTAAATAATTAATTTTAATTTTGATAACTTCAAATATAGAAAATAGTATTATAATTTCTGAACGTGAAACAGAATGATAAGAAGTTAGTCTACGGGGAAAACGTTGCTGCAATGTGTTTTTCTTGTATGTTATGGGCGGTGATCAATTCCTTTTGTCCCACCAAAAGAACCGTACTGCGTGGAGCTACCATCTTATTTCTTCCATGGATATTTCAACAGTTTTTCTTCTCAGCCGACATTTGATTTTTGCCCACGAACCTTCCTTCTTCTTTGCATGTAATCTTTTGATGCGATAAAACTAAAAGCAAGCAGCTCCAAGCTCTTGCAGAGTTTTTTTCACATCAAACTTTTACTAGGTAGTACCGTTGAAAGTTCTTGCTTGTCAAAGAATTTTGTGTAGGAAAAGCACTGCTCGGCCCTACATTTATTATGTAAATTGACGTATCGTAGCACAGCAAAATGAAAATCCTCGAGAAAAGAAGTTGTCAGCTGTACTCTGCTACACGAAATAATTAATTGATTCATGAATCTTTTGAATCAATTACGAAAAATGAAATTCAATTAAATTTCGATTCAAACTTTGACAATGGATCTTGACAGACTTAATTCAACTTGATTATTCTTCTAACTCTTAAACTTAGTGACGAGGTGTGGAAATTGGTAATTTTGATGACCATCATTTGATAAAATGCTTTGATAAGAGCAACCCATGTTTGTCAGGTTTCTTGGTAAGTTGAAGGGCAGGCCTTTAACCATTCCTTTAGTCAGTTTGGTTTACGCTGCCCACGTGAGCTGGAGCAAAGTTGTTGCTATTATTACTGGTCAGTCAGGTTAGGTTTGTTGCATTCAACCAGGACTGGTCCCAACCCTTCTTTGGACTAGAAAGAAAGGATGGGAGAAGGAAGGTGGTTCAATTGTCACTTTACCCGAATTTATTTTCTGATACACTTCACACTGTTCACAGATACTGATTTGATTGGATTTTTTTTTTGTTTTATTTTCTTTTGTTGTATCTCATGGCATCGACCCAGTCTGATGATCTTTGTCTTCTTTTCATAGCCTGAAAAAATGAAAAACCAAGCCATCCATGAACATGAGATCAATTTTCTATTGGATTCAACCTTTCGATAAACTCGATGGCCACCATTTTTGTATTGAAATTGCTTTCTCCTCTTGATACGTACATCTGCTTTATCTTCTTGGCACATGCTCTCGAATTATAATAAACTTTAAAGCTGTTTCGGTCAAATTCTTAAATTGTTTACAACTAGGTTATCTAGTTGTTGCAACTACATTCTCAAATGCCTTTTTTAAACATGAAAAAAATACTGCTTTTAGCAGAAATGATGAATCTTTTATACAACTTAACTAAATTATCTATGTCAAACCTTCCTCCACATAATAAGTTGTCATATCTCACTCTCATTACTACCAAAAGTAGGCCTCACCTAAACTTTTATAGTCAATCATCAATTTTAAAACACAAACGAATAAATTACAAATAGATGACATCCGAACGTTTGAGTCAATAATTAATGTAAATTCGAATATAAACGGTGACATATGCATGAGTCATGCTTGCGTATGTGCATGAGCAATCAGATGAAAAAGGTGGTGGTTGTACAAGCATAACTCGAAGTTAAGGCAATTCCAAAAATACAATGCAAATGCAACGACATCTGACTTGCATCAACCAATAGCTAAATGAAGCATTATATGCACGGTTTTAGGCTGTTGGTACAACACTCGGTGTCCCAAAAGAAGCAGAAGTTATAAAGACAAAGAAAGGCTGATTGCTACAACTATCATCAAGAAGAAGAGAAGAAAACTGGCTCACCTAATAGTAAACCAGACAGACCGACAAGGTTTAAATGGTTGACACACCATTATTGGCTTTTCAGAATTATTGCATTTGTCTTTGTTAAAAGTGTTGTTATCTACCTCTAAAAAATATTTAATTTTTTATAATTTTATATTTAAATTAGTTTTTTTCTTTACAATTATTATTTTTTTTAAATATGTCATAATTTTTAAGGGTTAATTAAAATTGATATCATCACACATCTAATAAATATTTAATTTTTTATAATTTTATATTCTATTAATTAATTTTAAGTTAAATGCTTATGAATCATCTTAAATATATAACATATTACATTAAATTTTTGTTGTCCAGAGACATAATTTTTGTACATCTTCCATGATCTATTCTCCCTTGACATAAATATGCCAAGGTTTTAAGTTATTGTGATAACTCCTTAGCCTACATTATCAGTGAGATTGGCTTTGCTTTTGTGAAGAACATCAAAGCACTTAAATTACTTTCAACAACAGCATAACCAAAATTAGGGCCGAGGTGACCATAAAACAACATTTAAAATCATCATGTGGCTCAAGATCCACAAAAAACTTAACCCATTATCCTTCATCACTCCAAATGAATAATGCTGATTTATTGCCTTCAACATGACGATCAAGCACTTGTTGTGCTGAATTATTGGGTATATATATAGGTTAAGAGTTTGAATGATATATAAATATTTATAAGTTATTTGAGTTTAATTAGAATAAAATTCGAATTTAATTTAATCATTGTAGAATCGAGTTTAAGCAGTTCGATTTATTGAATGAGCTAAATTCGAACTTTTTAATATATAATTTGAGTAATTCATAAGTTTAATATTATTTTATATTTTAATATATATTTTTATTATTTTAATTAAAATATTATTATTTTACTTTTATATATATATATATACAAATTCAAACTTAAACTCAAACTCAAGTTTGAATACAAATAATTGAATTTAAAGTTCAATATGAAAATTAAATTTATTTTTTTTATTTAAAAAAAATCTAATAAAATAAGTTTGAATGATTTAATTTTTATTTCAAATCAAAATCAAAATTAAAACTCAATTAAACTCAAAACAAATTTAAAGTAATGAATTTCAAATTAAATTCGAATTTCCCTCGACTCAATTACAACTTGACTACTCGATTTTTGCTTAAAAAAAAAAAAAAAGTTGTCGGGACTAGAAGTTGGAGTAATATAGAGGCATTTTAGGCTAGGAGTGACCCATTTATATACCATGTCCAAGCCCAATATAATTCAAAGAAAAAGAGCCCAATACTTTGACTTTCTGGCGTTCCGTTTCTTTTCCACTGTCCAAAACAGGCGAGAAAAACGCGGCGTTTTTTGGAATATGAAGTAAAGAATATAGGAGAGGCCGCTAAGGGTTGAAGCAGCGAGAGGGCAGAAAAAAGATGGAGGACGGAGAGATAGAGGAGGGAATGGTGGTGGAAGAGAGCTCACCAGCTCCGCCGCGGAAGCCTGAGAAATCTCCTTACGATATGCTTAAAGAAAGCAAAGCCTCGGTAGAAGAGATCGTCACCAAAATCCTCTCAATCAAAAACGAAAACAAACCAAAATCCCAACTCAGAGAACAAGTCACCCAAATGTTCCTCCACTTCGTCACTCTCCGCCAGGTCATCTTCCTCTTTATGTCTCTTGCAGTTCTTTTTACCCATTAAAAAAGATTACTCTTTTTCAAATAAAAAAAGAGAAATTGAAACCTAGGGTTTTGTTTTTTTATCCTTTTTTCTAGGCGAATCGTATTATACTGTTGGAGGAAGACAAAGTGAAAGCGGAGACGGAACGCGCGAAGGCGCCGGTGGATTTCACGACGCTGCAGCTTCACAATTTAATGTACGAGAAGAGTCATTACTTGAAAGCTATAAAAACTTGCAAAGATTTCAAATCTAAGTATCCTGATATCGAACTTGTACCGGAGGATGAGTTTCTTCGTGACGCTCCTGAGGAAATTAAGGGTTTGAATTTGTCTGATGATAGCTCCCATAATTTGATGCTTAAAAGGCTAAACTATGAGCTCTTCCAGGTAAATTATTAATTAAATCAAAGTTTGATGAATAAATAAACTATATTCTTTATCTAATGTTTTAATTTTATGAAAATTTTTTGAGACCTTTTTCATGTTTAAGAGAATGAATCATGTACTTTGAATTGAAGTAGGCAACTTTGTCTTGGTATTTAAAGGGATTAGCGAAAAAAAACATGCTATGCTAAGCATACCTTTGGATATTATTTCTTTCAGCGGAAAGAGCTATGCAAACTTCTAGAAAAGTTGGAACAACAAAAGAAAAGTCTTCTAGAGGTGATAGCGAATCGGAAGAAGTTTCTGTCAAGCCTGCCTTCACACCTCAAGTCCCTTAAGAAAGCATCATTGCCTGTACAGAATCAATTGGGTGTTTTGCATACTAAGAAACTGAAGCAACATCATTTGGCTGAACTGCTTCCACCTCCACTTTACGTGATTTACTCACAGTTCATGGCCCAGAAGGAAGCATTTGGTGAAGATGTCGATCTGGAGATCATAGGTAGTATGAAGGACGCTCAAGCTTTGGCTCGCCAGCAAGCAAATAAAGACAATGGTGAGTGATGCTAGTCTTACTTCCTGGCTTGTGCATAGTGCCATAGTTGATAGCTTTTCAGATGTTACTTTGTAGTTATGCTCTGTGCTCCAAGCAATACACAAGTAGCTGTGCAAAGGGGCATAATATCAACTGACATAAAGTTTGGCATTAATAGTTCAGCGAAAGATGGTGTGCTGCATTTAAGTTGAAGACAACCAATTTGTTATGTTTGCTGGATTAATATGGTTGCTAACAGAATTAACCAAGTTGTATTAGGTTAAACTCCATGGAGGATGAGTGTACTTAAAACTGTTTATTTCTACAAAGAATTCTCTTTAAGATGTATTTGATGCGTATTATATTTCAGTTTATCCTGTTATCTTGGCCTCTAACATGCTCTGCGCTTCTGGTAGCAGATGACTTTAAATTTTCTCTTTCACAAAAATTCTGAATTGAGTATTGTTATTGTAAACTACCAGGTTTACCTACTAGCATAGAGAGCTCAAGGTTGGAGGATGATGGTCCAGATGAGGAAGATGATGGCCAGAGAAGGAGAAAGCGGCCAAAGAGGGTTCCAAGCAAGGAGTCTATTGACCAGGCAGGAGTCTATCAAGTCCATCCTTTGAAAATTATCCTTCACATATTCGATGATGAGGCATCTGATCCTAGATCCACAAAACTTATCACTTTGAAGTTTGAGTACTTGTTAAAGTTGAATGTTGTTTGTGTTGGGATTGAAGGGTCAACTGAAGGACCTGAGTCTAATATCCTTTGCAATTTATTTCCTGATGACACTGGCCTTGATCTGCCTCATCAGGTTTGTGTCTGATAACTGTTATGTGCCTTCCTTTCACCCTCACCCTCTCACTCTTTGTAGAGTTTTTCCTTTTCATGTAATAATGACTGTTCTGAATGATATCGCAGTCAGCCAAGCTCTTCGTTGGTGATGCTGCTATGTTTGATGAAAAGAGAATTTCACGTCCATATAAGTGGGCCCAGCATTTGGCAGGAATTGATTTCTTACCTGAGGTTTCACCATTGCTTAATAGCCATGAAACTTCAAACGGTGAAACCAAAAGTGATGCTGTTATTTCTGGTCTTGCATTGTATCGCCAGCAGAACCGAGTGCAGACGGTTATGCAAAGAATCCGCTCACGGAAAAAAGCAGATCTGGCTCTTGCGTGAGTCACTGCTCTGTATGTTTGGAGTTTGGATCTTCCAGAAAAGAGTAGGAAAGAAAATAGGACTGAATACCACAATGTGGTCAAATCTGAATATTCAGTTATAATTTCCTGTGCTAGGGTCCTTGTTGGCATCTTAATGATATAAAGTCCCTAATATGTGGTTTTAGTACAGATTTTTACCCCTCTGCCTTAGCGTAACTTGTTTGTTTGATGAATCTTTTGTGTTTGAATATTTTATAATTTTATGTAGGAACATTATTAGCTTGTTTTGTTTTCAATGTGGTATTTTTTGTTGAAAATTTGGAATTCTTTTATTGAATTACAGGGAACAGCTTGATTCACTTATGAAGCTTAAATGGCCTTCTCTGAATTGTAAAAGTGTTCCATGGGCCTCGCATAGCCCTTTATGCAGTTTACATAGTTGGTCATCTGTAGGATCCAAAGTCAACGAGGCTTCATCTCAACCTGTTGCTGATGCAGAACCAGTTCAAGAACCTATGGATGTTGATCTGGATGGAAGATCTGGTATGTCAAAGGAAGAGCTGGAGGGTTTAAGGGAAGATGGGGAGCTTCCATCTTTGCTTTCAGCTCCATCTGTCACAATTGATGCTAAACTTACTCTATTAAAGGAATCTAGTCTTAATCATTCCAAGCAGTTGGCTTTGACTTCAAAAAGCATTTTGTCCCCAGTCAGTAAGGGAAAATCACCAAGTTTCATAAAACGTGATGATGATTCTGACTTCATTCTGGAGACTGATAGTGATCTGGATGAGCCCACAGAGACAGAGACTGAAAACTCTGCTTCTACTCAGTGCTATGAAATCGCTGAAAAATCATGGGTGGACTATTGTATCAAGGAATTTATTCTTCTTTTAACAAGGAAAATGGACACAAGTGGGAGGAATATGAAACTCGAAGCCAAGGTTTCATTAATTACTTTGTTTTGTTCTATTATGTTCACTAACAATGGAAGCCTGACACCAAATTGATTTGTTGCAGGTTAAGATCAGTATGGAGTACCCTCTTAGGCCTCCTCTATTTTCACTGAATCTTTACTCTTCCCCTCTAGATAATTCTTCTGAGAATGACTATTCTGAGTGGCAAAATGAAGTTCGTGCTATGGAAGCTGAGGTAAGCAACCGATATTTCTGAAGTGGCTATCTCACATTAATGCATAGTGATTTGCTGAAGTTTTTCTCTGGGCATGGAGACATGGAATGACATTACAATGAAGCATAGTTAATTGAGCTCATGTTTCTTATGATGAATCATGGCATTGGTAAATGATAATGGTTTCACTTATTAAACATAGTGTTTTAGCTCCTTTTTTCCTGTTCATAACAGTGTGATATGCTTGCTAGTCGAATTTCTCCAATTTCTTAGTGCTCTCTTCTACTTGAAAGTGTGTCTCCTGAGGGCCACTATTACTTTTTCATAACCATGAGCAGTAAATTCTCATTCTCTTGTTGCATCATGTAGGTAAATCTTCATATGTTAAAGATGGTACCCCCAGATGTAGAAAACTATACATTATCACACCAAGTATACTGTCTTGCTATGTTGTTTGACTATTACATGGATGAGGCAACTTCATCTTCTGAAAAGAGGAAGAGCAGTTCTGTGATTGATGTTGGCTTGTGTAAACCTGTTAGTGGTAAACTGCTTGCAAGATCATTTAGAGGGAGGGATCGTAGGAAAATGATATCCTGGAAGGACATGGAATGCACTATTGGCTATCCTTTTTAGAATTAAGGTTCTGATCTGAAAGTAATGATGTTATTCTGCTGAGCTGCCAGTTTGCTGGATGAGGTTCAGAGGATGTAACTTGAAGATGATTCTTTAACCAAAGAAGGGATTAGGGATGGACCTTTCCTGCAGCTAAACAGTGAATCTACTAGTGAACGTGAGTTTGCTTTGACAACTTGAAGGGAATTGTTTCAATATGGAACTGACTCTCCAGATTCTTTCTGCCCCTTGATTACACAAGTTGCATTGCTATCGGTTGAGAACCTTGGGGACTGGGGCCACTCTGGTTGTAATCAATTTTTTTTTCTTAATCACTCACCGTTGAGATGGAAAGGTAATGTCTTTCGCCCATATTTGTTGATTTGGGAATCAGTTTAATTGGTTTCTCAAATTTGGGCATACAGATAATATTCAGTATTATGAACAGGCGTAGAGAGTTTACCCGCACGCTGTTTTACTCCATTTCTCCTTAATGTATTTCTTTTCAATGAGCAATCAGTGGCTGAAAGCACAGAGATTGTGCATTTGATTGGTTACTTTTACAATATATTTATTTTCAATGAACAATCAGGGGCAGAAAGCGGAGATTGTGCATATCATTGGTTACTTCTACTAAGAGACTGAAGGATTAGATGGAAAAGACGTAAGCATAAGGATGCACTATCCTCACTACTCCATAAGCAGAGGCAGAGTTTACAAAACATCTGTAGACCCCGATCTCTACTACCCGAAACGCTGAATTAAGGTTGTCTACAAGTCCCATTCTGGTTACTAACAAAATGGTTACCTTAAATGGTTACGGAAGTAAGGATTTGCGTGAGCTTTCGGGGCCCGAGTGTTAGATTAAATTTTCGGCAAGTTTAGGTGCCCAGCACCAAATACAGAAATGAATAATTCATAACCAGTGTATTATTCTCATTGCATGTCTGAAACAGATGAGAAGAAAGGGAAAAAAATCCATGAATTTGTAAGGGTGCAGAAACACAGAATTAGTTCAATAAACGGGAACGGTAAGGGAACTCTGCGATGCTCTGAAATTTTACATATATGATGTAACTGATTGATCCATGATGTCCATAAAAGAAACAGATATAAAAAAAATACGACGAATATTGGAAGATTTTTAATCTACACCGCACTGATTCATCTCTCCGAATCTAAAGGAAGAACGACTACCCACCCTTAACTAAAATATGTACAACCTCCTGCCATACATAATTTAACCAAGAATCATAGGCATAACCACTTTATTTCACCATGGACTCGTCTGTGTTCTTCGCAAGCATTGCTTCTTAGCTCCTTGTTGCATATTCATCACCTCCACAACCTGTGGTTGTCAACCAATTTAAACAAGATTAGGAAATTGAACATTCAATGGTTGCCAAGTTCTATGCCAGTTTTCTAATACATAGAAGTCAATTATGATTTGCTAATAGGGGGGAAAACGCTGGAGTTTAGGGCTCGTGCATGTGGAAATTTCTTTTCAATGCTCAAATCTGATTGGATTGTGCACCTAAGAATTCTTGTAAGTGAACCAAATACGTCAAAACTAAATAAGCAAAGCAGTCAACCAGAGAGTGTACAGTGAAAGTAGATTTGAGATTAGTTACATTCAGAGGCTAATTCTTATGTTCAAGTTTAATGCCAAAATTAACACCATGTCAGTTGTTTAAGAGGGTTCCCAAAAATGGACTTGGACTATTCTAATTAGCTTTTCATGCATAACTAACTAGATTAAAAGGAGTACTGAGTGTGGCCCCTTGGGCATGGGGAAACATCATGGTAAGGGTGAAAAGGGGAAACAAAACCCATAGAACACTAAATATTCATGTACCATTCACTTAAGCAGCAGTTCCAGAATATTCATGACAAATGGCAAATCATAAATTGAGGGTTTTTAAAGGATTCCATGAGAAAACAGTATGATCTTATATGAGAAACCAATACCATTCCAGTAAAGTGGAACGATAATCATACTCAGATACATAGTGAACCCAACAGAAAAATTTTGGAATTTCTAGAGATGAAGAACTCTTTAATTCCTCTAACAAAGATGTGATTTTTGAAAGCATCTTGAGGGAGCATGCATAAGGATGATGCTTCATGATATTTGACGAGGGTAATCATATTAAGTTGTTATCAAATAAAAAGAGGAATGGCAAAGAAAATTTCTCGGCACCTGATTTTTCTGCATTTCCATGATTTCTGCCTGCAGCAACCAAATAAAGTCAATGAGAATATAAGCATGTGTTTGCCATAGCCAACAATTCCTAAATATTGTGTGCATTGAAACAAAGAAGGGAGAGAGCATACATGTTTCCTCTGCAATTCTTGATTCTCCTCTTTTAGCTTTGCAACTTCTGCTTCCAATTCCATTGTATAAGCCTAGTAGAGAAGCAAAAATCAAAACCCATAAGAAACTTCAAACACATATTTGAGACACACCACAATTTTACCAGTTACTATAGGATAGAACTCTTTTAATTCGCTATAGTTATAACAAAATCAACAAGGGCAAGGATGTCAACCTTAATCAATGGTATTATTGATTCTTATATGATAGAGCGTCAAACTTCTCATCTTGTTAAAACAAATGCTTCGTTACATAGTAACAAGGATCCTTATAACTTCTCATGACATCAACTTTCAAAATCTTTCATCTCTTCCCATGTCAGACCGCTATCAAATTACCATACTGCAACATAATCTTCCAAGAAGTTTTTGGGATTCAGCATGTAACAGATAATAAAAGCAGGTCAATGGCCAGTAAAACTCATTAAGCCACAACTAGAGGAAACTGGGTGGGAAGGTGTTGCTTGAAGTATGGTAAAAGCAGAGTAAAAAATCTTTGAGATGTCTTGGCACCACAAAGTAAATGTGATATCTCAACGTGGAACTTTATGTGATCCAGGCTATTTCTTAACTGACTTGGGAGGCATAAAAAGTTAAGCAAAATTCTCATTCAATTATAGGAACCAGAGTTGACATAGCCGGGAAAAGATTCAGATATTCAATTCACAGATGATAATAATGTATATTCCAAACTATCTACCTTTTACAATACGATAAACTAAAAAGCTCTGAAGAAGGAAACATTAGATGAATGAGTAAATCAAAAATATATTCACCTGCTTGCGAGCTCGTGATCTTGCAGCTGATTCTCTGTTCTTTATCATTCTCTTCTGCCTCCTCTCAGCAACCTTTTCCACAGCACTGCATCTTCTACCCCTCAAACTTCCATTAAACACATAAGGAACGGGCGAAACAGAGGAAGTATCTCCACTACTCTTCCCAATCCCATCTGATGAAAGGTGGTTAGCAGGTGATCCAGTTGTAACACTGACTGGCCCTCCTAAACCAACCATCCCCATCCCTCCACCTTGCAGTGCAGCACCCTGAATAAGACCATTATTCAGTCCCTGATCTCCAATCCCAGCAATTCCACCCCTAATTCCAGGACTCCCAAACCGAGCACCATTTTGTAAAGGTATCTGAGCTCCATATCCAACAACAGGTTGCTTAGGAAAAATTGGTTGCTGGTGCTGATGCTGCTGTTGAGTTTGCTGCTGAGTCAACTGGTGCTGGTTTGATCTAACTCCGTTAACGTTCAAAGGCAAATCGGAAGCCCGAATACCAATTTGATTACCACCTTCAGAAACCTTATTCCCCATCAAATTTGGACCTCTACCACCTTGTTGAAACCCAATTCCAAACCCAGTATTATTCCCGGATAGCAGTAATTCCCCAAAGAACCCCCCATTAACATCATTAACCTTCCCAACCAATTGGGTATCCTCTCTTACTACACCAGCCCTCACCAAAAACTCCTCCAAAGTCATCTCCCCTAAAGTATGCTGCCTTTGTGGCATATTGTTAGTGCCACCCACTGTTCCAATCCCGTCTATCCCTATTGAAAACTCCTTTGAAATATCTTTCCAAACTTCATCAACAGTTTTCTGACTAAGTGTCCTTGGCAAAGTCAAAGACCCTTGCCTTTGTAACCCTCCATTTCCCTCTACGGCACCATTGGAAGAAGCCATTGTTTGAGTTTCTTCAGCATTCCAAATGTTCTTCAACAACTCATCCATGTTCATTGACCCAAAATCTTTTCCTATTCCACCCATAGTGCTTTGAAACTCATCAAAGGTTAGAGAATAGATTGATGGCTGTCTAGTTAACCGATTATTCCCCAGCGGCTTATTCTCGCTGCCGTCAGCTGCCTGCTGTGGGTCACTTCCAAAGTTCTTGAAGTTCATGTTAGACCCCATTAAAATCTGGACAAAACAGTGCCAAACTCAAAAGATTTGATCCCAAAAATATATATAGATAGTCCTTTACTGCAATACTTCAGTGAAAGCAAAATAAATAAAATCCCAACAAATTTAAGGTTTATATTTTTCTCCTATATTTAGGAAGTTCACGTTTTTAATAAAACCCACAAATCAAGATCAGATAAAAACATAACCTTTATCAGTTTAAAATTTGAACTAAGAAAAACAATCAAAAACAAAAAAAAATTGAATGTAAATAACTCTCTTTTTTTTGTTCTTTAAGTGTTAGTGAAATCTAATGAAAACAGAAAGTTGGAAGTCTGAGCTAATGAAAACATGAGCTTTGCAATTCAGAAAATGAAAAACGCTACAAAATTTAACATACCAAAGATCAAAACACAACCAAACCCAAAAACAATTAAAATAGTACAAATTAATTGATTAATTCTCCAAAAAAAAGCAAAAAAGAATGAAAACTTGTAAAATATAATTTAAAAAAGAAATAGCAGACAGCAAAGAGAAGCATGGGTTGGAGAGAAAAATATAGAAATGACTGAAGACGAGAGAAAAATTAATAGAATACTAAAATATTTTTACTTATTTTTTTATTTGGTGTTTCTGGTGGCTTCTTCTGACAGCGTTTGGTTCCTTCTTCGCGAGTTAGGGCTTCGTGGGAGCGCCAAGTGTCCCTTATCTCCCTCTTTCTATTTCCCTTTTAGGACATTAAATATATAATTTTTCATGTGCGACTCCTTTTAATAATTTTGTTGGCCAGCTGGAATGTGGAGACGTGGACCAATGGCAAAGGCGTAGGAGGCCGTGATGTCAGATCGACTAATGGGGAACTGGTAACTGGGAGTTCTGGACCGTCCACGTTGCATGAAGGAACGGTGGTGATGTGTGAATTTTATGGTTTTGGATTGTAGTGGCGTTGTTGGTGGGTAGCGACAAGAGATAAATGCTAAAGAGCAATGGAGCACGCGTGGAGGAGGGGTATTATTGTCTAAAAGGATGTTTGTTTGATGTTAATCCGTTTTCCATACACACTTTTGGACATCGTTTAGGATTAATTTGACAAAAATACCCTTATTGCTATTCTGGCTTCATAGTTCATGCACGTGAAAAAAATATTGATTTTGGTTAATACATTATTTATTGATGTATAAAATAATCGTGCAGTTTAAATAATGAGATATGTAATAATATTTCAACAACACTTGTGAAGCTACAAAATTTTAGAATTGAAAACAAGCTTAATTGAATTATTATCTTATACATTGTCCATCAAGTTTTTCAAATTTTAAATTAAAATATGTAAAAATATATATAATTACGCATTATATTTATCCTAAATTTAAATTTTTTTAATATAATAAATAAAAATTTAAGTTTTTTACTATATTGATTTGTTAATGTAAATTTAACCGATAATTTTACCAATTCCTTTCTGTTAAAACATAATCACATGTTAATAATCTTGATAACGAAATGTTAATTTTGTTAACATGATTTTTTTTATCAAATTTGAAAAAAAAAAATATTGATGTTAATTTTTGTATGTTTGTGTGACATATTAATCAAACAAAATTTTGAAAGGAATATATTTTTTGTTAAAAAAGAAACTGATAGAAAGATGAATTTTCAATGCCAATTCATATTTAAAAAAAAAAAATTTAATTTTGATGTCAAATTCATAATTTGTCAACCATTCCCTATGAGTTTTCAATGCCAATTCATATTTAAAAAAAAAAAAGTTTAATTTTGATGTCAAATTCATAATTTGTCAACCATTCCACCCCCCCCCCCTTCTTTTTTTCCCTTCTTTTGATTAGTAGCATAAAGTACAACCTAAGTCACGAAAGACCGCCGTTACCTAAAAATAGATTTTTTTTTTTTTTTTTTGAGTTTTGTGTTTTGGCCAATGAAATTTTTGGTTTAGAAACTGATCCATTTTGTATTTGATTGACTGAAATCAAAGCCACGCTGCCGAAAGCACCATGGACAAACGCGGAAGAACGACAGTTACCACAAACAGAAATTCTAAAAGGATTTTTCAAAGTCATCGAAAGCGGTTTTTCACCTAATTTCTACTTGTCAAGAGGATAAGGTCCTGCAAGCCAAATGCAGTACGTTCTCTTTTGGTTCAAAATACCCAAAAATAGTATATATTTACAAGGACTTACTAATAAAAAAATATAAATAAGAATTATACCTTTTTTTTGAGAAAAATAAATCTTTTTGTTAATATTACTATTTGCTTATATACACTACTTGATCTTAATAATGGTTAGTTGGTGGGTAAATATATGCCTCAATTAGACAGATGATCGAATCAAAATCAAAAAGATTTTACTGCTTACTTAATAACCTAATAACTAGATTTATAATTATAAAAAGGTGATGAAGTTGTTATAGACTTAGGTTTACATGGTGTTAATATTTAATTTTCGTAATCTGTTCAATAATTATGTGATTTATTGAGAGAATGTTAATCGAATTTATGATAATTTTAAATATCAAAATAAGAGATTAAACAGAAATTAAAGAGTAATAAAATGAGCAAAAGAAGTACATTAAATCTATTGAACTGAATTGACTCTTTGCAAAAAAAGTTTTTTTTTTTCATTCAAGCTCAAAAATATTAAAAAAAGGAGAAAGATGCATACATTAAATGGATTATTCAAGACGAGATAGGACGTGGGGGGTTGCTTGTAGACGAAGGCCATCTTAGCAAAAGACAAACACTCTTCCACTATACTATTTTTCACATAAAGAAACACCATTATGAATTTATTTTCTTTATCAAGGAACATTTACAACACGTTTGGATCAACCAATCGCATGGTATTGGTTAGGATGTTAACTCAATTCAATAAATTTCGAAACTTGGGGTAAGGATTTTCTCTTTTAATTTTACCTAATAAGGACTTGTGGTTCCGACACTCCTAAATTGAAAGCAAAGAAAGATGAGAGAAGTAGACTTTATAACATCCGACATAATTACATCCAAATTTGGTAGTGGAATAATATGAATCAATTCATCTGAAAAAGATTGTATGTCGGCACACTTTGAACCAGCCGACGGTTGCTTGGATGGATGTATTACTAGCATATGTTTTGAATATTCCACAAAGATATGAAGACACTATTACTCAATTGAAGAGATAAATAGGAGCAAAAATAAAATTATATAAATAATCTACCCTAGGTATTAAAGTATAGGATATAAATTTTGTTATACAAGATTTAAGACTCAATTGTTATATCATAATAATAATTAAGGTTTAAGATCCAAACTGAAACTAAACTCATGAAATCTAATCATAATATTTACATCATCATTCAATGGTACAAGATCAATATGAAATAAAAACTCAAAAACCTAAGTTGAATACACTAATATTCAATAATACTCTTTTAAGTTGCCTCCTCTTCATATTGAATATATCGTTGACTTGAGTATCCTAACATAAAATCTCCTTTTAACATTTAAAAAAAAAATTTTTTTGGGCAGATCTCTACTATCCTAACGGATAATCTCTCTCTCCACATCGACATCTATAGTTTCAAAAAATCATCAACAATTTATTTGTTCAAAGTTCGAACATGCAGGTTTTATGTATCACTTTTCTCTCTTATTTTCTTTATTTTAATTTATGAAAACAATATGTTAATCTAGTTTATTTAAAAAAGACAAAATGTCATAAATCATAGAAACAGCTAGACAAGCGTGACAAGGTCACAGGAAAAGGTAAGAACAGAAAGAGGGCAAAGAGCATTGTGAAGGCTTCTCTCATCAGTTAGAATTTATGTGGTAGATAATTGGTTGTTATCATTTAATTAAAGCATATAACTTTGAATCTTTTCATATATAATAAAGAGAGAGACTATACTACAAAATAGAAATAGCCTAGTTGTAGTCACTATTAACATAGAAGAGAGCAAGCTGAGATCAAATAAAACTCTTTTTTTCCCTCGTTTATTTAGGCTTATCCCATTTGTGGAGGATGGCTCATCCTTTGGTAACCAAGCCTACCCATGAGGATATCACGGGTAGTCACTTTCTAGCATTCAAGCTGAACTTTGGGGCCTCAGCTATGGTCTTATGCAGGGAAAAAAGTATGGTTTCTAAGGGCAGAAATCAGATAGACACCACTTTGTTTATACTTAAATATATCTCTGAGGCAGTCGAGTCTTTAACCAACGTTCTTAATTTTTTGTGACCTCTACTCTTATTGCAGGTCACTTGGGGAAAAAGGCAACATTATTGTAGACCACAGCCACAGCTAACAAAGGAGTGGTATTGTTTTCACCATTTGCATGAACCTAACAATACGTCTGATACATTATTGACTTCAAGTTATGGGCGATCCTTTTCTCCCATTTCCTAGTAAATCTTTGGCCCCAATACAAAGACAGAAAGAAAAATAGGTACCTATTAGAGCTGCACATGAAATTTGGCAAAGATTTGCAAATTGTCGAGGTGAAAATTTGGTAGACCAGTACCTAATACCCGTTAGTGCCTTGTGGTGGGAAAACAATCAGCAAGAGCCAGGTAAATGAAAAATAATCATAGTGAATAAGGAAATGGCACAACTATGCAATTCACTATCTTTGTCAGTTAATTAACTGCCAAGGCAACTGACATCTGTCTTCCATTTTTAGAGGAAAACAAAAAAGGACAGAGAGCACCACACTGACATCTGTCTTCCATTAATATAATAAATGAGTGTTCTCTAACAAACAGACAATTGACACATTCTCATAAGAAAAAGATCAACTTCTTGACTTGAACTATAAACAATCTCGACACATTTAAATGAAATACCATGACAAGTACTCTGTCTTACAGTCATATTAGAAGTAAACTCTTGATATAGTTTGTTAGTCAAAGCAGAATGTGTGTGTGAGTGTTGAGAGAGAAAGCAGTCCCAAATCAACATAGAAAAATAGTGACATCCTATTCCTTGACAGAGGTACTATGGATTAAGGATATATGCACATTTGGCTTCAGACCAGTTTACCAGTCAATCCATTCAGCAGAAAGTATAATCTTTTAGGAATATGTTTTTCCAGAAACTACATCCAGCATTTAACTTTTATGAATTTTAAATAATTACTTTTAATTTCTACAACATTATTGGAGCTCATAAAGGACATATTACAAACAATAAGAACGAAGTTTAAAAGATCCTCTAAAACATAATAATATAAACTGGTTGACAAGTTCAGAGTATTACCCTCATCATCTCCGTTTACGCCTTCGGAAATGTCTGTGAATGAAGCTGTCAGCATATAGAGGATAGTTCTTTCTGATCAGGCCCTTGATGCATTTCCAGTAAGAAAAGTCAACCAGTTCTCCATCTTTTCGAACAATGAACAAACATTTTGAGCCTACAAAGTCAGGATGGTAACCAACCTATCAACCGAATATGAGAAGCGTTAATTATTTACTTAATCAAAACAAGTTGGCCAAACAGGCCATGGTACCATTTAACTTATGTAAATTCCAAAATAAAATCTTAATTACTTAAGAGGCTTCCTCTCTTTTAGCTAATTTTCCCCCTAAATTTCGTAAGTCCGTTCATTGATCTTGTAATTTTATATCAATTTGAAAACATTAACTGGAGAGATCCCTTCATCATCACAAGTCCACAATCCCATAAAAGAATAAAACCCTTTAAATTGGCTAGAATCTGAGAAGGTTGCATAGGTGGAAGAAATTTCGTTTGAAAAGTAAATATTATGTGGCTTTTGGACCAAGGTGATCTGTTCAAGTTGCGAGCTATCTGTGTCAATGGAGAGATGAAGAACAACCAAGCAAGTCTGAGAAAGAATGTTGGACCAATAATATCAAGTGCCATCCCCCTGGTAAAATTCTGATTATGTGCAGCATTAACTGCAAAACGTAAAATTAAACGACCTGGGTTTTGACGCTTTATGGCACAAAGAATTTAATCAATATTTAGATAGGAATTTCAATTCAATATTAAATAGGTTGCCCACCCATTAAAAAAGGTGATGAAAGCAATCAAGCAATTGTAATTTCACATTTTCACACTTCAATTGTAATTCCTACCTACTTCAATATTTTGTACATGATCTCATCAAGAAATGAGAAGCACAAAACCAATGAGGAAATAAAATTACAGAAAACAGAAGTTTAAGTGATGATCCTTCATAGGGGAAGATTAAAGCAGAAGGTAAAGGCGAATGTTTTATTAGAAGAAAATGTGAATATCCACTGTAGAAATTCCAATAATCGGTCAGCCTACTGCCTATAGTCTTTCTAACTAAAACTGAGAATGAATTTCACGAAATTTTGTACATTCGAACGAGCTGTTGATCAAAGAACAATTGTTCTCTACTTTGCCTCCCTATATCTAATAGTTAACAAAGGCAAAGCGTTCACATTTGACTAAGACTCACATGTGCAGTTAAAAATTAATAAAAATTCAGGAAAAAAAAAGATTAAATTTCAGAATCTTCAAAAGAAGTACTACTATAACTGATTTAAATCGGTTAGTTCAAGCTTCCAATTAAAATAAATTCCAGCGATCAAAATTCCAAAAAAAAAAGAAAAAAAAGAAAAAGGACAACAAACATACAGCAATGTAATCAATTCCGCAACCAATTTTCTTCTCAGACTCTGGATGGTAAGGAAGCAGCCTCTCAAGAATCGTCCTTTCATGCTCTGGACTCAGTCTATCTCCACTTTTATATCTGCAATAAATTTACAACATTACCATAAAAAAGCTTTTTTGTTTTTTTTTTTGAATAAATAGCTTCGAGAATTCGAATTAGGGAAAATAAAATTAAAGCCAAGAAAATTAAATTTCTTACTTTCCAGAATGAAGAATCAGTCGAACGAAGCCAACGAGAGGAACAGTGTCCTCTAAAATCCTATCTTCCCAATCAATCCATTCACCTCTATTTCTTTTTCCCTCACTACCCTCCTCTTCTTCTGAAATTCCACCACTGTCCATCGCTGGCAACATACTCGGCTTCCCCAACAAATCAGGTCCGCTGCCGATTCTCCCGCCGTTGGGCCCGGTCCTCAACGCTCGAAACCGAACTCGGAGCGACGTCGTTTGGTAGAAGGGAGAAGATAAGATCATCGGGGAGGAAGAGAAGGAGATAGGGATAGAGCTACGCTGAAGGTAGGACGGTGGTGGCTTGAGAATCGAACTCATGACAATTTGAGTGAGTTAGTGAGCTTTGAAGTAGCGTTGGAGAAAGAATCGGAAGAGTTAACGGTCACATTTCAACGCCCGTGCAAAATATGAATAGCGTTTTGCCATTGCAAAGGAAATCTTAGCTGAAAAAAAGGTAAGACCGCCTGTCTGTCCTACTAGGCGCCATTTATTTTTCCATTTTATTTTTTATTTTTTTCTTTTTGTTTATTTTAATTGGACAGATAATGGGCCTTGGGTTGATAAATAAGAGCCGTTAAGGTCCAATCCCCGGTTAAGAATGGAACAAATTGATTTTTGGCGTTTTTTTTCTAATTACAAGTTTAAGAGAATTACAATTATAATTAAATATTATATTATTAAACAATCAAATAAACAAATTAATCATCAAACTAAAATTTAACTAAATAATTTCAAGATAAAATTAAACTAAACCTAGATAATAATACTTAAACCTAAAACTTCAAGGTTTTAAAATTTTCTTTGTGCTATAAAATCAAAATTTTATTGGCTTCGACATTATATTTTTTAGATATAAAAAATAATAAAAATTATTATCCCCATTTTATTTCATTTTTAAAAAATTGACATCTATTTTTTTAGTAATTGTAATTTATCGGTCTCACATTTATTGGATTAAAAAATTAAATAATCTTATATATCTAAATATATTATTATATAATTTGAATACGTATGATACATAGATCTGTCTGACTTTATGTTAACCATTTAGTTTATGAGAATATTTGGGTCCAACAAGTATGAGATATAATAGATATATATATAAGAAAATTATTATAGGCAATATACAATATACTCGGCTTCTTTGAAATTACTACTAATTTCCCGTACTATCTCCAACTAAACTTGTTTATAGCATAGTCTGTTCACAGATACGGTGACTTTAGCAATAAACTATTACTGATGACTCCAAGTCTCCCATATGTTAAACTGGGAAATATATCTGATGAAGAAAGCAATATCACAACTTGGATTTTAATAAGAATTGAAAATTTTATTGAAGAATTTTAAGCTATTGAACCATTCAAACTAATAGCATCTTTAGTCCACTCTTTAAATAGAGAATTCAAACTTCTGAGTTTTGACTAAGCTATATATTGAAATTAGTTGATGATCATCAACTTGCTAAAATTTTCTGGTCTGAAGTAAGATATATTAATGTTCACCTACCTCTAAAGCAAAGATGTGTTGACTTCAGTAAGAATAGTTGATATCAGATATATGTAGTAACCCAGAAGTTTGATAACTATGATAATAAAAAAAAAAAAAGTCCAAAAGAAGAGAAATTTGGGTGGTTACTGGATAATAGAAAAGTCTAAACTTACTTTTTCAACTTATATTTGCGACAATAATATTAATATTAGTTCTATAGTTGATGATCATCAACTTGCTAAAATTTTCTGGTCTGAAGTAAGATATATCAATGTTCACCTACCTCTAAAACAAAGATGTGTTGACTTCAGTAAGAATAGTTATCAAGATATCAGATATATGTAGTAACCCAGAAATTTGATAACTATAATAATAATAATAAAAAAAAAAAAGTCCAAAAGAAGAGAAATTTGGGTGGCTCCTGGATAAGAGAAAAGTCTAAACTTACTTTTTCAAGTTATATTTGTAAGAATAATATTAATATTAGTTCTATCTAGCGTTGAAGCACTATTTGGAATACTTTAAATGAAGATTCGTAAGCCAGATTTTCTGATCTTCTACTTGTTTTCGAAAGGTCCTTAATTTTCCTGGCTATTCCAGTTATCTGGGGTGTCCAACATTGCTTGAATTTTTATCCCCTTTTGAAGTAATTTTTCCTGATCTTTGTCATTCAAACAAGGTGTCTGAAGATTTAATATGTCTCGGGTTACATCTTTCTTCCTGCTTTTGCCATTGATAGTGAGAATAATTGCTGAATCCAATGGCTGTGTAATGAAACGTGAGACAACCAGGAGAATAGGTGTCGTTATTGACTACAGCTCTCGTGCCGGGAAGGAGCAGAGAATAGCAATGGAAATGGCAATCCAGTATTTCCATCGCTTAACTTGCTCAAAGCAGCTGGTTTTGCGCTTCAAAGATTCTCATGGAACCTCAGCTCAAGCGGCTTCTTCTGGTAATTTTTTAACTCTAACATGCATAAACTTGTCAGAAGTAAATGCATCCACAAGAAAATGCAGTCATTCCTGTTTAGTAGATGAAATGACATCAAAATGTCAATACCTATCTCAAACTTGAGAACAAAATACTATATAGTAGCATTATTAGTTATCTTGTTAACTGGTTTTGTTACTTGCAATTAATAAGATTATGTCCATTTTGCTGTTCAAGATCAAGGCAAATAATCGCTTATTCATTTTTTTTCCATGTATTTCACTGTCGTCCTGAAGTTTCCCAACTTGAATTTGCTTCAGAGTCACCAACTCACCATATCAACTAACACGATTTAAATCCTACAACATCTACTGCAGCATTGGAGCTCATTGGTAGTGAAAAAGTGCAAGCAATGATCGGAACAATTAGACCACAAGAAGCAATTCTAGCATCTGAGATCCAGAAGGCCACCAGGGATTTGCCTATTATTATATCCCTAACTTCATCACCTGCCACGGCAGCTACGTCATTGCGCAACCAATTACCATTTTTCGTCCAAATGGCTAATGACATCAACGTCAACATACAATGCATTGCTGCCATTGTTAAAAACTTCCGGTGGCGAAAAGTGACTGTAATTTACGAAGATAACAATGATTTTTCTACTGATTCTGGACTCATATCTCTGCTCTCTGACTCACTTAGAGTTGTTGGTTCAGAGATTGAACATCATCTAGCTTTCCCTCCTCTATCGTCTCTCTCATACCAAAATGGTACCATAGAAGGGCTCAAGAAACTGAGGAGCAAGAGCAACACGGTCTTCATAGTAGTAAAATCCTCTATACAGTTTGCTGTCTTGCTTTTTGAGAAGGCTAAGCAAATGGCTATGATGGAAAAAGGCTATGTATGGATTGTCACAGATGAAATTGCAAGCCTTCTTGATTCTGTTGATTTTTCAGCTCTTTATAACATGCAAGGTATACTTGGTTGCAGAACCAATTTTATTGACTCAAGCAAGTCCTTTAGACGGTTCAAAACAAAATTCCGAAAGAACTATGGGATGAGATACGCTGAAGAAGAAGAGTATTCTAACCCAAGTATTTTTGCTTTGCAAGCTTATGATGCAGCTTGGTCAATTGCTCAAGGCATGAAGAAATCACAAGCAAATGCCACATCCAGAGAATTATTTAAACAACTATTATCAAGTAATTTTGAAGGTTTAAGCGGAAGAATAAGATTCGAAAATGCCTCATTATTGCAACATGGAACCTTTCAGATCATTAATGTGGTGGGTAAAAGTTACAGAGAGATAGCGGTTTGGTCACCAGAGTTCGGATTCAGAGAAAACTCTGATATACATGAAGGAGAGAACTCTAGATTTGGCAACAGGTCCATGAAAGAATTAGGCCCAATATATTGGCCTGGCGGATTACAAACTGTTCCAAAGGGATGGACTTCCGGTGCAGAGGACAAGCCAATGAAAATTGGAGTTCCTGCTAGGGGAGCCTTTAATCAGTTTGTGAGGGTGAATTATGATCAAGACAAGAATGGTTCATACGTCACAGGATTTTCTATAGAAGTGTTCGAAGCAGTTGTTAAGCGCCTTCCTTATCATTTGCCTTACATGTTTGTTCCCTTTTATGGCTCATATGATGATATGGTGGAAGAAGTCTATAGCAAGGTCAGATTTCTTCTTGCCTTTTGCAAATGCCCAAATTGAACCTTGTTTGACTAGAAAACTGCTACACTTCAAATGTTTCACTATGTTATAGTTATTTTTATAATCTTCAATGGTGAACACTGATAGATTCATGTAAATTTAATAGGAATTCGATGCAGCAGTTGGAGATACAGAAATACTGGCATATCGGTATCAGTATGCAGAGTTTTCACAGCCATATGTTGAGTCAGGACTTAGTATGGTAGTGACTGTAAAACCAGATAATTCAAAAGAACGGTGGATTTTCATGGAGACATTTACAAGGAAAATGTGGCTGATAACTGTAGCGTTGCACATTTTCATAGGATTAGTCATTTGGCTAATTGAACGTGAAGAAAACCCTGATCTCAAGAGGTTTGGGGCTGTGCTTTGGTTCTCTATCACCGTCATATTCTTTGCTCAAAGTAAGCCTCAGTTATAAGTCATTTAGTTTTGAATTTGTTCTCCATAACATGTAGGAGAAAAATCTGAAAAATTTTCACATGCAGGAGAACCACTAAGGAGTAGTTTATCTCGATTTGTGCTGGCACCATGGTTGTTTGCAATTCTAATCATATCAGCAAGTTTCACGGCAAGTCTTACCTCCATGTTGACAATGTCACGCCTCCAACCATCTGTTTCAGATATTAAATCACTTCTGAGAACAAATGCACATGTTGGATGTAATGGGAATTCATTTATTGTGAGGTATTTGATCACTGTCGTGGGTTTTAAGCCAGAGAACATCAAGAAAATTGATTCCATTGATGACTATCCGGATGCCTTTAGGAATGGAGATATTCAAGCAGCTTTCTTTGTTGTCCCTCATGCAAAATCCTTCCTTGCAAAGTACTGTAAAGGGTACACCATGACAGGGCCTACCTTCAAGCTTGGTGGTTTTGGCTTTGTAAGATTTTTAATAAAATGTTTTGTCAACTCTAATTATCTACTTATTCCCATTAATTGATCTTTTGCAAAATATTTTTTTTCTCTCCTTTAGGTGTTTCCAAAAGGTTCTCCTCTGGCATTTGACTTTTCGCAGGCAATCCTCAAAGCAACAGAAAATGGAGAAATGCCGCAATTGGAAGAATACTTACTCTCCTCTTACAACTGTTCCTCTTTTACAGGCATTAGCGATAGCTCAAGTTTAGGTCCTCGCCCATTCGCTGGCCTATTTTTCATATCAGGTGGTATCTCAGCCTTTGCTTTCCTAGTCACTGCTGTGCGTGTGGTCAGGAGGCACGACGATTTCATAATGGCCAAGCTAAATGGAATCCGACGTAGGGGCATTTACATTTCTCACTGAATCTTACCAAAATGTCACATTTGGGTTCTTCCAGGGAAATCCTGTCCCGTGAACAAATAGTCAAGGCAGTGTTTTGATGACATAGATAGAACAAAATCCAATGAGTTTGAAAACAGATTGTTTGCTTCTTGGAAAATTCTTAAACATAACCGTGCATACGTCTGATGACCTTTTGATGTAAATAAAGGAATTAATACTCTTAATTATGAAATTAACGTTCCAATTCACCAATCAATCTCATTTCTTTTTTGCTGGTAAGTTGCAATCAATCTCATAGGCGAAAATGGTCCAATACACTCTTTACAATTTCTTTCTGGATTCCTACTTCAACCTTTTGACTGAGCTAAGTGATCAACTTCTTACCATTTTCCAGCACTTCCTGGAAAAATCCAAGCTCACAAGTCGCTAGCTTGCATGAAGAAAAGAAACTCACCTACCAGGAAAAAACATAAGATGCCTCGACTAATATATAAATATAGTCATTAAAATATCACATATAAAGTGATATACTAATTATAATGCAGAATTTTAAAAACAATAGAAGGTTTAAGGCAGTGAGAAGTTTCTTTTGTTACTGCAATTTACGAACACAACAATGATTTTTCTGGTGATCCCGGATCCTTATCCCTCCTCTCCCACCTTTGTCATCTCTCTAAGACCAAAATGGTGCCATCAGGGAAGAGCAACAGGGTCTTCATGGTAGTTTTCCTACCTAATTGTATTCTTCAGAATATTCTGAATCTGCTCCATTGGAAAAAATCCAAGGCAGCCTAGCTGGGGCCACAGATTTATTTAATAATAAGGGCATCTTAAATCTTGTGTTGTCTTGTACCCCCCATAATTTATGCCAATATGAACTAGGCCCCACATTAAATTACCACGTGGCATGTTGCTGTTAAATTGAAACATTTTGATCCGGACCATGTCGGATGGCGAGTTGGGATCGAACATACCAAATTCACCCCCCCCCCAAACCACGCCCGTCAACATCAATCTTAATTGACCTCCACTCCACGCGAATTCATTTCCCAACAAACTCAAATTTTATAGGTTGTCTGCCATTCCACGAAAACATTCTCACACCAGAATTTGTCAATTTTCCCACCTTTGAATTAATCGAAACGCGTAAAATCACGCGCGAGAAAAAATGTAAAAAAAAAAAAACCCCTGGCGCGACCCTTAGCTTTTCTATATCTCCGCCGACACTGCTAGTCGCCAGTTCATAAAATCTACACCAAATTCCACGCACCAATTTTTTCTTGGTTCTTGTCTGAAAAGAAAAAAATAGCAAAAAAGGTTTCCAATAATCCAGTTCGTGCGAAGAAAACGATGGCGTTGATTACACTCAATTCCCAAAAAAAACCAAAAAGAAAAAAATAAATTTTTTATTTTATGTGTTTTGAAACCTTCCTAAAGCCTAAACAGAAAGAAACAATGGCAGTTTTGACAGATAAAAAGACAGCCTTGCAAGGCGAAGCCGTATATATGTAATAATAATAATAATCCGCTCACGCCTTAACATTTGGCAGTTCATTTTAATATTAATTTTAATATTTTTTTTCTTCTTTGAGTCATTTTCACGGACAACTGACAGGTGACAGCTCCTAGATCTCTCCTTGATACTGTGACACCGAACAGGCTTCATTTATCAGCTTTTTTTTTTCTTTGTATTTGAAGTGGTTGTTATTATTACTTATTTTTTTGATTGAAAGTTGAAACTTGGTATTTGGTGAAAAAGAAAAAAGCTTTGATTGGAATTTTGTGAGGAAAAATGGACGGAGGAGATGGGACGGTGAGATTAGGAGCTTTGAATTTGAAAGCGGGTCGAGGCTTTGATTCGGATCCGGATGTCTCCGTTTCTTCGCCGGTAACCCGGCAAAAAGCTGCCGCCGCCAAACAATTCATTGAGAATCATTACAAGAACTACTTGCAAGGATTGCAAGAGCGTAAAGAAAGGTAATTCTGGTCCGTACTTTTGTTGCATTTATAATAACCATGTGCTCTTTTATTATTTTTTCCTAATTTTGTAGTTGAATTAATTTGTTTTAGGTAATTATTGAAATTATGATGTTAATAAATGGATATTGTTAGCTTAGATGGAATCTGCTGTGATGCTTTTGAGAAATGAAAATATGTAGTTTTATTGGATATTAACTGTTGTTTTAAGACGGCGAGCACTGCAAAGGAGAGCTGAGGAAGCTCAGATTTCGAGTGAGGAACAAGAGGAGATGATGAGGAATTTGGAAAGGAGAGAAACTGAATATATGAGGCTGCAAAGGCGTAAAGTCGGAATTGATGACTTTGAAGAATTAACTGTAATTGGAAAAGGTGCATTTGGCGAGGTATAATTCAAATGTTTGCTATATTAAAGCTCTTGATCTTTGCTTAAAATTTTCAGTGAATTGACCTCATTGGGGGTCTTTTAACTTGTTGATGCTAATGTATATAATTATATGGCTTGACAATTACTATTGTTTATATGTAACAAATGCAGGTTAGGTTATGTCGTGCCAAAACTACGGGAGAGATTTTTGCCATGAAGAAGTTAAAGAAATCAGATATGCTTAGTCGTGGACAGGTAATGCACCAAAATAATACACTTTGAAAATAGAATTGCCTTTGTTGCTTATATCAACCTTTTTTTTTTTTTTTTTTCACAGGCTTTGTTTTCCCTTTTGTACTTAGTGGTTTCATTGCTGGATTAAACATATGATTTCAAAGATTGCTAGAATTCCTTAAAATGATTGGTAGCTTTCTTATTTAGTTGAGGAAATATCTGCATGGTTATTGCCTTACTTCCTTTTCTTTCAAACCCCCTGTTTATTTTGGTACTATGGTATTATTGGATTCCGGTTCAATGCATAGGCGGTTGGCAAATACTCACTGCAACTTAGAAAAATCTTAATCCTGCTTGGTTTGGAATGGTTAGGCTCTTTATGAAACCGTGGATTATGACACAAACCCACACATTAAGTTTAAAGTGTTATCCTTATTGTTTACTTTTCTTCAAGGTTGAGCATGTTCGTTCTGAGAGAAACTTACTTGCCGAGGTTGATAGCCGGTGCATTGTAAAGCTGTTCTATTCTTTTCAAGATTCTGATTTCTTGTACCTTATTATGGAGTATTTACCTGGTGGTGACATCATGACACTACTGATGAGAGAAGATATTCTTTCTGAAGATGTTACGCGTTTCTATGTAGCAGAGAGCATTTTGGCTATTCATTCAATTCACCAACACAACTATATTCATAGGTATTGCATTTTGTTAACATGTTTCTAAAATTACTAGATGGATTTTCCTGAATGTTGTCATACCACATTTTAATAGATGAGGGATAGCCTTGACTAGCCACAAGGTTGTCATACATTGTGCTTGGGCTGGAGGGAACTACATGGGGATAAGAAGATACTTTAAAATACTTGAAACTAGAATAGTCTCTTTGCAGATATTTACTCTTTAAGATGTTTTGCTTGTAGGGACATTAAACCAGATAACCTAATACTAGATAGGAATGGGCATTTGAAGCTTTCAGATTTTGGGTTGTGTAAACCCCTAGATGACAAATATTCGGCAATTTTGTTGGAAGATGAAGAGTTAACTTTCCAGGAATCTACCAGTGAAACTGAGGTCCCATCGGGCTCTGAAAGACCGCCTTGGTTGATGCCAAAAGAACAACTACAACAATGGAAACGTAATCGACGTGCACTGGTATTATCTTTATTCTATTTGCAGTTACCTGCACACAGTTCATGTGATAACTTTTGTATTTTTCTGATTTTACATTTGTTAAATTTCTTAATCAGGCATGTTACTTTCATTTAGTACCAGCTAACATCTGGCTTTTGCAGGCTTATTCAACTGTTGGAACTCTTGATTACATGGCTCCTGAAGTTCTATTAAAGAAGGGTTATGGGATGGAGTGTGATTGGTGGTCTCTAGGTGCAATCATGTATGAGATGCTCATAGGCTATCCTCCATTTTGTTCTGATGATCCTCGGATAACATGCCGCAAGGTGGCACCTAGTTTTTGGTTCCTAGTTATTCTGTTAGCCTCCTTTGTTCGCTAGGTGGTAATCTTTCTCTCATGCACAGATAATCAACTGGAGAACCTGCTTGAAATTCCCTGAGGAACCAAAAATATCTTATGAAGCTAAGGATTTAATTTGTCACCTGCTTTGTGATGTTGAAACCCGTCTAGGCACCAGAGGAGTAGAAGAATTGAAGGTAATTCCTTTTAATGATAATAAATGTTTCTTATAATAAGTATTATATATTAAAGTTCAGAGAGTTCCATTTATGTTTCTACACCTTGTTAGTTTCAAGATACCTTTTGCATCAAGCATTAATGATAAGTAAATACATATTTTCCTGGCAGAAGACTGCATTCTAGATCTTAATTGTTTAGATTGACAAACTTGTTGCACCATCTGTTCGTGCAATATTTTAGTATTGGATCAATTTGTTTATTTTCTTTGTTTGAGCTTGTTGCTATTCCTTTTTTTCTTTTTTAATTTTGAAGTCTTGAATATTTATCAGGCACATCCATGGTTCGAAGGTGTTCAATGGGAAAAGCTATACGAAATTGAAGCTGCATATAAGCCAACAGTCACTGGAGACTTGGACACTCAAAATTTTGAGAAGTTTCCTGAAGTGAGTACTTTGAATGCTAATGCATCTGATTCGTACCCTTTGAATGGGTTAATAAGGTTTTTACAACTCTTAAGACTCATCATACTCTTCCTACTTTGGAGCACTTTTAACTCAATAAAGCCTCTTTTCCAATGGTGAATATTAAGAGTTTCTATAAATTGGAAGCTGTCTCCCTGTATTTTGGTTGAAAAGTGGTATAACAATTTTGATTACTTTTGCTTGTTGCTCCATCTGAAACATTAAGCAGCATGAAGGTTTAATGTGTTTTTGATGAAAGTTTGGAATTCTTTTTTTTTTCCTTTCTTTAAAGCTCTACTTTTATACGTTTTCAGTAAAACTAATTTTGTTATTTCTTGCTTTTTGGTAGATTGATGGCCCTCCGTCCACAATACCTCAAATAGGACCGTGGAGGAAGGTAAAGACCTTTGCTCCAATTTCGTTTTCTTTCTAGAAAGTTTTTGTGGTACTGTGTATATTAGATTGATGCTGAAACTTTGTGATATGTTTTTGTTTATTTGATGGCACAGATGTTGACATCGAAAGATACCAATTTCATGGGATTTACTTTTAAGAAATCAGACATCGTTAAATCACTTGAAAGTTCAGGTATACTTCTTTATACATACGTGGGAGTGTATTTGGAACTGTCATGTAGTAATATATAATTATTTTTTGGAATTCATCAGATTGATTTAAACCAATTGCATTTTGCTAAAGCTACATGCACTTTCCTTTGTACTGTTAAGCTTTAATGCTGTATCTTCAGTAAAGGCTAAAGCTGCTTGCAGTTTGGCTTCTACACGATGATGGACATTACAGTTTGGTTTCTTCTTCGTTCACAAGTTGTGAATGGCTTTCAATTGAGAAAGTCTGTGTATGGCAAGTTTTGGCATCTTATTCTCATTTTGCAGATCTACTATACAGTAGTTGAGGAGTTGCTTTGTGCTTATAGTATCTTGTGATAGGTTTTCACACAGCAGTTATGGTGACTGTTCATGTAGAGAATTTTATGATGGCATCATGGGATGCCAAACATGTTATGATTCTGGATGTGGACTCATTAATTTAGATATGCATTGCAGGTACTGACATGAGATCCAACGAACCTTCGAAAGCCCCATCTCTTATTTCCTTGCTAGGTATGATATTTTTCTTTTCTAGAAGATCCTCAGCTTCATGGGGAAGAAAGCTTGTTATGCTAGTGTTTTTCACTGGAGAACACTGAGACACTGATGAAATTTAGTCTTTGGAAATAAAGGAACATTATCGTTATTGCTTGTGGCTGATTGCTGATTGATCCAAAGAATATATCTTCATCACAGTAATCAACCGTAGATGCCTCATTTAGCATTGAAATACCTATATGGTATGCAGATGAGAGCCAGCTAGTTGCTCTATTTTGGTTTTGTTTTCTTTACCCCTTTCTCTCAAGTAAGCAAAATATCATAATTTCATTTGTCGTAAAACTATTTTTCTATAATATCTAGAATATTTGTTTAGCATATGACAAACTGGAATGGTCGATTTCTCCCCCACTTTCCTCTTGTTGTCACGTTCTTTCTGTAGCTAATTTCAGTTTATGAATCGATTGGAACTGAATTTAGTTAAATATGTAACATTTTTTCTTTACTTAAAAGAAAAAAACGTTATACTGAAAGATCCATCCACACTTGTCCATATCAAAATAATTTCCGTGTCTTTTTAAAAGCTGGAAAATACATGCTTCATTTGATTATCGGATCGATTCTACTGATGCAGGTCAGATTGATCTTCAAGAAACGGTAATACCAGAAGGTGAGCAGAAGCAGGAAACTTGAATCTGTTAAGAGCAGGTGATCTTAGTTTCATCTCCAGGTATACCCTAAAGCCCAAAGATTATCACATGAGAGATTGAATTTGTCATGAACTGCTGCTGCCTGGAGACATGAATAAGGTCAACTAAAAAATTGGAAGTCCTCTTGGCCACTATCCTTTTGTTTCCCCAAATATTGTGCTGTATACTGTAAAGCCAAAATTATGTTCAATCCATTTTGAGAGTAATTTTCCCCGGAAGTTAAATTTCCCTTGTTAAAGTTACCAAAAATTTTCATTTGAAAAGAATTTCTATGTATATCCAACAAATCATTATCAAATCCATTCTTGTCTGTGAAAAAGTGGTTCCTCCTGCTGGACCACAACTTCTTTTGCCCTTTGAAATTTAGAATGTGAATACAAATTTTAATTTATTGCTTTTTGAAAAAATAGGATAGGAGAGGTTATTTTATTTTAAAATTAGGTACGTCGGTGAATAATTATATTTCCTCTTTTTTTTTTTTCTTTTTTTTTAAAGATGTTTTAATATTGTATCCTTTTTTTTATATTTTAAAATTATATTTAATGATTTTTTTACTTTTTAACATTAAAAATTATAAAATTGTAATTTTATAAAAAAAATAAAAATTAATATTAAATACATCAAAATTAAATTTTTTTTTTAGACTTTGTAAAAGTCGATAGATGATACATAAAAAAAAAAAAAAAAAAGACTGGTGAGAGTGAAAATTGAATTTAAAATTATAAAAACTATACCTTTGAAAACATTGCTTTCCTTTGGAAGAAAAAGCGAAACCACGAGCCTCACGCGCCTCGCAAAAATCTCTTGCGTGAGCGAATCGCAAAATGTGATGATCAAGCAATTGACCGATTCTTCAGCATTAATTTTCATTGGTCAGATCAGACGCAATGATCTGACATATAGCTTTGTCTCCATTCATAATTTTAACTTAAAAATTGATATTTCTAGTTTGATACAATTCAATTAAAAAATCCACCGTCTTTCCTTCCCAACTTGTATAAATATTCATTGAATTATTGGTTCTATGTTCTTCAATTCTATTGGGGAAGAATCCGCCCACTGAATCATTTTCCCTTTCCCAAAGTAACTAAAAATATCCCGAACTAGCTGATTAAGTTGCGAATTTTATTTTTAAAGTTTAATAATGCAAAATATCCATAAAATTATGTTCTTAAATACTATTCACGTGATTAATTAATTAATGGTGTATGATCCTTATAATCATAAATAATTAATATTAATTATTAAAATATAATTAAATAGATTACTTATAACCAAACGAATGAAGAAAAAAAAAACAAAAAAGAAAAGGATAAAATAGTGTGGCCACGTAATCTTATCTCTGAACTTAAACAAAGTAAAAAGAAGTAGAGAGGTAGATATTTTGAAGACCAACAAATATCTGGCGCTTTCGCCACGCCTATGAAGTGACGTGGCAATGAAAAGGTCCCATGACACTTGTAAAAGCGATGACAACTGTAACGCTCTTTTGTCCCGCCCCTCAAACCCCACCTTCCCATTATATCTCACCTGCCATATCTCCTCTTCTATCCTTGTCTCTCAAATATTTCCCTTTATCTATTTCTTTTTTGAGATTAATTTTATCGTCTTCTAATCTGCAGAATTTGGGGCATCTTTTTTATTGTGTTTGTTTCTTCGCATGGAGGGTTTCGGGAGAATTGAGTCTCGGACGAGTTCAGAGGCCTCCGCCGCTGAGTTGACTTGTGAGAGGTCACCCGGGTTTGCTCACCAAGAACAAATTCCAAGCTTGGTAAATAAACCCTCTTCTTCTTGGTTATTGATTTATGCATCAAGGAATGTGAGTAATGGGTTCCTTTTTTTTTTTTTTTTTCTGGTTTAAAGGAAATAACTTTGACATGGGTTTAGCTTGTAAAGAAGCTAAATTTCCAAATTCACTTTAGAGCACCTAATATACTAATAAACCATTTTTACATGGTAAATTTTCATAATTTTCAATCATGCATGTTCTTTTTATTTTCATTTATAACGTTTCTGTTGAGCATTAAAAAAGAAAGTTCTAAGAAAAAGTCAAGTAGTTATGATTACATGTTTCTAACTTTTGAGTTAGGTACTATTAATTGAGGACTTGTAACATTAATTTTCTATCATCACATAGATTTCATAGTGTTGATGCAAGCTGTACATATTGTTTTTTAATTGATTGTTTGCTGTTCTCTAATCTGGTTGTAAAGGATTATGTGTTTTCTTGGCTTTTGCGAAATCTTTCTGATCATGTGTAGTGTTAATGATAAACAACAGGATTCTCTAGTGACAGAATCTACCTCTACAGAATGGACAGATGAGAAGCACAGTTTGTACCTTAAATCCATGGAAGCATCATTTGTTAACCAGTTATATGATTCTATGAATTTTCTTGGTTGGAACTCACGGAAGAAGAAGTTACCAGGATCAACATCATCAAGGCACACACATTGTACCGCTTCTGGCCAGGTTCAAGACTGATCTCTCATCTCTGCTTCTTGAATCTTGATAATGGTTGCCTCTCCGTTCCCTATGCAAAATCTTATTTAATGTTTGTTCCAATCTTTATTGCAGTTTAAAGTTCTTCGAGGTGGCTGCTGGAAGAAGATCAATTTTGAAAGACCTGGATTTCAACTAAGTAAAACGGATGACTCTAACTGTTTTGTGGCAAGTCCTTGGATTCAGCACTTCAGATCTGGATCTAGGTCTCGTGTTTTAGCCTCCTTGAGTCTTCAAGATAGTGCTTCATCCGAAGGTAAAACAAACAATTTAAACATGAAGAAATCAATGTTCTGGTATCAGCTTCTTAAAACACTTTCATGCATGTCATCTCCAGATTGTGAAAATGACATTATTGGCATTTGGCAGTAAAATAGATGTCTGCAGTGGTATTTTGGTGTGTTCATGGTGATTTCATCTAAAATATGTGTTTTTGGTGCCTGTAGTGGTACCTGAGTTAACTCATCCAATCTTAGACTTGCTCGAGATTAATAATTTAGACTTATATGGTTGATTTGTCAATGTTTCACTTGAAGTGCTCTCAGTTCTGTTTTTAACCTCTACTATATCATGATTTCTATCTATATATGATAGCAAAATAAATATTTATTCAAGATTATCAGATGCGTATTTTATACTCTCTCTTTATGGTTCAAAATGTTAAAGTTTACCGACTGCGATTGAGATTAGCTATTAGTCCTTTTCATACTCTTTTGATGTCTCATAACCATGGTATATTGTTATATTTATTTGATCCAGCTTCGCTGGATTTTTATGTTTGTAAGTGAGAATAGCTGTGAGGTTATTGGAGCTGAGGTTTTGGGTAAGTGCTGAGTGCCTATGCTTGTTGTTAGGACTTAGGAGGCGTGCATATATTTGTTTTTATTACATTGTCTACCAATGAATTTTCTGTGTACTTGATGAATTTCTTTATTGCAAAATATGTACTGCTTAAAGTTACATCATCTAGCTATCAAAATAATCAAACTCTAAGAGATTGGTTGTTGCAGAAGTGTCAGATCAGAACTTTGTCGATGAGGAACAAGGTGAAAAGACTAGCAGTGAATGCAGCTCCAAGAAGCTGAAAACTCTGGCAACTGATGCTTCATGCAATGATCAGGTAAAATTTATTAGCATTGATCCTTTGATTATAACTAAGAAAAAACATAAATCACATTTTTTAGTCCTAATTTTCTGGCATCTTTCTCATTTTGTTTTAAGGTTGTTCCATAATTTGAAGCTTCTTTTACCAGAAGTAGCTAAGCATGTATCGCTGTAGCTTGATAAAGGGCTTCCACCTGGGAAACTCATTTTGAAAGCAAATATTTTGTGTAATTACATCCTGATACAGTGAGCAAACCGAAGGAAACTCAATAGATATTAATATTTGGTGACTTCTGTAACCTAGATTTCAATTACTTAACGCTTGTGTTACCTGCATATTCACGTATACTTGACACCAGCAGAGACAGAGAGATCGGAATAGTTCATGCAGGGCAGTTTCTTCTTGTAAATATAGCAAGTGTGGCATTTTTATTTAGTTCTAGAAGGATGAGTTTTGAGTCGAGAACATTCCATGTTGATCTACTGATCATGTTCTTTCTGTCTATCTGTACATATATTATTCTCACTATCATGCAATTTTTGAATTTTGAATGTGATATATTGTTGTCCTCGTGTAGTGTAATAAAGGTTTGTAGTGAAAGCTACAATGAGTAAAAACAATGCATGAATTGCTGCATTGCACAGAATTGGTTGGCACAACCATCGCCAACTCTGTTGATTTTGCAGTTAAAAGAGAGTGTTTTTAGGTGAGTTTTGTTGCTAGTTGATAGTGTGAGTTAAGGGATGCAACTTTATCTTGTCTTGATTCATTGCAAAAGGAAAAGGAATAAGTAAATTTTGGAATTTGCTTTATGGTTGGCCTAATAGTTGAGCTACTACTAACCTTCTTGAGGGACAATCTTGGTTATTGGTTTGTGAATTCTTGTGATGCAACTTCATGCAATTCTTGTGAAAGTATACTGGTCAACCGAAAGCACCATAAGAAAATCATCTACGTGAGGGGTTTTTAGGTTTTTGAACTCTATCAACGAGGTTAAATTACTTCGATTCAATCGGTATGGATCTAAATGACTTCGATTAGATCTAAATTATTGTAATTCAATTGATTATTTCGATTCAATTTTAAAGATCGTTGAATTTACTAATTGATCTTTGAATTTGTTGATAGACGATTTTTATTATCAACAGTTTGATTCTTTTTTATCATCGAGGACGATGGAATTCTTTATTCTAAACTTTTCAACTATCCAAAAAAATTTTCATGTACTTTTGTAAATTTAATCCAAATTTTAAAATTTTATTGATGGTGTTTAAAAAAAAAAAGCTCAATTTTTGGAATAAATAAAATAACATTTTAACTTTTGATAAAAATGGGAAAAAAAAAAAACATTCTTCTTTTTTCACCAAAGTAATTTTTTTCCTTCTATATTATAAATAAAAAAAAGTTTAATGGCCAGTATTATTTGGAAAAGGAAATTTAGAGTTTTCTTTTCCTAAAAAAAAAAATACTAATACGTATGAAACCTCAAAAAAAAAAAAAAAAAAAACACATGCTGATCACTGTTCTCAATTCTTAAAATTGGAATTTTTTACCCTAAAACCAAAAAAAAAAAAGGAAAAGTATTAATCCCGAAATTTATCACCCAACCGTACCTTAAAATATTGAAACTGAAAGCATATTCTGGAATCTTGGTCCACAGTTCAAACAAAGAAAACTTTCGAGTTAACTCGTCCTTGATATGTAAAGGGCGTCTCTTTTTCCTTCTTTCCGTGTCAACCTAGGGTTTCCAATTTTCATTTTTTTTTTCGAATTTCTCTTACCTTCTGGTTATTAATCTTCAACATTTCGTTTCCCCCAATCTTTTATCCCTAACAGTTTCCAATTCGCTCTTAATTCCTAAAATTCACAATGCCGCCATTTTTATCGACCTCGAAGGTGGTGCGGTCTGTAATATCCCGTAGAAATGTGATAGATCGTTTCATTAGGGACGCCAATAATAGATGGCGTTCCGGGAACTTCGATCAAATCCGATGGATTACTGGCATTCCCGGTACCGAAACGCCGCCGGTTCACCCATTACTCGGTCCACGCAAAGAGGATTCTAATTTATCATTAAACAATTTTTTCAACCATTACACTCTCCAAAGGAGAAGATTTTTAGGCTGCGGTGACGGCGAAGAAGGCGGCGTTTTATCAAAAGTTTACGAGGAAAGGATCGTTATGGGGTAACTTTATCAAAATCTTCTTTTATTGTTGTTAAAGATTTAAGTTAGTATAAGACTTCTTATTGGATTAAGGCATGTCGAATACGCAAATGTAAATGATTTTGTTGATAATTAGGTATTCTCCGGAGCAGTTATTTGATGTGGTTGCAGCTGTGGATTTGTATAATGGATTTGTTCCTTGGTGTCAGCGGTCTGATATAATCAAACGGTATCCAGATGGATCGTTTGATGCTGAATTAGAGATTGGTTTTAAGTTTGTTGTTGAGAGTTATGTTTCTCATGTAGAATTAAGAAGACCAAAGTTTGTAAAGGTATTAATAAACTTTCCCTTATCTTTAAATCAGCTGTTTTCTCATTGCTTTGTTTTTGTTCTGTTTTCTTTGGGTTGATGATATATTTTATTAAGATATTGCATATCGATGCTTGAAAATGTTGCAATATGCTAAATTTATGAACTTTTTTTTTTCTCGAAGTTACTTTAGGAATTGATTTTAATTTCAATAAGCTCTTTGGTTGTAAACCTCTTTGTATGCTTTGGCATTCCATGATATTGAATGTGAGTGAGAACATATATTTTGTGCATGCTATAGTGTATTGGAATTTAAACTTCATCAATCCCAGTTTGCACTAATTGTAAATTGTTAAGCCTTCATTATCCTAATGTTTTGGGAATAGATCAGTGCTAATGTAGATTTGTTGCCAACCAAGGATCTGCCAGCTATAAACCACTGACTGTTCAGCTATTTGTAACTTTATGAGCATGTTTTGAGGCAACGTCATTTTGAGTTCTATATAATGCATTTAGGGGACTCAGATACCAAATTTTGGATTAGGTGGAAATAGACACGATTGAGATGTAGTATGTCATGGTTTTTGGTTAAATTTCACCAAAACAGGAATGAAGCAATTGGACAACTGCACCCATATTTCTCTCTCACTCCCCCCTCCGAAATATTAAATAAGAAGCCATTGCCATGAAATATGAATTTAGAGAGAAAGCACCTTATTTCCAGTACAAACACAAACTTGAAAGTTTACTGAATGTTCTGGAGCAGCCACATTTGCGTTTTCAATTATCTTATAATGAATTTTTATTTGTTTGACCTGCATGGTTTTGGAGTATATGTATGATCTCTTTTGCTTCTTGGGATTGAAATGGCCATTCAACTACATATAGATCATTTTTAATTAGGATTTACTGTTGGCTGGATAAATAAAAGGAAACTCTTCTGAGCCTCTGTCTATACCATCTGTGGGCTACTATTTTATACTTGCGACTTATTGCAAGGATATAGCTTGGCTTGTCACTCCAAATATGGTCCTTTTTTGTTAGTGCATTTAAGTTTTTCTCCTTATCATTTGCTGATGATCTGACCCTGTATTATTTCTTTGCAGTCAACTGCATCAGAAAGTAGCCTTTTTGATCATTTGATAAACATTTGGGAATTCAATCCTGGACCAGTTCCAGGAACTTGCAACCTTTACTTTCTTGTCGACTTTAAATTCCAGTCACCGCTTTACCGGCAGGTAATGGCCGCATCGGGGGATTGGTAGATCATTACCCATGCTATGCATGAGTATGGTGTTGCATGACTACTGCATATAAATTATTCTTCTTCACATCTGCATTTCAGCATTGAATTTCTCATGAACATGTTTAACAACCATTGATTATGACCTGTATGTTATTTTTATTTCACTTTCCCTTGCATGATATGCATGTGACAATAACTCTGCTGTTTTTTCATTTGAATTATCATGTCTTTTTTCCTTTGATAAAAATTGTGCCCAGTTCCTGAATAGTTGCTTTTATATTCTTGTTTGTTACCTGATTCTTTCTCACTTTTGTTCGTTCTAATATAAATGCTGCCCGGATTGTATGACCTTTTAGTGCATTTTATTGCCTGAGAGTGCATACCTTCACTTGTGAATACATTTAGCCAAACTTATAAATCTTCAAGGAACAATAGAATTGGGGACTTTTGACTTTAAAGGGTTTCTACATGTATTTTTTTTTTTAAAAGAGATAATTCTAGAACTTTCTTTTCTTATGGTTCATTCTGCTTTATAATCCAAAGTTTTAAAGATTGAAAATTTTATCTGAGGTAGCTTGACTCATCGTAATATTTTGATGTCAAACAGGTGGCATCCATGTTTTTTAAGGAAGTAGTCTCTCGATTGGTCAGCTCATTCAATGAACGATGCCGATTGATATATGGCCCTGGGGTTCCAGTCCTTGAAAACTCTTATGGGGAAAGGACATGAGTATTTGTTTATGGAAGCACCCTTTGAAGTGCGGTGAATTGCATTTAAACGCAGCTGGGATTGCAAGGATACTCTCGCAATGCCTGCTGGGTAGTTTTTGTTGTGTACTACCCAGCCATAAAAAACTTGCCTTTAACCATATTAGGTATTCGTTTGATCTTGTTCCCTCATCCAATTTCCACAAAGATCAATTGATATTCAATCAAATTCTCGGATTTTGCTATTTTTTACTTTCTACAGTTCTTCACTTTATAGCTACTGATTTATCAACAATGCACTTGTGTCATTCCACAGAATAATCAATATAATATAATAGTAAGATAATTTGTCACCTTAAGAGCGGAGTCGTCGGGTGAAGTGAATTTTATAAGATGGATAAAGTTATGAGTATTAAATGAATGAATTTTAAATTATAGAAATGATGAAAAAAATGTAAGGATATAAAATTTATTGATTTAAAGGTTAAGTTACAAAATAAGAAAGCATATATGAATTTTAATTATCAGATTAATAAATTTTTTGTTTTCATTTGTTATCTTTTCTATAAGTTAAACTTTCATAGTATTTGAAGTATAAATGTATTAACTAAAGTAATATTTATCTTTAATGTTTTTAGTTTCAAATTTATGATATGTGACGAACAAATAATTTTTAATTATGTTTGAGGCATAAGATTAATGATAAGATAAGATGATAATCATTTTATCTCATGTTTAATTTATATTTAAAGAGAAATATGAATTGTAAGGAGGATTAATATCCTCTTGGCATAGAATATTTAATTTTCTCAAAGTAGAAGAGATTATTTTTAATTAATAGGATTAAATTTATATGTTTAATTATATCTTTAAAAATTATATCAATAATTTAAATTGTATAAACTTTAAAAAAAATATAATTTTGGTAAATAAATAAATTATCTTATTCTAATTCTTGCATATATCAAATACAAAATAAATTGATATTATTTAATATAATTCTATTCATAATATCATCTTATCTTATTATATCATAATTTATATACCAAACATAACTTTTAAATATTATATTAGTTATCTAATTTATAATTCAAAAATAATATTTTAATGTCATATTTAGTGTATAAGATGATAAATGAGATAAGATAATCATTTTATATTATGTTTAGTTTATAATTAAAGAAATGAATAAGATTATGAAGAGAATTAATAATTATTTTGACATATGATGATTTAATCCTCTCAAAGTAGATAAGATTGTTTTTACTAAATAAGATTAAATTTACATATCTTATTATATCTTAAAAATTATATTAATAATTTAAATTATATAAAATTTAAAAAATAATATTGATAAAAAATAAAATAATTTTATTTTAATATTTATACACATCAAACATAATATAAAATAATATTATTGAATTTAATTATATTTATAATATCATCATGTTATAATTTTTTAATACAAAAACATCTTAACTTTTTAAAATTATATCACATTAAATATTTTAATATAATTTAATAATCATTCGAATCATTAATAATTCATAAAATGTTAGGAATGCAACCCCAATCGCTCGCTTAAACTTGCAAAGGATTGGGTGTTTTAGGCCAAGGTGCTGGGTTTTTTAAATTTTAAACAGAAAGTTGAAGGTATGATATACGATTGATTATTATTATTTTTGGTAAAGTCGATATTCATATTCCCAAGTTATCAGAAGTGTAAAAATTATGGACCATTCGATTTGTATAATTGACCGTGTTTTTTTTATCTTTTCGAAACCCTAAAATCTACAGCAAAAGCAAGAAACAGAGATGCCACTTTTCAAAGGCAAAAAATATTATTTTCAATAAAAGATAACATATAGAAATTTAAAGGCCAAAACAAATGACACCCCCAATTTTCTAATCTTCCTTTTTGCTTTAGTTTCTCCCACTTTGTCACTTTGTCAATGAAACCCATACTTGTTCTATTTTCTTTCCACGAAGAATATTATTTTGGATTAACCTCTTTATAAAAAATTCAAAATTCACAATTTAAATGTCCAAATTAACCTTTCAAGATAAAAGTAACTATGATAAATCTTAGCCCACTATAAAATATCTTGCCCATGCCTGAAGGCACTCGAAAATCAACAAGCCACGTCATGCTGGTCCACAAATTTATCGACTCAATAAAGATAATGCGTTAACAATCTCACAGTAAAATAACTTGCAACATATCTAAAAGTAAACCATCAATCTGAAAAGTTTCCTTGATGGTAAATTCAACAGACAGTGAGCAGGAGTTTAACAATTTTCCCATAGAAACAGCCGCATCAGATCATATATTTTTTTCTCTAACTGTTTTTACAAAATAAAACTATTTTTTATTGAAATGCGTGTGGCGTTTAGATCATAGCCTGATCCCGTGCCAGACAAAACAATAAATTCTCAGTCAGCTACCTGCCCTACCCCTACCTACATAATAAAATCACCATCGTGTCGGCAAGGAAAAGCAATTTCAACAGTAAGCCAAAGCCAGTTTCTGTTTTCATTTCTTCTTCTTCTTCTGTTTCTCTTATTACTTTGGTGTCATAATGGCTAGTACTGAGTTGAAATCTGATAACATGTTTGAGATGATGAAAGTTCACTTGGCTTCTGACGCTGGTAAAGAGCTCACCAAGAAGATCGGCCTCGTTTACCAAATCAATATTGCCCCCAAGGTTAACCCTTTCTGCTTTCCTTTTCCTTTTATTTTTTTAATTTAGATTTTAATTTGATTTGAAAGCTTGTTTCTGATTCTTGGATTTGTTTATGACTTATAGAAAATTGGGTTTGATGAGGTTTCTTATATTGTTGATCTCAAGAAAGGAGAGGTTACCAAAGGTTAGCCCCTTTTCTTACTTATCTTGTTATTCAATCCTGTTCTTGTTCTTTTTTTGTTTGTCTTTGTGTTGAATTTGTTTATCTTTTTCTGCCTATTAATGAAATTGCTGCTTTTTAAATTGTAATGATGGAATAGAGTTTCAAGCTTCTATATTTTGCATTGTATGATCTGCAGAAGTTTTGTTACATAAGATTTTCTTTTTATTGAAAATTGAAATGGTTGCTTGCAAGTGTCTACCCACTAGCCCATTGGACCTTGTAGCTAGAGTTAAATTTTGTAGCCAGTTGGGACTCTTCTCTGTCCTTTTATTATGTCTTTTCTATCATCTTTATTTGGTTATTCAACTCTTTCTATGACAATGGTAGCAGAGCATACCCCATGTCGTTATTCAATAGCTTCACCATTTTTTTTTTTGCCATGGTAAAAGTGCTACTAATTTTTTTGAACTGGCACTGCTTTCCATTATTAGCTGTTCGATGGCAAAGTCCATTAATTTTTCACCCAACTAGCAGGTTAGGGGGTTACGAGTTACCTAACTCTCTTTAACATATGGTGTTCTTGTGTTGATGATAAAACATTCTGTCTGTTTCAGCAAGTTTTTGGCCATATGAAACTGGTAATTATGACTGTTCTATTTGTATGTGGTTTAGTGTTTATCTCGGTGACTTGCTCTTGGATATTCAAGTATGGTTACATTATATGATCAGTTCGCTCTTCTTGTTTCATTAATAAAATACTGCAATTTTCATTGTAAAGTTGTTCATTATCCTATTACCCTGATCTTTAGGTAAATATGAAGGGGGAAAGCCTGATGCTACCTTTTCCTTTAAGGATGATGATTTTATAAAGGTTGCAACTGGGAAGATGAATCCCCAGATTGCTTTTATGAGGTACAATTCTCCAATGTCTATTTCCTTACTCTTTATTATGAGTAATTTCTTTTGTTTATGTGTGTTTGAGAGAGGGGGGGTCGGGCTTGTAATATATGGGAGCTGCAATGTTAATCTGCTTAGGTTTGTCTAACAATTAATACAACGGCATTGATGATGCAGGGGTGCAATGAAGATTAAGGGGAGCTTGAGTGCAGCTCAGAAATTCACTCCTGACATTTTTCCAAAGCCTGCAAAGATGTGAGCAGAGATGCTAATGTACTAGTGTATTACTAGGTTCTTTTGTTGCAAAAGCTAAAGTTAGAAAAATATAAAAGGAAGCCATCTGTCAACCTCTTTCATTGATAGCACACTTTATCGTTGCTTTATATACTAGGTTACCAGATAGGAAGGCTGGCTTCTAATCGTTAAAGATTTGGATTATAAAGCTCCACAATCCTATTTGTTGATCAATTGGAATATGTTTCTTTGTTTGACTAAAACTATATGCTTTGTTGGATTCACAATTGCGTCTTTGTTCAGTTCATATTGTGATCAGATGCTAATTTGGCATGTCATGCTCACCTGCTGTTCCCATAGATCCTGTTAACTTATTTTCAGGGATTGATGTGTTTTGCAACTTTCTTTTGGGTCTTGGGGACCTTATAACATTTGCATGATGGGCTTGCATTGGTGGTCCTTTTGGGGTCCAACCAAGTATCAAGATCTTTGTTTTATTACATCATCTTTGTTTTCATATTATATTATTCATTTTTCATATTTGTTTTCTTTCTTTTATCATTTTGCTGGTATATTTGAAGATATGCCCAATGTAATGTTAAATACTTAACTGCCAACCCAACCAGGTTTACCAGTGTTCTCATGGCGTATTTTTCTTCCGTTAAGTCACTTAAAGCTGGAATTAGATTCTAATGCCGTCACTGTCCATTAATTCTGGGGACATATGTTCACTTGAACGCCTTTTTTTTTTTTTAAATGTATTCATTTCAAAGCTTAAATTTATGTAAATAGATATACGTGAATGCCATATTAGCAGTACTCAAAAAGTGTAGATGAGCAATATTTTTGAAAATGATTAATATTTAAGAAGGATTTAAATCAATGATTCAACATAGAAAATAAGGGAATAGCGTTATGGAAACAAAACTAACCAGGGGATGGAGAGAGTTGAGCTTAAAACTACGTTAGGACTCTAGGAGTTGAATATCAAAAAAGGTGGGGTTAGAAAGATTTAAATGAAATTTCTTAAATGAAATTCATGATTTTTTTATTAAAAATAATTAATAAAAATTCAAATCTCTAGATTAAAAGTTTTTGTTTATAAATTATGAAAAATTTAAAATACTTTTGAAAATTTTTGATATATTTTTAGATAGATATTTTTATTAAATATTAATCAAATTTAAATTATTAATTGAATTTTTAATAATTTTTATGTATTATTTTTATCAGACTCTATCAATTTGATTTTGTATTGAAGTTTTTATCGAGTTGTCTCATTAAAAAATTTCATTTAAAATTTGCCTCGCTGCAAGTTTCCCTTACTCAGTTTCTCCTGTAAGGGAGGGCGAATTGTTGACCTTTCTTCTTTTTCTTTTTTTTGTTATTTATTTATTTAGGGGTCGACTTGTTGAACTTTCGCTAATCCAATAATTATAACTTGTACTTCATTTATTTCCTTTGCTTTTTAGACACAGAATTTTCAACTTTGATTATTTTCTCCTTCTCTTTTATTCAATAAATTCAGTTTCTCCGAAGGCGACTTGTTGACCTTTCTTATTCTTTCCTTTTTTTTTTTGTGGGGGGGAGCGGGGGTAGACTTGTTGACCTTTCGCTAATCCAATAATTATAACTTTTAAGTGATTTATTTCCTTTGCTTTTTATATAAAGAATTTTCACCTTTGATTATATTTTCTTTTCTTTTTTTTATGTAATAACTTATTTTTTTTCAGATACAAGTTATACTATTAGTTTAAAATCAATTAGTTAACTTGAAATCTCATATAAATTATAAAACATTTACCAAAACTTTATGATTTGAAAAGTCTGCTCAATACCAGACATGAATCTCACTTATTTGGGACATTACTTTTGATGATTTTATTGCAGGAGGCTGTAGAGACATATTTTTTTATTTCTATTAAAATATAAGATATGTTATTGACTCAAAATTAATTGGTTTCAATTAACATAGAATCTAGTGTAAACCACAACACATACATTCAAATTTCCCAACATGAGAAGCCTATGCAATAAATTTTTTAAGATAGTCTTTTTTTTAACGGGGTTGATAAGAATAATCAGTGATCCTTATTTTGGTTATCATTCTATTAATTTCGGACTTTAAACTATGGTTAATACATATTTATTTTGAATTTATTGATTCCAATCAAAATTCCAAAGTTCATTTATCTTCTCCCCTTCAACACGTAATTCATTCCAAGTCCATGAACCACCAATTACGCACATGTTATAAAATCCAAAGCATACTGATGATGCCCAAAGAAAGAAAGGCTAAAATGTTAACTTCACTTTGTTTCATCTCTCTTTTCCTCTTGGTCTTGTCTCCTTTTGCATCTTCTACCTTGTTGTTCCAGGTATGTCTTTTCTGCCAACTGGCAGAGACCACTTTGGTTTTGGTTAAAACATGATTTTTGATGTTTGAGGATTTGAATTTGATGTAATTTCAGGGTTTCAACTGGGAATCATGCAACAAGACAGGTGGATGGTACAACTTTCTCCAGAACTCCGTTTCTGATATTGCTAACGCTGGTGTTACTCATGTTTGGCTCCCACCACCCTCCCAGTCCGCTGCCCGCGAGGGTACTGGTCTCCAATTGAATTCTTCATTGATCAAAGATATGTCAACTGATGTGAATGATTAGATGAATATTCTGATTAATCTGTCAAAGGATATAGTTTTGATTATTGTGGCAGATGGCTTTTTTCTCTTCTATAGAATTCAGGGCTTGTATTTGTTTGAAATTTTCCTGTCATAGCAATCTTTGACTGTATTGACTATGTTCACATTCTAAAGGAGTTCATCCTTTATTCAGGATACTTGCCAGGAAGGCTATACGATCTTGATGCATCAAAGTATGGATCTCAGGCTGAATTGAAGTCATTGGTTGATGCTTTCCATCAAAAGGGAATCAAGTGTGTTGCTGACATAGTAATAAACCATAGAACAGCAGAGAGGCAAGATGACAGGGGTATATATTGCATTTTTGAAGGTGGAACTCCGGATGACCGTCTAGACTGGGGACCATCCTTCATTTGCAAAGATGATACTGCCTATTCTGATGGCACTGGGAATCCCGACACCGGACTAGGCTACGGCGCTGCCCCTGACATTGATCATCTAAATCCAAGGGTACAAAAAGAATTATCAGATTGGTTGAATTGGTTAAAGACTGAAATTGGATTTGATGGATGGCGTTTTGATTTTGTAAGAGGCTATGCCCCAAGCATTACCAAAATCTATATGGATCAAACTTCACCAGATTTTGCAGTTGGGCAGAAATGGGAAGACTTAATTCTCGGACAAGAAGATTCACATCGTACTGCACTAAAAGATTGGGTTGAAGCTGCTGGAGGGGTTGTTACAGCATTTGATTTCACTACAAAAGGGGTTCTTAATGCCGCAGTGAAAGGGGAGTTGTGGAGGTTGAAGGACTCCAGTGGGAAACCTCCTGGAATGATTGGACTTTTACCTCAAAATGCTGTTACTTTCATAGACAGTCACGACACTGGATCCACCCAAAATCTTTGGCCATTCCCATCTGATAAAGTAATGCAGGGATATGCTTATATTCTCACCCATCCTGGCATCCCTACCATAGTAAGTTCACACTGGCAAAAGCAATCAGCGTTTTCTTCTTAATATACTTGGTTAATGGTATAGGTTGTTAAATGCTCAGCCTAACGGAAAACTTTGTTTCTTCCTGTGCAGTTTTATGATCACTTCTTTTATCCTTTCGGTTTGAAGGATGAGATTAATAAACTGGTGGCAATCAGGAACAGGCATGGGATTAATGCCACAAGCACAGTTAATATTCTGGCTTCTGATTTCAACCTTTATATGGCTTCTATTGATGATAAAATCATCATGAAGATTGGGTCAAAGCTGGATCTTGGAAACCTTGTTCCTTCCAACTACCGGCTTGCTACCTCAGGGAACAACTATGCAGTGTGGGAGAAGAGGTGACAACTTGAAATAAAAAAGACTCAAATTGGTCGTTTGGAATTGTCATTTAAGTGACGTTCTAAAGAGTGTCCATCGTTGCATCTTTTAGAACTAATTTGATAAGTCCTGTTTGCTTCTTGTTTAAAGGGCTAAGCAAAATTCTTCTTACTTTTTTGGCAAAATACTTCAATTTCTAAATAAAGAAAAATCTATTAATGCTGGTCTAGTAATTATGAATTATCACCACTTTTTCTCTATTCTTTACAATCTCAACTTCACCGTTACATGTTTTTTCTTCCTAAACAGCTTGAAATGATTGGATGAAACACTGAAAGCCAAACCTTATGTAAAGCTGCTCGATGATACCAAAGATGAACAATGGAGACTAAAGTATTGGGATAAGATGCAAATTGAAGAGTTTATTTTTATTTTTTAATTTTCCTTGTGCACTTAAACCCTTTCAACCCTCAAGTTCCAGAAATCTGACCAATATCCATACCATTTGACATAATACTCAATTGTCAAGAGTTTGTTTTTCTTAGCAAAACGAATAGTCTTTGGAGGACATATATCAAAAATGAAAAGTTTGTATTATTTTTTTCTCAAGATTTCTATTTACTAAATATTGCTTTGAATGCAGCATGCATATATTTTTTTCTTTTCTCGTGTGGATGAAGGTTGGCCGCAATCGCATCTTATCTGCTATGTTATATATTTCTCGGTTGTCAATATTATTATTGTCTATTATCTTTCCATCATTCTCAAACTCAGAAACTTTTTGTAGTACCTCTGGATGTTGTTTCGATATTGGCCCATGATCTACGATTTTTGTGAGGTGGATTTCCTTTGACGTAACAAAATGTACAGAATCATATTGGCTTTTGTATAGTTTTAAACTTTAAAGAGTTCTGAGAATATTACCCAAAAAAAGAATCCTACCTGTATACGATGAGACTTCTTGTGAAAAAGGTCTTTATCATTTCCGCGTTTTCACTCCTGCGTAAGTACGAGCACCCATGATTAAGAATGTAAATAATACATTAATATTTATAAGTTATTTAGATTCGATTCAAATAAAATTTAAATTTAATTTGATTATTATCGAATCGAGCTCGAACTCGAGTAATTTGAATTATTGATCAAATCGAATTCAAGTATTTTTATACCTGATTCAAATAGTTACGACCCTAATCGAACTTTAATTAAATACATTTTTATTATTTTAATTAATAAAATATCTCGAGTATACGAATCGAGCTTATTTTTATATATTAATCGAGTTTAATCGAGTGAGCTCGAATAACTCGATTTCGATAACGAATCAAACTCAAGCTAAAAAAATAAAATTCGATCGAGTTCGAATCGAGTATCGAGCCGCGGGTTGAGAGTCGAGTTTCTCACTGTATCAACTCAATTCAGCTCGATTACACCCCTACGCATGACCCACTTTCTTGACGAAGAAAAAAGTCACACTTAAAATTATAAGAATACATCAAACAGTTTATATTTATACGTTATATCTCATTTGATTCTAAAAATTTAAATTATTAAATTTTTAGATTTTTCGTGTATATATAAGATATTTTATTTAAATTTTTTAACGATATAAAATTTTTTACTCATATGTAATCTTATATCAATAATTTATTTCATTCATTTGTGAGTTTTAATCAAGTCTCTCATCGATTTTTCATGCGAGTAAATCCTATCAACATCTATATTGAGTCAAATAAACTCATATTTTTAGTACGTTTATAGATCAGACCACAGCATTCAACTTTATTATTTAAGTTGTTTCAGTGCTCTTTCAAACTTGCACTCATCCTCCGGTCTGTTAACAATCTTCTTCAACAACACCACAACTCGTAACCTTAGTTCTGATATCAATTATTGATGAAATAAGTCACATTTTAAGTCATGAGAGCACACCAAAAAAATTTATACATACATGTTAAACATTATTTGAACTAAAAAATTTAAGCTATTAAATTATTAAATTTTTTATATATACAAGACATTTCATTCAGATTTTTTAATTATACAAAATTTTTAACTTACATATGAATTTTATCTCAATATTTGACACTTCATCAATACTAATTTTTATCAAACTTATTTCTTATTCGAACATTACAACTTTTAATTTTATTCTAATGTGTTTATCAACCTAATGAATACTTGCATTTTCTGTTGTGCAGTTCTATGATCACTTTGTTGATTGGGGCTTAAAGGATGAGATTACTAAATTGGCAACAATATGGAACAAGAAGGCTAACTTCCTCACGACTTCTGTATGAATATTAGTGAAATAAATAAATGTCCAACCCTAGTAATTTTAATTAACCTCATGATCCTTTCCAGGTGACTAGTGTTCAGCTGTCAGCGTATCGCCATCATCTGCATGCCATCACGAAAATGCAATTGTTACGTGAAACGCTTTAAGGGGAAATAATTAAGTATTTTAGATATGAAAGCAGATTATTGAGATATAAAAACGTTAATGTTGCACCCTTGATAAATCGATTTTGAAAGGAAAAAATAAGGATCATGCGACACAATCATATCTAATTACATTTTTATAAAAATAAAAAAATAAAAAAAATAGTAAATAAATTAAAACCGTTGAACAACGTAACAATCCAAAGGCTAGAGTAGAGAGTAAACAGTATGAGGTTGTGTAATTCAGTTGGTCTCTCTTTCTTCCATTCTTTACTAAAATCACAGCTTCAAACCAAAACACTAAAATCTCCGTTACTTATCTTCCGCCAATTACTACAATCCGATCTAAAGCCATCTGATCTCACTTTCTCTCTCCTTATCAAAGCCCTTGGCTTCATCTTCTTCGAATTCACTAAAAGCCAAGATGGAAGCCAATCAAATACATACCCATTTATTTAAATCCGGCATTATTCAACTTGTTTACATTAAAACTGCTCTTCTAAGCTTATATGTGAACTTGGGTTGCATTAAAAATGCTCGCTTTTTGCTTGAAGATATGCCTGACAGAGATGTTGCTTGGAACGCTTTGATTTCTGGGGACTGAAACAATGGTTATGAATTTCCTGCATTTAATATTTTCATTGAAATGGTTAGAGAGGGGTTTAGGCCTCAAGCTACGACGTTGGTTGGTTTGGTTCCGTTTTGCCCTGCCCTGCCCCTAAACAATAAATTCTCAGTCAGCTACCTGCCCTGCCTCTACGTACATAACAAAAACACCGTCGTGTCGGCAAAGAAAAACAATTTCAACCGTAGGCCAAAGCCAGTTCCCGTTGTTATTTCTTCTTCTTCGGTTTCTCTTATTATTTTGGTATAATAATAGCGAGTACTGAGTTGAAATCTGATAACTTGTTTGAGATTATGAAAGTTCACTTGGCTTCTGATGCTGGTAAAGAGCTCACCAAGAAGATCGGCCTCGTTTACCAAATCAATATAGCCCCCAAGGTTAACCCTTTCTGCTTTCCTTTCCCTTTTTTTTTTTTTTAATTTAGATTTTAATTTGATTTGAAAGCTTGTTTCTGATTCTGGGATTTGTTTATGACTTATAGAAAATTGGTTTGATGATGTTTCTTACATTGTTGATCTCAAGAAAGGAGAGGTTACCTAAGGTTATTCCCTTTTCTTACTTATTTTGTAATTCAATCCTGTTCTTGTTCTTTTTTTGTTTGTCTTTGTGTTGGGTTTGGTTATCTTGCTCTGCATATTAATAAAATTGCTGCTTTTCAAATTGTAATGATGGAATAGAGTTTGAAGTTTGTATATTTTGCATTGTTTAATCTGCAGAAGTTTTTGTTACAAAAGATTTTCTTTTTATTGAAAATTGAAATGGTTGCTTGCAAGTATCTACCCACTAGTCCATTGCTCCTTTTCCTGTAGCTAGAATTAAATTTTGTAGCCAGTTAGGACTCTTCTATGTCCTTTTTTTGTATGTCTTTTCTATCATCTTTATTTGGTTATTCAACTCTCTCTATGACAATGGTTGCAGAGCATACCCCCTTTCGTTTTTCAATAGCTTCACCATTTTTTTTTTCCCATGGTAAAAGTGTTACTAATTTTTTGTCAGCTTGCACTGCTTTCCGTTGTTAGCTGTTCAATGGCAAAGTCCATTAATTTTTCACCCAACTAGCAGGTTAGGGGGTTACGGGTTACCTAACTCTCTTTAACATATGGTATTCTTATGTTGAAGATAAAAGATTCTGTCTATTTCAGCAAGTTTTTGGCCGTATGAAATTGGTAATCATGATTGTTCTATTTGTATGTGGTTAATGTTTATACTTGCTCTTGGATAGTCAAGTATGTTTACATTATATGATCAGTTTGCTCTTCTTGTTTCATTAACAAAATACTGCAATTTTCGTTATAAATTTGTTCATTATCCTGATACTCTGATCTTTAGGTAAATTTGAAGGGGGAAAGCCTGATGCTACCTTTACCTTTTAAGGATGATGATTTTATAAAGGTTGCAACTGGGAAGATGAATCCCCAGTTTATTTCCTTACCCTTTATCATGAGTGATTTCTTTTGTTTGTGTGTGTTTGAGGGGGGGGGGGGGGGTTTCGGGCTTGAAATACATGGGAGTTGCAATGTTAATCTGCTTAGGTTTGTCTAACAATTAATACAATGACATTGATGATGCAGGGGTGCAATGAAGATTAATGGGAGCTTGAGTGCAGCTCAGAAATTCACTCCTGTCATTTTTCCAAAGCCTGCAAAGATGTGAGCAGAAATGCTAATGTACTGGTGTATTACTAGGTTCTTTTGTTTCAAAAGTTAAAGTTAGAAAAATATAAAAGGAAACCATCTGTCAACCTCTTTCATCGAGAACACACTTTATCATTGCTTTATATACTAGGTTACCATCTAGGAAAGTTGGCTTCTAATCGATAAGAATTTGGATTATAAAGCTCCACAATCCTTTTTGTTGATCAATTGGAATCTGTTTCTTGGTTCCACTAAAACTATATGCTTTGTTGGATTCACAACTGCCTCTTTGTTCAGTTCACCATGTGATCAGATTTTCAGGGATTGATGTGTTTTTAAACTTCATTTTGGGTCTTGGGGACCTTATTACATTTGCATGATCATTTGGGGTCGAACCAAGTATCAAGATCTTTGTTTTATTATATCATCTTTGTTTTCATATTATGTTATTCATTTTTCATATTTGTTTTCTTTCTTTTATCATTTTGCTGGTATATTTTAAGATATGCCTAATGTAATGTTAAATACTTGACTGCCAACCCAACCAGGTTTACCAGTGTTCTCATGGCGTATTTTTCTTCCACTAAGTCACTTAAAGCTGGAATTAGATTCTAATGCTGCCATTGTCCATTAATTCTGGGGGCATATATATTCACTTCAATGCTTAAATTTATGTAAATAGATACATGCGAATGCCATATTAGCAATACTCAGAAAGTGTAGAATAGCAATATTTTTAAAAATGATTAATATTTAAGAAGGATATAAATCAATGATTCAATGTAGAAAATAAAGGGAATTGCGGAATGGAAACAAAACTAATTAGGGGATTGAGAGAGTTGTAACGGTAATAGGATACAAGGAGCTTAAAATACATCAGGAGCTGAATATCTTGGTATAGAAAGATTTACATAAAATTTTTTAAAATGAAATTTGTAAATATTTTTATAAAAAACAATTAATAAAAATTCGAATTAATGATTGAAAATTCTTGTTATATAGATTAAATATGTAAATTTTGAAAAAAAATTTAATAAATTTTGATTTTTTTATAAATATTTGTACTAAATATTAATCAAATATAAATTATAAACTATATTTCTAAAATTTTATTTATATTAATTTTTTATTAAACTTTATCAATTTGATTTTTATTTAAATTTTTATTAAATTGTTTCAACTAAAAGAATTTCATTTAAATTTTGCCCCGCTGCAAATTTCCATGTTCAGATTCTCTTATAAATGAGGGAGAATTGTTGACCTCCCTTATTCTTTTTCTTTTTCTTTTTTTTTGGGTTAGACTTGTTGACCCATCGCTAATCCAATAAGTATAACTTTGACTTGATTTATTTCCTTTGCTTTCTAGACAAAGAATTTTCGCCTTTGATTATTTTCTCCTTCTCTTGTATGCACCGAATTTTTTAAGATAGTGATTTTATGGGGTTGATGGGAATCCTTAGTTTGGTAATCACTTATTAATTTCAGACTTAAAACGATGTTTAATACATATTTATTTTGAATTTTTTGATTTCAATCAAAATTCCAAAGTTCATTTATCTTCTTCCCTTCAATACGTATCTTCTCCTCATCAACACGTAATTCATGCCAAGTCCTTGAACCGCCAATTACGCAAACGTTATAAAATCGAAAGCATGCAGATGAAGACTATAAATGGAGGATAAGACTCTCCCCCAAAGACAAGAAGTTAGAAATGTTTACTTCACTTTGTTTCATCTCTCTTTTCCTCTTTGTCTTGTCTCCTTCTGCATCTTCTACCTTGTTGTTCCAGGTATGTCTCTTCTGCCAACTGGCGGAGACCAATTGGGTTTTGGTTAAAACATGATTTTTGATGTTTGAGGATTTGAATTTGATGTAATTTCAGGGTTTCAACTGGGAATCATGCAACAAGGCAGGTGGATGGTACAACTTTCTCCAGAACTCCGTTTCTGATATTGCTAAAGCTGGTGTTACTCATGTTTGGCTCCCACCACCCTCCCAGTCCGCTGCCTGCGAAGGTACTGATCTCCAATTGAATTCTTCATTGATCATAGATATGCCAACTGATGTGAATCATTAGATGAATATTCTGATTAATCTGTTAAAGGTTATTGTTTTGATTATTGTGGCAGATGGCTTTTTTCTCTTCTCTAGAATTCAGGGCTCGTATTTTTTGAAATTGTCCTGTCCTAGCAATCTTTAACCGTATTGACTATGTTCACATTCTAAAGGAGTTCATCCTTTATTCAGGATACTTGCCAGGAAGGCTATATGATCTTGATGCATCAAAGTATGGATCTCAGGCTGAATTGAAGTCCTTGGTTGATGCTTTCCATCAAAAGGGAATCAAGTGTGTTGCTGACATAGTAATAAACCATAGAACAGCAGAGAGGAAAGATGACAGGGGTATATATTGCATTTTTGAAGGTGGAACTCCGGATGACCGTCTAGACTGGGGACCATCCTTCATTTGCAAAGATGATACTGCCTATTCTGATGGCACTGGGAATCTTGACACCGGACTAGGCTACGACGCTGCCCCTGACATTGATCATCTAAATCCAAGGGTACAGAAAGAATTATCAGATTGGTTGAATTGGTTAAAGACTGAAATTGGATTTGATGGATGGCGTTTCGATTTTGTAAGAGGCTATGCCCCAAGCATTACCAAAATCTATATGGATCAAACTTCACCAGATTTTGCAGTTGGGGAGAAATGGGAACCGTTATCTCCTGGACAAGAAGATTCACATCGTGCTGCACTAAAAGATTGGGTTGAAGCTGCTGGAGGGGTTGTTACAGCATTTGATTTCACTACAAAAGGTGTTCTTAATGCCGCTGTGCAAGGGGAGTTGTGGAGGTTGAAGGACTCCAGTGGGAAACCTCCTGGAATGATTGGACTTTTACCTCAAAATGCTGTTACTTTCATAGACAATCATGACACTGGATCCACCCAAAATCTTTGGCCATTCCCATCTGATAAAGTAATGCAGGGATATACTTATATTCTCACCCATCCTGGCATCCCCTCCATAGTAAGTTCACACTAGCAAAAGCAATCAGCATTTTCTTCTTAACATATTTGGTAAATTGTATGGGTTGTTAAATGCTCAACCTAACGGAAAACTTTGTTCTTCCTCTGCAGTTTTATGATCACTTCTTTGATTTCGGTTTGAAGGATGAGATTAATAAACTGGTGGCAATCAGGAACAGGCATGGGATTAATACCGCAAGCACAGTTAATATTCTGGCTTCTGATTCCGACCTTTATATGGCTTCTATCGATGATAAAATCATAATGAAGATTGGGCCAAAGCTGGATCTTGGAAACCTTGTTCCGTCCAACTACCAGCTTGCTACCTCAGGGAACAACTATGCCGTGTGGGAGAAGCAGTGACAACTTGAAATAAAAAAGACTCAAATTGGTCATTTGGAATTGTCATTTACGTGATGTTCTAAAGAGTGGTCATCGTTGTATCTTTTGGAACTAATTTGATAAGCCCTGTTTGCTTTTTGTTTAAAAGGCTGAGCAAAATTCTGCTTACTTTTTGGCAAAATACTTCAATTTCTAAATAAAGAAAAATCTATTAATGTTGGTCTAATAATTATGAATCATCACTACTTTTTCTCTGTTCTTTACAATCTCAACTTCACCGTTATTATATGTTTTTTCTTCCTAAACAGCTTGAAATGACTGGATGAAACATTGAAATCCAAACGTTATGTAAAGCTGCTCGATGATACCAAAGATGAAAAATAGAGACTAAAGTATTGGAATAAGATGCAAATTCAAGAGTTTATTTTTCTTTTTCTTTTTTTAATTTTTAATTTACTCTATGCACTTAAATCCTTTCAAACCCTTAAAGTTCAAAAAATCTTACCAACATCCATGCCATTTGAGCTAATACTCAATCGTTAATAGTTCATTTTACTTAGCAAAACTAATAGCTATTTGAGTTCATATATAAAAAATGATAATTTTTATTATTTTTTCTCAAGATTTCTATTTCCTAAATATTGCTTTGAATGCAGCATGCACATATATATATATATATATATGTATGTATGTACACATCTTATCTGCTATGTTATATATTTCTCTGTTGTCAATATTATTATTGTCTCTTCTGTTTCCATCATTCTCAAACTCAGAACCTTTTTATAGTACGTCTAGATGTTGTTTTGATGTAAGATGGCAGTGTTATTAGCCCATGATCTAGGGTTTTTATGAGGTGGATTTCCTTTGACATAAAAAATGTACCATTACCTTTGTTTTTTTTTTTTTTTTATTCTTTTTAAGATTATGCCTGTTAAAAGTTACAATGGCATTGTGGGTACAGAATCATAATGGCTTTTTTATAGGTTTAAACTTTAAAGAGTTCTGAGAATATTAGCCAAAAAAAGAATCCTACTTGTATATGATGAGAATTTCTTATAAAAAGGTTTTATCATTACCGCGTTTCCACTCCTTCACAGGCACGGTACGTATGACCCACCAGAGACCCCAATTTGGGCGGTCCTCATTCGCCAGTTCCCACTCGAGCATCGTGGGAATGGAAGACTCTTTCGTGGGAAAGGACGTCCTTTTTGTTTGTATGAGGTTCACGAACCTGATGACTGATGAAGTCGCAATCCATTATTGTATTTGCCAGAATCCACCTCTGCATGGCGTATATATCCGCAAGATAAGTGTTTTAGTGTAAACACTTCCCTGATTATTCTCAGCCGGAGTCCAACATCTTTGGCTATAATATCCAGGAATGTAATAAGAGGATAAGATCAATGACAATAATTCAATACAGATAACTAATTTGTTGTGAGTCAAGAGTGAAGAAAATAATAACCAGAGATGAATCCAAAACATCTTTGTCGATATTTTTCCTGTTGATTTTTGTCTAATCCACAATACAATCATTGCCTTTTATTTACGGATAAACCTTTCTTGTTTACTTTTGCTGATTTTTTTTTCTAGAGTATCTCAGTTTATGTGTTCACAATGTGCATTGTGAATCTTGAAACAGGCATTGATGCCTTTCTCACCAAGCTTATCTTGAATCTATATATAAAGCCAGCAGCATCACCAAGCTCATCTCAAGAGGCTAAGAGACCAAGTCACCTATAGAATGATTTCTCTCACATCACTTTGCTTCCTTTCTCTTTTCCTCTATATCTTGCCATCTTTAACATCTCCAACCTTACTATTTCAGGTATAGTCATTTATTCCTCTCCCCTTTCTCCCCTTATATAGAGATATGTGGAACTCTGAGGCTAATTGTTGCTCAAAACTTTGATGACATATAGGGGTTCAACTGGGAGTCATGTAACAAGGCAGGAGGATGGTATAACTCTCTCAAGAATTCCATCCCTGATATTGCTAATGCTGGAGTTACTCATGTCTGGCTTCCTCCACCCTCCCAGTCAGTTGGACCCCAAGGTACTTCAAGTTTCAAGTGTCTATTAAGGCACTGAATGTGCTGATGTTTTCAACTATCCAAAAAAATATATATATATTGTGCTGATGATGCATTGATGCCAATTAGGATTTCTATTAGTTATTACTGTTTATATGTTTAAAAAGAAAAACTGAAAGAGATTTTACAGTTGACCAACCATGAAAGAGAAATCAGAATGTGAATATGCATCACCTCTTTGTTTCCTTGCTATCTCCTTTCTCTCCCTTTCCCTCTATTTTATTTTTATCACTTTCAGTTGGCTTTCTAGGAAGCAAATAACAACCATTGCTTTATGTCTGCTGTCCTACTAAAATACAGGATATCTCCCAGGAAGACTTTATGATCTCGATGCATCAAAGTATGGATCTCAGGCTGGATTGAAGTCGCTAATTGAAGCTTTCCATCAGAAGGGAATCAAATGTTTAGCTGACATAGTAATAAACCATAGAACAGCCGAGAGGAAAGATGGAAGAGGAATATATTGCATTTTTGAAGGTGGAACTCCAGATGATCGTTTGGATTGGGGGCCATCATTCATTTGTGGAAATGATAGGGAGTATTCGGATGGTACAGGCAATCCTGACACTGGACTGGATTATCAACCTGCTCCTGACATTGATCATCTCAATCCAAGGGTGCAAAATGAGTTATCTGATTGGATGAATTGGTTAAAGACTGAAATTGGTTTTGATGGATGGAGATTTGATTTTGTAAGAGGTTATGCCCCAAGCATTACCAAAATATATATGGAACGAACTTCACCAGATTTTGCAGTTGGGGAGAAGTGGGAAGATTTTTCCCTGGGGCAGAATCAAGATTCGCATCGTGGAGCTCTGAAAGATTGGGTTCAAGCTGCTGGTGGGGTTGTCAAAGCATTTGATTTCACCACAAAAGGGGTTCTCAATGCTGCAGTACAAGGGGAGTTGTGGCGGCTGAAGGATTCCAATGGGAAACCTCCTGGAATGATTGGACTTTTGCCTCGAAGTGCTGTTACTTTTATTGATAATCATGATACAGGTTCTACTCAAAGGCTTTGGCCTTTCCCTTCTGATAAAGTCATGCAGGGATATGCTTATATTCTCACCCATCCTGGCACCCCATCAATAGTAATTTCTGTCAACCTTATTTCTTATTCGAATATTATTTAATTGGATTATTATGTGTTTATCAACCTAATGAATACTTACATTTTCTGTTGTGCAGTTCTATGATCACTTTGTTGATTGGGGCTTGAAGGATGAGATTACTAAATTGGCAACAATAAGGAGCAAGAATGGAATTAGTGCCACGAGCACACTTAATATTCTAGCATCAGATTCTGATCTCTATGTTGCTGCAATTGATGGGAAAATCATTATGAAGATTGGCCCAAAGTTGGATCTTGGGAACCTTGTACCTTCAAATTACCAGCTTGTTACCTCAGGGAAAGACTACGCGGTATGGGCAAAGAATTGAGATAGAAATCATTGTTCCAACGGAAATGTCGCCAAAAGATATTCTAAAGACTATTTTTGGCTAAATTTATCGTAACTTCTGTATGAATATTAGTGAAATAAATAAATTCTAATACTAGTAATTTTAATTAACCTCATGATCCTTTCCAGGTGTCTAATCTGCAGCTGTCAGCATAATGCCATAATCCGCATGCCATCAAGAAAATGCTATCATATCTAATTACATTTGTATAAAAATAAATAAATAAATAGTAAATAAATTAAAACCTTTAAACAACGTAGCAAACAGTAATTTTGTTTTGAACTCTGAAGACGAGACGCTCCAAAACTCCAAAGGCTAGAGAGTAGAGAGTACAGAGTATGAGCTTGGGCAATTCAGTTGGTCTCTTTTTCTTCCATTCTTTACTAAAATCACAGCTTCAAACCAAAACACTGAAATCTCCGTTACTTATCTTCCGCCAATTACTACAATCTGATCTAAAGCCATCTGATCTCACTTTCTCTCTCCTTATCAAAGCCTCAGCTTCATCTTCCTCAAATTCACTAAAACCTAAGCTGGAAGCCAATCAAATACATACCCATTTATTTAAATCCGGCATTATTCAACTTGTTTACATTAAAACTGCTCTTCTAAACTTGTATGTAAACTTGGGTTGCATTAAAAATGCTCGCTTTTTGCTTGAGGATATGCCTGACAGAGATGTTGTTGCTTGGAACGCTTTGATTTCTGGGTACTCAAAAAATGGTTATGAATTTCTTGCATTTAATATTTTCGTTGAAATGGTTAGAGAGGGGTTTAGGCCTCAAGCTACGACGTTGGTTGGTTTGGTTCCGTCTTGTGGGACGCCTGAGTTAGTGTTTCAAGGGAAATCTGTTCATGGATTTGGAGTTAAAGCAGGGTTAGATCGGGATGCTAAGGTGAAAAATGTGCTTACTGCAATGTATGCAAAGTGTGGGAACTTGGAAGGGGCAGAAAATTTGTTTGAAGAAATGGTAGAAAAAAGTGTAGTTTCTTGGAATACTATGATTGGTGCTTATGGACAAAATGGTTTGTTGGATGAAGCGATAGTTGTATTCAAGAAAATGAGAGAGCATGCTGTGGAAGCAAATTCAGTAACAATTATGAGCCTTCTATCAGCTGATGCTGACCATGAGACTATTCATTGTTTTGCTATTAAAACCGGTATTGTCAACGAAGCTTCTGTAATTACTTCTTTAGTTTGTGCATATGCGAAGTGTGGAGGTAGTGAATCAGCCGAATTGCTTCAAAAGTCATTGCCTCAAGAAAATTTGGTTTCCTTGACTGCAATTATCTCAAGCTATGCTGAGAAAGGGAACGTGGATATGGTGGTAGCATGTTTTGCTCAGAGTCAGCGACTAGATATGGAATTGGATGCAGTTGCAATGGTTAGCATTCTCCATGGGGTTAAAAATCGTGCTTACATTGATATTGGACTTGCTTTTCATGGTTATGGAATAAAGACTGGTCTATGCATAGATTGTTTGGTAGCAAATGGGCTGATAAGTATGTATTCCAGGTTCAATGACATAGAAGCTGGATACTCTTTGTTTTCTGAGATGCAAGAAAAACCATTAATCAGTTGGAATTCAATAATATCTGGTTGTGTGCAGGCTGGAAGAGCAGGTGATGCCATGGAGTTATTTTGTCAATTGAAAATGTATGGACATGTACCAGATGCCATCACCATTGCTAGTCTGCTTTCTGGTTGTTCACAATTGGCTTATTTGCGGTTTGGTAAGAAGCTTCACAGTTTTGTCCTCAGGAATAACCTAGAGGTGGAAGATTTTATTGGTACTGCTCTTATAGATATGTATATCAAGTGTGGAAGCATTGATCTAGCAGAAAGAGTGTTCAGGAGCATCAAACAACCATGTTTAGCAACATGGAATACAATGATTACAGGTTATGGTATATGTGGATTTGAAAATAAAGCGCTTACACATTATGCTGAATTGCAAGAAAGAGGGCTAAAACCTGATAAAATCACATTCTTAGCGGTTTTGGCTGCTTGTATCCATTGTGGTTGTGTTGATAAAGGAAGAAGATACTTCCAGATTATGACAGAAGAATTTGGTATATCACCAAGTCTTCAACACTGTGCAAGCATGGTTGCACTCCTTAGTAGCGCTGGCTTCTTTGAGGAAGCATTGTTATTTATCAGGAATATGGATTTCGACCCTGATTCTGCTGTGTGGGGAGCTTTACTAAATGCTTGTTGCATCCGCCAAGAGGTCAGACTTGGGGAATATTTAGCCAAGAAATTGTATCTCTTGGATTACAGAAATGGTGGCCTTTATGTGTTGATGTCAAATCTTTATGCTTCCAAAGGGATGTGGGATGATGTAGCAAAGGTGAGGCAAATGATGAAGGACACTGGAGGGGATGGCTGTTCAGGAGCTAGCCTGATTGAGTTGACTTCATTTAAATAAATGGATGCCATGCCAGGCCACTCCAGTGTATTTTCTTACTGACAAGACCCAAAGAATTGGTCTGGGCCAGGATTAGTTGCAACCCAAGTTCACCCATTCCACATCTAAGGGGTCAACCATACGGTCCATAGTACCCAACCCGATAATAGCCGGGAACCCGTAAAATAGCCCGTTGAGTAACCCACTTCCTTTCCTCGTCGAAACCCTAATGAACGTGAAAAAACCTTAAAACCGCAACTTTCCCAATTTCAAATTTCGAAAATTGGCGGTCTTTGCTCACCCATTTCCCTTTTCCTTCGATCCCGCAAGAAAGAAACCCATTTCCCAAATTCTCAATTCTCTTTGACAATGGGTGGTGCTCACAGTCGCGAGGATCTGATTTCAGACTCAGACGAAGAAGAATATGAAGAGGAATATGAAGAAGAAAACGAAGAAGAAAATTACCAAGATTTCAAAGACGATACTCCGGAAAGATCTTCGTCAGGTCGAAGAACCAAAATGCCGTCGTCTCTCGACGAAGTGGAGGCTAAGCTCAAAGCCCTGAAACTCAAATACCCATCAGCCAACACCCAAAACCCACCTCTCAAAAACGCCGTAAAGCTCTACCTTCACATCGGTAGCAACACCCCTAAAGCCAAATGGGTCACTTCCGAGAAGCTCACATCTTACTCTTTTATCATGACGTCGAAAATCAACTGTCAGGATGGAGAAGAAGAAGATGCAGATAGCGAAAACGTGGAAAATGGGGAAGCTTGGTGGGTTTTGAAGGTTAGTAACAAAATTAAAGTGAAAGTCGGGGTAGAAATGCAGTTGAAAACTTTTGGAGATCAACGTAGGGTTGATTTCGTGGCGAAGGGAGTTTGGGCAATGAAGTTTTTTAGTGATGAAGGGTATAGGAACTTTGTTAGCAAGTTTAATGATTGTTTGTTTGAGAATATTTATGGGTTTGAGTCGAATGAGGCCAACAAGGTTAAGGTTTATGGGAAAGATTTTATTGGGTGGGCCAAGCCTGAAGCAGCTGATGATTCTATTTGGGAAGATGCTGAGGATGCTTCGTTGAAAAGTCCTCAATCTGCAACCCCGGTGAAGGCAAATCAGGATCTGAGAGAGGAGTTTGAGGAAGCGGCAAATGGAGGGATACAAAGCTTGGCCTTGGGGGCATTGGATAATAGTTTCTTGGTGGGTGATTCGGGTATCCAAGTTTGTAAGAATTTTGCTCATGGGATTCATGGTAAAGGTGTTTATGTGAATTTTGATCATGGGAATCAGAGGAGTACTTCAAAATTCGTGCATTCTACACCGAAGAAGGCGCTTCTTATGAGAGCTGAGACGAATATGCTGCTCATGAGTCCTATGACTGAGGGGAAGCCTCACACAACAGGGCTTCATCAGCTGGATATTGAGACTGGAAAGATTGTTACTGAGTGGAAGTTTGGGAAAGATGGGACTGATATTACAATGAGGGATATTACGAATGATAGCAAGGGAGCACAGTTGGATCCATCAGGAGCCACATTCTTAGGATTGGATGATAATAGGCTTTGCAGGTGGGATATGCGAGACCGGAATGGGATGGTTCAGAATCTTGCTACTAGTACCCCTGTTCTGAATTGGGCACAAGGGCATCAGTTTTCAAGAGGGACAAACTTCCAGTGCTTTGCAACCACAGGGGATGGCTCTATTGTTGTTGGGTCTGTTGATGGGAAGATTCGGTTGTATTCAACCAATTCTATGAGACAGGCAAAAACAGCTTTTCCAGGCCTTGGGTCGCCTATCACTCATGTTGATGTTACCTTTGATGGGAAGTGGATATTGGGTACAACTGATACCTATTTGATCCTTATCTGCACCCTTTTCACTGACAAGGATGGTAAGACAAAGATAGGTTTTAATGGGCGTATGGGAAACAGGATTGCAGCTCCAAGGTTGTTAAAGCTGACTCCCCTGGATTCACATTTAGCTGGGACTAATAACAAGTTCCGAAATGCTCAATTTTCATGGGTAAGCATACATATACTCTTATTCAGGTTTAACTGCATGTTTCTTGTGCTTTTAGCTGCTGAGCTATGTATAATGTACATGATGTAGTTATTTCTAACTCACCATCTGATTTGGAATGAAGAGCTTAGTTGGCAGGATGTAACCAGAGTTATTCGTTGATTTGTCTTGCTGGAGTTATTTGATATCTCTTGATTTCTGTTCTGGTGCCACGAGAATTTTAGTTACTCTGCTTTGCATTATTTATTGATGCATTGGTTATGGAATTGGTGCAGTCTAGCATTTTATTTGAACTCCTAGGTTTAAGATCTAAAACTGATGTGGTTTGGGATATTGCAATTACACATCTTGCCTCAATTTCATTATCCCTTGGTAGAAACATGGTATTAAAATTTGTTGCACTTAGTTCTTTAATATGCTGAATGATTAACTTGATTTTGAATATTCTCAATATGCTGATTTATCAACTTGGTTTTAAGGTTAACACATTTCTCATTTTGTAGCATTCTTTTGTCCAACTTGGTTAAATATTAAAACTAAATCTGCTAGGCTGCTTTATTCACTCTTTTATACGAGAAAAAAAGATCTTTCTTTGTCACATACCGAAGATGAGAATGAGAGTGCCAAGCTATTGAAGTTTCAGGCAAGTCAGGGTCTCCTCAGGGGCTTGACCTAGGCGTAGCAGCGCCAAGCCAATCGAGAAGAGAGAGAGAAGCGGTCAGGCCAAGCTACTTCCTTTCGCTTTAGACTTCTTTATATATGATAGGGTGGAACAGCACCATCTCTGTCCTTAAAAGTTCTTTAGTCAAGCCTTTTCTGTTTAAGTTTCTAGAATGCCGCCAATAAAGTGTGATGGATGTCATGTGGTGACTGGAAAGCACTAATAAGAGTAAGGAAAGACTCCATTTTCGCTTAATAGATAGCTGACCATTGTGCTTGTCAAACATTTTCTCCCTTTTTAGGACTCAGATAACTGTTCTTTCTGTGATTTTCACAGTTCCATGAATGAAACTTTTAATCATGAGTGTTGCTACATTACATAGGTCACTGAGAATGGGAAGCAGGAGCGCCATCTGGTTGCAACAGTAGGCAAGTTTAGTGTAATATGGAACTTCCAACAGGTGAAGAATGGGTCTCATGAATGCTACCATAATCAGGAGGGTTTGAAGAGCTGTTACTGTTACAAGATAGTCCTCAAGGATGACTCCATTGTTGATAGTCGTTTCATGCATGACAAGTTTGCAGTCACTGATTCTCCTGAAGCCCCACTGGTTATTGCCACCCCCCTAAAAGTCAGCTCATTCAGTATATCCAGCAGGCGGTGACTTGCTCAGATACCACTCTTTATTTGGTCACTTTCCAAATGTTACCGAAGAAGTCACTACTGCATTCGTAGAGCTTCTCAATTGTATTTTCCTTGTTAGATTAGGTGTGTCTGCAAGTTTTTCTGGCAAAGCTATTATTGTAATGATCTCGCTATTTGCTAGGAGTTTCTTGTGTATGACTCCTTGTGTTATCTGTTATCAATTACAATCACTGTTGTTTTAGTTCTAAATGAAGCAGTTATTGCTTCCTATGTCACAAAAGTGAATGGCAACTGGCTAGACTTCTTTATGTTGGAGCATTATGTATCTCCATATTTCGAATCCTTTATTGTGATTGAATCAAGCTGTGTCCAAAGATCTTGAAATTGTAGAAAACCAAGACTTTCAATGGCTAGGAAGGGGCAAGTCAATGGCTATCATGTTTTTAACATATGGTGGCATTTTGGTGGTAGTTATTGACGTGGACGCCCTGTATGCCTCCAATTAGGAATTGTTGATAAACAAACAGACAAAATTACCCCAAAAGAAGAAAAGAAAAGAACAGAAACAGAAGAGGAAACAATGGCCGTTGCAGTTGGAAGAGGCTTCTCTGTTCAAGCTTGCTCCTCTTCTTCATCCATATTTCATAACAAAATGTGCAAACACTCATTGGGTGCTGCAAGCACATAGTGGCCCATAGTAAATGTGCCTCTCGACGTCATGGACAAATTGCCTTTCAAGCACAGCAGCCCAGCGGAGACCAACTTGACTCTCTGGACTTGACCCTACTTCTATCCGGATGAAACTTGAGCCAGTGGCCCATAGGAAATTTTCTAGACAATAGTTGAATTTTGCAACTACTCGATAACTTTTTTCTCGGTTATTTTTCCTAATCCAGTTTGGCTGGAGATTATGGGTTTAACCCGCTTAAGCTAGGAGAGAAGACCCAGAGAGCTTGAAGTATATGTTCAGGCGGAGTTCGTCCATGTCGCTTTGCTACGGCAGGAGTTGCCGGAATATTGTATTCACTGATGAGACTCCAAATATTATTCCAGGGCACAACCGTTTGTATCCATTTTGTTTGTTGGTTGGAAACACATATTTCATAGTTTTTTTTTTTTTTAAATAAAAAAGTCATGAATTGAGAATAAGGGAATAAATTACAAATATTGATATTTAAACTCTATTCTTATTAAATGCTACTTTAAGAGTGATTCTACAATTTCATATTTCCTTATTTCATAGTTAATATCATTCAATTTTTGTTTTGAAAAGATAATTATAGGTTTGAAATTTATTAAAATAAATATAATATGAATAACGCAAACTTAAGAAAACCAGATTCTTTCATTCATAACAAACTTACATCACTTCTACAAGAGTTGGTCCAAGCGTCTCAGCCTATACAGACAGAACAATCTTTATTACTTCCTCCGGATCCTCCAGCCATACATGATACAGTAAGCAACAATATATTCTCAAATTTATCATACATCAAATAATCACTAGAATTTACAGTCGAGTAAAAATCTGTCGAAACTTATCGAACATTTATGGCAGCTGTGACAACCCAGATAAAAGGAAGGTAAATTCACAACAGCAAAGATAACACAGCACTTCATTGACTACTTACTTACGCGGGCTTGGATGAATTTGATTTCTTTCTGGACAAAAACATGAAAATCTTTGGGAACAGTGACTTTTTCTTTTTCTTTACAACCTTTGGTTCCGGGGATGATTCAGTTTCTTTGTTATTCACATCGACATTTGCCTTCGGGCTTGCTACAGAGGCAGCAGGAGCAGCGGGTACAGGTTCAAAGTTCATCGTTTCTTTCTTTCCCTCGATACTTTCTCCTGGAGGGTTTCCTCCATGATTCAATTCAGTAGCCTTTCGCCGCTGCTCATGTTCAGCTCTCCACTTTCTCAATTCCTGTTCTACACCTAATTTCCCTTCCTTGGCCTTCTCAGCCTTCTCCATAGCAATTTTTAGTGCTTCCTTTCTTTCAGCCATCTCTCGATTTACTTCTTCCAGTTTTTCCAAGCTTCTTGACTCGGATTGCTTAGCTACCTCAATTTGAGAAATGGCAGCTGCCACCCTCATGTTGGCCTGTTCCTCTGCCTCATGTGCACGTTTACTGAGGTCATAGTACTCCCCTAAGGAAAGCGTTACACCAGCTGGTGAATCCACATCATCGGTGCTTTGAGCTGATTCACTCTCTTGCAACGCTTTGATAGCAGCTAAAGCTAACTTCTCTGAAGCCTTGGTCGCCTCTATCTCCTTTTGAGCTGCAAGTAATCTACTCTCCATGGTACTTGCTCCAGCCTTTGCTTGCTCTGCCTCTTCCTTTGCTTTGCGCAGCTCTTCACGAGCCAATTGAGCAAGTGACTTGGCCTCATCAGCCTCTTTTGCTGCCTGCTGCAGTTGTTTGGGCAGCTCCACCATTTTCTCTCTGGCCTCTTTTTCCTTCATTTGGACTACAGCTATTTCTGACCGAGTATTGTCCAGCTCAGCTTCCAGAGAAGCAACAGCAATCGATGCCATGCCTTCTCTCTGCTTAATGGTGGCAAGAGCAGAGTTTTCCTTTTCAAGCTCTGATTTTAATGAAATAGCAGCCACCTTCAGACAATCCACTTCTGCAGTTGCTTTTTCTATATCGAGCTTCACTTCTTCAAGTTCCTTCTTTGCTGAAGCAATCGCAGCTTGAATATCAGTGTGAGTTCTTTTCCTTGACGTCTGTGACTCATCAATGGAATGTCCATTATTTCCCTCCTTAAGTTTAGATTCCATATAAGCGGCTAATTCAGCTTTCAAATCAAATAGCAGGGCAGAAGCAGTGTCTAGCTTTGATTTCAGATCCTTTGCTGAATGGATTTGCTGATTGAGTTTCTGGAGCTCCTCTTCAGCCTGTTTTAGTTCCTTTTCCCAATGGTGAGTATCTTGGTCTCGGGCCATGGCTGCTCCAATCTTTTTCTCTTCTGCCTCCAAATGGGCAGCATGTGCAGACTCTAAGGACTCCTTTGTGGCAATCAGCTCAATAGTCAAATCTTCCACAGTCTTCTCAACCTCTTTCGAAGCAGAAGCAGCCTCTTCTGCTTTCTTAACAGCTACATCTCGCTCAGTCATCAAAGAAGTGTATTCCTTTCGTAATGCTTCCAACTCTTCTTTAACAGATTTCAGCTCTGAAACTGCAGCTGCGTGCCTGGCTTTAGCAACCTCAAGCTGTGCCTTTGCTGCAACACTAGCCTCATCAGCAATCCCTTGTTCCATCTCCTCCACCCTGAGCTTGGCAAGTTCAGAGTCTTGTTTTGCCTGATTCTCTTCAGTTTGTGCTCTCTCCAGGCTTAGCTTTAGTTCTTCTATAAGTCTCTTTGTGCTGTCCAGCTCCTTTAATACTTGCATTTTTGCCTCTTCAGCATCCTCTGACCGTTTCTTATATTCAGGCATTTCCTCCTGAACTTTCTTAAGCTCTTGTTCCACAAGCTTGCGTCTCTATAGCCCAAAAATAAATTTTAAGTTACATTTAGTGGACATGAACAAAGTAGGCAGAGAAAAAAAGAAAATTTTATAATGGTCATTAATAGTTGATAGAGACAAACAAATTCACGATAAATAGCATTCACTAGACATGAGAAAAATATATTGCAGCAGCATAGATTAAATTAACACCACTACAAATAAATCTAACATACCTCCACAGTTTGCATTTTATGAGCTTTCCAATCAACAATTCCTCCAAACAAGGAAACAGCTTCTTTAACAGATTCGAAAGGTGCAGCCGTATCAATAAGACCTCTATTTAAATCAACTTTCTCTGTCTGTGTAGGACTAACAGATTTTGGGGAATCAACGGTAGAACTGATAATCTTTTGACGAGGCAGAATAAGATCATTGATTTGGGCTACATGATTCCCATTTTTAGCAACTCCTGCCTTAGAGTCAATGACCTTGGGAGAGGATGAAGTATCTTGAATGGATCCAACAGCAATGATGCCAACTTTAGGAAGGGGCAAGGTAAGGTCACCTGATTTCACTTCATGGGAGGAAGCAGAAGGCAAAATCATGTCATTGTCACCATCGACAACAGAAGAACTGACAGTAGAACCGGCTTCTTGAGATTGCTGAACATCAGAAACACCATGTATAGATCCAACAGAAACCCTGGTGACATCTATAGGGGGTAAAGAACGCTCACTGAGTGGTCGTGCATGGTCATCAGGATCTCCAACCTTTGGGTTAGAAGCAGGAGGAACAATCATGTCCTCAGTATGAATATGTGAAATACCAACAGAACCAGTATTTTGAGATAGCTGTTCATCAGAACTGTCATGTATTCCCCCAGTCCTAGAACCTTCCATCAGTCTACCCTGATGATCTGTCTCAGTTTGATCAATGACAACAGATGAAGTTGAAGTTGCAGTATCTGTTATATGGTATTGTCCTCTAATTGGGTCATCAGAAGCATTTTGTAAAAAGGCTGGTTTGGAACTTTCCATTACTGACAAATGACTGTCAGGTTGTTTTGTTCCATTTGTAATGGAAATTGTTGGAACTTCACGAGAATTATGGTCAGTATCTATATAAGATAAAGAAGATTCTGAATGATGTATCTCCTCTGCTTTTACATTCTCCATATGAGAAAACAGCAAGGAGTCCCACCAAAGTGTCTGAAACCAAGAAAACAGAAACAATGTAAGGGACGGTAAAAAACTCACAAGAAATCACTGCCTAATCCTTCTAATTCCTGACAAAACAGTTAATATGAAAATCGGCAATTATATGTTAAACATACAGAGTAACTTTCAGCAAAACAGATTAGTGTCTACAACTGCAATCTTCTATAGTAGATCCTGAATTAAGTTAAGCAGCATCTAAATTCTACATTTTATGGCAAATATATGAGGTAGAAAACAAATTTTGACCAAATAAATCAGGATTGCAAGAGTAAACAAGCATTAAAAATCACGAGGAATCTGGAAAGCAAGAACAGTTTGTCATTTCAAACTTGTTTTCCATCTATGTTTAAGCTAACACGTGCACTAGTTTATGTGTCCCATCTCTAACCAGCCACAGATGTTTAATTTAAGATTCAATCAGCAAACACCTCAACAAGGATTAATAACATCAAGGTATGAACCAACAATTTCAAAAAATACTAATGGAGGCAACAGCTCAACAAATTTAATTACATGCAAAAGCCCCCATTTTGGGCTAACTTCACTAAAAATTTTCAATAAAATGGAAAAATACAATCCAATTTTTATCCCAAATCTCAACAAACATCAAAACCAGAAGGCCATTAAATGATGCAAACTAAGTTCAGGCCCTCAAGTTAGAGGTTCCACAATGATACTAACTAGCAATTTAATCCGCAAACAAACGTTTCTTAGATCATTCATCTGCTAAGAGCACATAATCAAAAAATGCAAACATCAAATAACCAAATAAACTTCTATACCTTAAAAGATATTCAAACTTAATCCTGAAAATTTCACAAATGAATATGGTACATTAAATCCACTCCAAATTCATAAATTTAAGCATCTCCATTTCAATCCCATTTATTTTCTTATTAGCAGATAAACCATATTGGCAGATTAAAAATTTTTCTAGTATTTTCAAATAAAAAGTTCTCTTTTTTCCCCCAAAAGAATCAATAATTTTTAAGATAAGGAGGCAAATTATTATCTAGATAATTCGCTAATCCTGAATTTGATTGCAAAAAAGTTGTGCAAAATAATAATTAAAAAAAAAAGAAAAACGAAAGCTCACAGCAGGCAAAGGAAGCCAATATATTAATTAAGATGCCATAATAGATTTGAATTTTCGATTGTTTCTGCAATTAAATGGAGCAAAAATGGAAAATAAATGAAGAAAGTAAGCCTGATTACTTAAGTCAACGTTATAATAAATTCATCCAACTCAAACGCCAGCAATTTCAAAATCCTCAAAGCTCCATTTCCAAAGCTAAAAACATAAACATACGATTTGCAACTTAATTCATAACTAAAGCATCGATTACACATAGATTAATGGAAAAAGGAAAAAAAAAAAAAAGGAAAGGAAAGCAAAGAAAAGAACTTACCCAGGTTAACCAGAAACAAAGAGACGAAAAGCGGAAATGAAGTGCTTATTAATGATTTCTGAAAAATTCAAGACATGAAAATTAAGTTGAGAAACAAATGAAAAATCATTATTAATTTATAAATATATAAATGAAGGTTGGGAAAATTTAGTGCTAAAATTAGAAAAATAGAGAAAAAAGGAGAGAACACAACACACGTGCCTCTTCTTACAGACCAGATCCATCTGTACTCTCTTTCTTGTTTTTTTTTTCGTTTTTTTTGTTGTCTTTATCTTTTTATTTTTGAATTCTGAAGTGGAAAATAAAATGTGAAAACAAAAGGATAATAATTGTGCTTTGTTTAAGGGAATCTCATCTAGGATGAGCAAAAAGGGCAAAAAAAAAAAAAAGTTGTTTTGAGTTTTGACCACAATTTGTGGCTAAGGCTGAAAGGCTTCGATGGCTTAGCTCAACTCAGCTGGCTTTTAGAAAAAATTAGAGATTGCTTTATTCTAAAATTAAGGGAAAGTCATGTGTCTAGCAACATCATTGACGTGACGAGGGAAGCAGAGAGGAGAGAGGAGAAAGAATGACGGAAAAGCCCCTCAAGCTAGCGTTGGAGAGTGAGGCCTAAAAAGTTATCGACGAAATCAAATCAGGAACGTTGATAAAAATCGAAACCAGAAAAACATGAATCCCGATGTTGTTGTTGATTTTGCGTGGAAGAGAAAGTTCTTTGCAGTGGCAGTAGCATAAGAAAGAAAGAAGGAAAGAAAGAAAGAAAGAAGGGGTAATCATTGGCTAAAAAGGAAAGGGCAGCTTGGGAGTCGTGGAGATTCCCTTCTCTACTAGCAATGTTGAACGGACAAACCTGCCCACTTGAATTCCTCGTCGCAAGCTCTAATTGTCAGAGAAAGGACATAATAACTGTTTCTTCAAACTATTAGTACTTTCTAAGTATAGCCTATGAAGAAATAAGCAACTCTTCAACTAACGAATGAATTTGTTCCATTTTCAGTTGCTTTTATCATTTTTATCCAACATTATGCCTGGAAGCTTTTAAATTTAAATGCTGAATTCAGAACCTGAGATTTGGACAAGACCAGAACAACATGTGACACAGGAAAGAACACATTTCTATTTGGGGCAGCTATAAGCCCAAAATATCACCAGGCCAGGCCCTACCTGGATTGACCTAACCAGGAGTCATGTTCTCTCGAAGTTGAGCTTAATCCATTTGCGGACTGGATTATACTGATATAGTCCTTTTTTTTCCCTTCTTGACTGGTATATTCATCAAAATCAAATATTAGTTGAATTGCATGACTTGATATTGACTCGCGGTATCTGATATCGGTTTCAATGGACCCTAAAATTCCATATAAATATATATATACGGCTTTGTTAGGTGTACCTACATAAATCTGCTCAACCAAACTTTGATATCACATTTCTTTCATTAATCACCATCATCTGATCTAAATCTTGCCTTGCACCCAAATAATCAAATTTCTAGAGACCCTGCTTCCAGGATAATCCCTCTGGTTGTTGAGACTAGCAATCAAGGCGGATAACTTAAACCAGAGCAGTTCGTTAGTGAAAGGAAGTAATTAAACTTGTTTTTGCAGCAAATGATTGGATTTGGCATTTAATTTTCTTTAGTTGGCAATTAAAGTCCTTTGTTTAATGGTTGAAACTTGCATGTGAATTCAAACCCAATATTTATTTTCTTCGAGCTATGTACACTCCTAATTACACTAATTGAACTTCAAATGGGGAATTCTTGTTCCTGTTGTTTATACTTTCTAGATTCTATAACTGTGAAAAGTAGTTGACGGAAAAATTTCAGTAAATTGGTTTTCAGAAGAAATCAATAATCTAAAAAACATGTCCCTCTCATTGATGTCTTTATGTTCATCACCAAGTACAAAAACTTAAAAACAATTCTGGTGCAAATATAATAATGATTTCCAGTACCCTAAACCCTACACATAAAGAATTGTCCGATCTATATTATTTCATATAATATAGCATATATCAATTCTGCATGGGAATAAATCATCCTCATCAATTTTTTCATCACAAGAGATCGTGTCAATTATTAGAACTTTTGGGTCAAGTTCTGATTTTTACATCAGCTCCAAGGGGCTACAAAATTCTAAGCGGGTGACTTCTTTGTTTTGGAACATTGATAGCAGCTTTACAACCTACTAGCAATTAGAAAATGCAAATTCCCAATTGGGATAAGATAATATAATTAAGAAAGGAGAATCAAGTAAATTCTCTGCGGCAAATATTGTACAGGGTGACCCGTAAGGCTGTAACCAATGTCTCATACAAATAATATGGTATAGCTATGATCAACACATAAATTATATGGAAAACATCTCAGTAATGTGTTCCTACGAAGGAAAATTAACAAAAATATTCATCAGAAGAAAAGGAAATTGAAAGAAAGAAACATCACAAATTTACTGGGTCAAATTTTTTCGTCTTGGATCTGTAATATATATCTTCCAATGCTCGTCTTTGAACCCTGCCTTTCCAGCCTTTTTTCTATCCCAATCCAATTCAATCTTTCTTCGCTTTGTTAACCCACAAAACTTCTGCAACGTCTCATCCATGGCGTCATGAAACTTCCACCATCTCTGATGGGCCACATCGCTGGCATAAACACGTTGATCCCCTATATTCCAGTTACAATCATAGTCCCTGTAACAAAGCCAAGGCTTCAATCCCAAGTAATGAATCGCATAAAGTTTTGGTGGGTCAGATCCAAAAAGCTGGTTCTTTAAACCAGATTCTACGGTGCTGTTGGACCAAAAATTCTTGAGAAAATTCACTCTCCTTGGTAAACGGTGCCACCAAACGAACACTTCATTCAGAAAACCTTGGTCCCCTCCATTGTACGAGAATATTTCTTTACGTTTGTTCATTAATAGTTTAAATGTGCAATTTGATGGCTCAATCACCATAATCCCTGAATTAAAAATCCAAATATCGTTGCCTGTAGCTGTCATTTGAGGGAAATGGAAAAGGAGATCAAGGTTTTGTAAAACAATGATGTCTGCATCAATGAAAATGACCTTGTCATAATCCGTTAGCTGCCAGAGCCTGAACTTGCTGTAGTTGTATTCATTGTAGGTGCCTTTCTCAGCCCGAGGGTTTCGGATTCTTTTGATGAAGCGAAGCTGCCAACCGGCTGCTTTCAGGGCGTCGCACTTTGGTTCAGAGATGGACCTGTCTAGGAGAAGGATCAGGTCTCGGTTGGTTCCGGATTTTAGGAGACTTTGCGCAAGGGCTATGGCACCGCACACGTATGATTCAGAAGAATGTAGCACTGTGGCATAGGCTTCACGCTTGGAGTTCCTTGTTGCCTGTTCGATCGTGGAGACATCAAACACTTCATCGTTTCCTGAAATGATTAATCTTCTTGTTTATTTCTTTGATTTTGAACTTTGAACTAGAGAGTTAATGCATGCTAAGAAAATTGTTTCGGAGAGGTCCCCCATTGGCTTAGTTGATTAATGATTCCTAACTAATGAAAACAATTAGTCGAACATGTGACTTTTACTTTTGGAAACTAGCAGTGGCGCCTGCTGTTTAAAATTGGATGCTGGTCCAGCATTTTCCAAAGACAACAAAAGCATAACTACTGCATCTTAGACTTTGTCCGCAAGCAAAGTCAATTTTCATTTGGATGTTGCTAATCATATCAACATCAACAAATAATTCCTCCTCCTTATTTCATACTATTTTTTTTCCTTCTTTCATTTTCATCTGCCTACTTTTGTTCTTCAACTACTTGCAGAAAGCTCAGTTACCATAATCTTTGAAAATTTTGACAGAAGTGGTGAAGAAATTATGAAAGGAAAAGAAGGGGTTGGTAAAACTTTAGGTCATATGAAGAAAAGTGTGTTTTGACTTTTAGCACCTGCAGCTTTGTGGATAGAGCGCATGTTTCGTAAGCAGAAAGTCATAGGTTCGATCGGTTCACTAGTTCCTATTTTTGTTTGGTTGCTGAACTTTCTATGTTTTTCTTTCTTTGAGTAAAGCAAGAAAATTTTATAAACCATAAAAGAAACAAAACCTGGAATTAAGATCATACCTCGTCCCCATACTGGCAAAGCTAGCTTGCAGGAACCAATAGGCAAAGAAACTTTTTGTTCTAATCTTGCTACTTCCGGTTCATAGTACCACCACTCATCTTCCTGTTTCACCAAATCATTGCATCGAAACACTTCTAACATTGGCCTGCACTTGCTCAGGAACACCACTTTTGTTCTCCAATTCCAGTCCCTTTTCCCATTTTTAACTGCTAGATTTGCTGCTATCAGGTGAACTTGAAGCCTGAACACGTCCCTGGCCCATCCGTCTACAGGGTACTCACAGGGTAGTTTTGCCACAATCAAGTCCATGTTATCGTACGTATTGAAGTCTGGCATTGGCATCTCAGGGCACCTTGGTCCTTCAACTTCTTCCTCTTCGTCAATCCATTCAGGAAACAAATGTTGCCATTCGAAAAGCTCCGAGACTCTCTCGAAATGGATTGGAATTGTTTCTCCATGTTTTTCCCAATCGCTATAATCATTATCTTCGAAGTTTACCATCCCAATCTTCAATCCTCCTCCAATCTCATCAATGAAGGTTGGCACTTCTAACATGGTCAAATTTCTCTTAGGCTTTGGTTTCAGGGCTTCATCTTCGAAAATCGCCTCCATCTTCACCCCTTTTTCCACCTGCATCAATCACATTCACCAAATATGAAATCTCAGAGAACAGACAAACAAATCTTATATATGGAAACAGGAAACAAACCATTGCAACATTGAATTGAGTCAGCTCACCTTACCTTGTGATGGCACTCACGCAAGGAGCATTTAACAAGCGATGCAGCATTCTCAAAATAAACTGAAGAAGATGGGCGCAAAAGAAGTGAAGCATAGATAACCAAAAAGAAAGCAAGAAAAACCAGGTTGATTCTAATAACCAAAGCTTTTGAAGGAGTTGCCTTGATGATTTTTTGAAGGCAAAGTCCTTCACCCATCCTTAAGCAAAGCTGTCCTACCTCAATGCAAGCTCAATATATATATATATATATATATAGATGTAGGTATAAATTATAATTATAATCGTAACCACTTTTTCATAGTTTAAAATAAAGTACAATAATAATTATAATGATTAGAAATTTACAGTATTTTTGGGGGGTGTAGTAGTTAGAGAGCCTAATAGAGATAGGGTGAAATGTAGAGTAAAACTCAAAAGAAGTCGGACCATTTAAAAAGCTCCATCTGTCGTTTCCTTTTGCATTTAGTTTCCTTCCCTTTGAGACAAAAAGGTCGGAACAAATAAAGCTTCTCTTCTATTCCCATCCCATGCTGTTGGAGACAATTTCCCCTTACTTCCCATTTCCCAACGTACACCTTCTCCACACGCTTAAGTACAAACTTGTACAATAATTTTATACATTTTCTTTTTTCATAAAAATTATTTTTCTTCATTTTCTCTAAGATGATACTTGAAATTGAGTTAAGAAAAATGTTTTACTTCAAAATTTCATAGTTTACCTCTTTATTCTAAATACTTTTAAATAAAATTTCTTCTATTATTAATAATTGTATAATTTATTATAATATTAAATACTTAATTTCAATGACAGAATTTAATCTTTACAATCCCTAAGTATAAAAAAATTAAATTTTAAATTCATTTTTTATATATTGAATTAGGTTATTCGCAAAGAATTTTACCTAAATATTGCCATATGTATGTTTATAATTACAATCTGATGTAACATATTAAGTCCAAATTCATTGTCCGAAAAATTTCTTTCCAGATGAAGCATAACACATCATCTACCCTATCCCACCAATAAAATGTGGCAACCCTTTCCTTAATTTTTCCCATTGCACAACTTTACGTACTCAATCCCACCAACAAAAGGTGGCAACCCTTTCCCAAATTTTTTCCATTGCACAACTTTACGCTAAAAGGGTATAATTATCTTGTCAACTTTTTTAGCTATAGTTTAACATTTGAGCATATGAGAAATTAATAAAGCCAAGAAAAAAGGTAAAAAGAGTCGGATAAAATTTACATGATATTTATTTAATAATAAAAATTTTATCAATATTTTTATTAAATATATCTATTTAATAAATATATTAAAATTTATTAAGATTTTTTTTCAATTTTACACGTTTATTTATGTGATAAAATTTTTTAATTTATTAATTTTGATTATTAATTTTAATTTTAATTTACTTATTTTTAATAAAAAATTTTACAAATTTTACTTATAGAAGTTTTTCCCAAAAAGTAAGGTGATATTTTCACGAGAAATTTAGGTAAATAATTACAATAGGAATTTTGTTATTAGGTAGATTAGCAGGCCTTCTTCCAACAACTAGTTGGTTGACTGTCAACTTCTTGCATGCATTGAAATGTCTCTTTTAGCCTTTACAGAAATATTCTAGGCTGCACCAATATCTGCTTTCTGATATGCAGTTTTTCCCTTTTTATTTTATTTATTCAATAAATAAAAAAATTAAATTGTATGTAATGATTTATTAAGGATTTAGGTTGGCCATCTGTATTATCAAAACTTTGCAATGATTTCAAAGGCAGTTAAGTACATGACCAAAGCCAAAATGAAAGGTTAACCATCGAAATTCCGCCCCCAATGTCAGAATGTTGATAATTACCAACAGGGTTTGGAGTCCTGATTTTTTTTTTTTTTTTAATTTGGACAAGAAGATATTCGAACCTTATCATTTCACAAAACATATCATACATTAATCACTAAATCAATTTCTAGATGCTTGATATCCCATCCTATATATTTGGTGAATAAATTATTAACTAATTCTTGATATATTAGGCGTATGTCCGATTGCCTCATCTTTCCGAGGTCAAGCAAAAGCGGTTAAAGAACCTTAAGCATGAGTACTTGAGATCAGCAAATCAAAAGGGAGAAAAAGGGGAGAATGCATGAAAAAGAATTAGAAAGAGTAGGGTCTTGGTCGCTTTGCATCATATATGGGTACTTCTAGTGGATTTATGGGGGAATTAAGAGTAACTTATGGCAAATAATGTGCAAATAAATTATCTGTTGCCTTTTCCTAAAGCTCTTCCTTGATGATGAAGACATCCAACTATTATAAGTAAATGTCCAGAGACAATTGTCAATTCCAACTAGTAGTTAACCAAAATCGTTTCCACATATTAATGCTTTTTAACAATTTCCTCATTCAAAGTATAGATGCATATCAATGACCAACTCCTAGGTTTTCCTTACCTATTTCATTTTTTGGTAACATATGGAGAACCCATTGGATCTTGGACTAAACAAAAAGAGGTAGCTCACTCTTATCACATAAATCCGATCTCTCCCATCCCGAGTTTGAATTCAAGATCTTTGAGTTGATGTAATTGCATTTTTTATGCCATCAAATGGACATGCGGAAGCAACATGCATACTGCCTCATACTTTCACCACATCTCGGATGTGTTGAGAATAGCTTTTACCAGGTGGAATGAATATTAGATCCTCCCAGCCTGAGTTTTTCTCACTCATCTGTATCAAGACAAAGAGGAATAATCTGATTTCAATTCCATTTTGTACATATTACATAAAACTAATCAGCGATTAGATCCTATACCTCCATTTTCTTTAGAACATCTTCCAAGCTTCCAACCTGCTCAAACAGATCAGATCAAATGAATACTAAGAAAAGCAAAACCAAAAAGGAAAATTATACCATTAATAAAGCTAGTACACAGCGATGGAACCATTGAAAGTGTTAAGGAGAGAGGGGGGAGGGGGGTTTTGATATGTAATCACTCATCCATGGTATATATATGATACCATGATACGTTGAGAAACACCGGGTCCTCTTGATGCCCTTGAAACCTTTGAAAGTTCCCTTTCAATATCTTCCTGCACCATAACAAGCAAACAATAGAAACTAAGTTATGCTTAACAACAATCTTTAAATGCATACTGAACAGGAGAACAGCACCTATAACAGCTTGATAGATCAAGCAAACCTTATTGAAATATATTGGGCAGAACCGTTTGTTTTTCTTCCTCACAACAAGAAGGTCAGACTGTAGACAGAGACATTAAAAACAAAAAAAATGAGATCTAACATTGATTTGTGGTAACATAGAAATTATCACAGTTCAGCTCCTTCATGCACTCCTAATATAAAAACAGCATGTCAAAAATGGCAATATCTTTCAGAAACTGTGGAGAAAGAAAATTTCCTGATTCATCAAATTAAAATAATGCTGGGAATGGTTCCCCTATTAACAACAACAAAATGAGAGTCTCTCTACACTAATATTCTATTGCTAATACAGCAAAAATTGCTAATGATTAAAGGGAGAAAATACAACATGGCTACAATGAGTAACCACAGACACACATAAATAAGCTTTTGGTAGCCACTAGCCATTCATGTGATGCTTTGTATGCAATCATGAAAGGATTATCCAAGCTGAAAATGCCTTTTAACCATATTTCCACTGTCAAGGACATCATACATATTTAATAAATAAATATCCTACCTGGAAAACAGGAACTCCATCAAACCCACTTTTGATATCACCAGCTTTCAGCTAATAAACATGAAAAACTAATGTGAGTAATGGTGTAGAATTGTCCAACTAAGAAAGATAACATTTTCATTCATGTATGAATGAATCATTATCACAACTCCATTGAAGCACTGTTGTCTTGTCTAAGTACCCAACATCCAGTCCACATAAAAATTGAAACCCTGACCAAAAATCTCTCTTACTCCTACATGATTATTGAAACCCCCTGTCTTTTATTTTCTTTTTCTTTTTCTTCATTGCCTTAAAATTTCTTTTAAGAAAATGGCAATACACAATCTAGATGAAATAAGTCTACAGCATTGAGTAGCAATGTCAAGCTATTTTGGGATAATGTCATGTCCCCTCATAAGAACGACCTTAAAACCAAATTGCATGAAACACTAACCTCTAATGCATTCTTTATTTGAATTGGATCCGGTAGAAAACGAAATGCAATTCCTTCAACCTTCAGTGAATATACCTATAGCATAAACCAATTATAAAACCAGCAATCATAAAAATCAACATTGTTATTTGCAATCCAATTATAGTTAAAGTTTTAATTTCCATAAATAAATGATAAACCAGTAATTTAAAAAAGAGTCACCTGATCAAGTGTAATCGGCACTACTTTGGCATTACTTCTCAGTTCGCTTCTCCGTAATCGAACCTATGACAAAATGAAACCAAATCAACACAAAAAGCTTCGAATTTTGCTCTGAGTTTAAAAAATTTAACTAACCTGAGCGAGAAACGCCTCGGCGTCTTCTTGGCGAAAGCAAAGCAAGCTAATAGACTTGGCTCCATTGGGATCAGAGATAAGCACGAACTCATTGTTGGAGTTGCTCACTGTGTACACCGCGGTACCGACTAGAGTTTTGGCAACCTGCTCGGGACTCAAGGTGGCAACTGCCGCTACCGCAGCATTCGGCTGAGAGATCGAAGCGAAGAGCGGACGATGCCGGAAAGTCTCCAGCGGGTAAAAACCGAAGGCGAAGGTAGCGGCTAGACGGTGGGTGTGGTGAAGGCGGGTAGCGAACTCGGCGCCGAGACGGTGGATGAAGGTGGAGAGGGATAAGAGAGGGTTTGAGGGAAATGGAGGAGGTTTTGGGAATTCCATTTTTGTTCAAAAAATGAAAAAAATGATGCAATTACGAGCTTGAAATCTGTGTTTTTTTTTGTAAGGTTTGTTTTTCATGGTCCAAATGGTCATAGTCCCATGAAGTGTTTGGCAATTATATATGGGCTTTAGCCCAATTTCATACTCATTTGTTGGATTGGGTTGGGAGTCATTTGATTTTGAAAAGTTACCAATAAAGATTGTACCTTTGGTAATTTGATAAGATCATAAATAACGTGAGAAACTATTTTACGGAAAATTATCTCATTTACTATATAATTTCTAAACTTCACTAGAAGAGCTAGAAGAAAGACACGTACTCTTTAGAATGTATTAAAAAATAAAAATATAAAAAAATAAAATCAAATACATTTATCAATTTCTGAATTTTATTTTATAAATTTTATAAAATTTATAGATAATGTATAAAAAAGGGACTCAAGTCATTTAATATATAATGAGAGGTTCTCTTTTCATCGTATAAAATATTTTATATTTAAAATTTAACACTTTTAGGTCTAATTATTTGGATATTTCTTTTGATATTAAATGAAGTAAGATGAATATTGAAGGTTGCCGAATAAATTCTTCAAGTAATCTTTTACTTAATTCATATGAATTTGATAAAAATAAATGAAAATATATGGATCGAGACGTGAAATTCCAATTGTATAGAATAAATTCACTAGCATTATTAATAGTAACAATAATGAGGGGGACATAGAAAGGTAAGGCCTTTGTACTTACCGTTTCTCGTCAATCTCGATGGAATTAACACAACATTTCGTGATCTTTAGTTAAATGAGGTTTGGATTCCATTACATTTTTAGTTTAGTGTAATTGATTTCATTGCATCATCAATTAAATTCAAATACTAACTTCAATAAAATTCATTTAGTATAAATTTTTTATAATTTTTTTCAATTTTAGTTATAGTAAATTAATTTTTTTAATTGTACTTATAATAATAATTATTATTATTTTCAATTTCACCATAATCAATCACATTACTTATCTAAATGAATCCGAAGATTTTTAGGGCAGGGATTTATATCTATGCTAAAAATTTTATTTATTTATTTTTTGTTCAGTTATCATGTAGAAAGACCAATCTTTGATGTTAAACTAATGTTAGAAGCAAATGTATGGGAGTGTGACACTCGTGACAATGTTCTCTTTATTCTTCCACCACCAAAGGAGAGAGATAGATATTGGAGTTAGTTAAGATCCTTCCACGAGGGCATGTCTTCTCTTCCCATGTACACTTTGTAATTCCTTTTCTCTATGTTGGGTTTAATTTCTTTTCGTCTGTTAACCAAAAGAAGCTTAAACCTAATAATGAAGACGGATATTCTGATTCTCTCAAGGGAACGTGCTTCACCTTCCATTGTTTTTGTCTATAGTTTTCGGTTCCCTTTTATCATCACATTCAAAGCTCTACGCTTTTGTCTTTAGAGCCCCCTCCCATCGCTATTTATTTTGATTCAAATCTCGCATAAAAATTCTTCCCTAACTATTTTGGGAGCTAGCCAAAAGATTATCATGATATTCCTAACAAGTAAAGACAAATAAATTTGGTAATTGAAATTATCTTTATTAATTATTTATTAAAATTTATTTTATTAATGATCTCATATATTTATCCTTTTTTGGCCATTTGTACCATAAATTCTTTATGGTACCACCTAGCTAATGTTGAATTTCTTATATAATATTCTTTACTATTAATTGACTTGAAATTTTTACCTAATTAAAGTTCATTTTTTCAGTCAGTTGAGCTAAACCCAAAGTGATAAAATTTTTAATGACTTTCAACTAGCTAGATATGCAGTGTCACATTGTAAGTAGTAGAAAATTTTAATTATAACCAATAATAAAATAATGTATCTTTAAATTAAACTTTTTAACTTCCTAAGTAGATTAAGGAAGGGAATTACATTAAAATTTAGATATATCCTCTATGCTGGAAGGATATATACATATATATAAGATCATATGTCAACCACAACCGCTGTACATCTATTTTACATGCGTTGAAGAGGTGTTGCTGTACTGACCCATACAGGTTCACTGCCTCACATGGATTTTCATGTCCTTTGTGCAAAAATTTCACAGCCTTTGCCTATCATAAGAGTTCTTTTTTCATTTTTTCTTCTCCTTTCGATTTTTTTCTTTTTTGGGTCAAGCATAAGATCATATACTATATATAGTTAATGCACAGCGTTTGCATGCATCCTTCTTTCAAGGTTTAGAGACTACTGATTATAAGTTTCTTTTTTTTTTCCTTAATTTGCCAGACTAATTATAAGAATAATTAGTTAAGTACAAATGTATATTTAATTATAAAATGGCAATTATGTACCATAATAAGTGACATTCGAGTTTTTCAAATTAGATTAATTACTTCCCCCAATGGAACGACAAAGAGAACGATTCCTGGCCTGATAAAAGCAATAATGTTGAGTATGCACTTCGGGCCCTTAATGCTCAAGAAATTACTATAAATTGAATTTGGGAATTGTTGGATTCATGTAAGAGAAACTGAGCAACTGATAACTATTAGTTATAGCATATGATAATTAGCAATAATATTATGAAGATATGTATCTTGGGGAACTTTACCGAAAGTTAATCATAGTCAAAGCTAAAATATTGAACATTAAACTCTCTTTGGTAGGCTTTGGGCAAACAGTAAATTAGCAACTAAGCTTTGTTTACAACAACTATTTGCCTGGTCACACAGCATAAATTTATTTATAACTTGGAAGGAAATATTCATATTGCAATAATGCAATTTCACTTTAGATCTTGTAAGATATATATAAATATCAATAGAAAAGATACTTTCTCATCCTTTATTCCATACGTTATTTCCTAAATTATTTGAAGGCATCTGGACAGTGTTACTTTTCAAGGACTATATATCAATATCTATATCCTGACTGTTCATCCACAACATTGAGAGCAAGAAGCCAAAGAAACAATCTTCTTAGCATTCTTATTTTCTTTCTGATTCTTAGTTTTTGTATGATGCACTCCTAAGTTCAATGACCCAAAACAGCAAGGGTGCTTGCGATTCTGTTCCGATGAGCATAGACAAAGCTTGCCAAAGGACTGGTCCTTGGTCGCCTGCTGTAAGCACCGGAATAAAGCGTGCAGCGGTGCCCATAACTGAGGATCAGGTGAGGGGTATCTTTAATCGCTATGATGCTAACAAAGATGGCCTTCTTAGCAAACAAGAACTCAAGAACGCTTTTGCCTGCCTCGGTTCACGTATGCCTGGCTTGCGAGCGTTGCTAGCGCTACAGCATGCAGATGTCAACGGTGATGGGTACATCAGTGAGGCAGAGTTTGACAAGCTTGTTAAATATACTTTGAAACGTGGTTACAAATTCAAATAGATCAAGCAATCATAATTTCTAGAGGTAAAATATATAGTTTTGCTGACTGCTTCGTTCTTCTCTCGTAGAATAGACTAGGTTTGACTAGAAAAGGGGGAGGAAGATATGCTATAGATGTTCTTCCCCAAAGCTAAGATGATGTAGTTTGCTTTGTGTATATTCATCTTAGCATGTTTTCTTTTCAGTTTTTAGATGTTTTCTGGTGTGGTGAGTAGGCTGTGTATTTGTAATCTGCCTCTGTGATATATCATGTAGTTCAATATATGTACATTTTAGCCATATGAGAAATATCTATCTCACCACAAAACACGACACTTTATTTTAAGTTCCGATTCTACCCTGACCAGCCCCGACCCCACTATCTATAAAAACTAACGTGGACAGGGAGGGGATTACCTCTTGAACTTGGGCAATCCTCTAGAACGCGGAAATATCATGCCGCTAAATGACATGCTCGTTGACTCAAAACAGAAGACTTTTAGAGACGAGATAAAGGGACGATCGAAGAAAAACGTCCCCTCTATTATAAATTTAATATTAATATTATTGTGGATTTAGTTTTCATATGGAGTCCATATTTGAAGTTGATAAATCCCTATATAATTTTTTTTTATTATGATTAAATAATTATAGTATTATAATAAAAAAATTATAATTGAAATGCTTCGCTAAAAAGGGGAAATTTTTTTTTTGGTAAGTTAACTTTTATAATTGTCAAATGAAAAAATGGAGTTCTTTTTTTTTCATTATAATGAATGAAGAATTTTGTTAAAATGAAACTAAAAGACCTCATAATTTGAGTTGTATATAATTTCATAACATAAAAACTACTATAAATTTATTTTTTTACATTAAAATTTTAAGTTTTATGATATTTGTTGATGCCTAGTTGATATAAAGAAAAAAGAAAAAAAATAATTAATAAAAATAGTATACAATTTTAAAAGTTGTAAGATTTTTTTAAATGAAAAAGAACATAATTCCAAAATATCCTAAACTAAATAGTAGAATAATATTTAGATTTTCAATTTGGAATAGAAAATAAAAGTTAAAAAAAATTAACAGACAATAGGAGGGATATTCTATTCTATTTACTCTGTTTCTCGAGTGAAGTAACTCCCTGCTATTCTTGGGTCTTATTACTGTCATCTAGTGTGAAAGAAAGTGCCATAAACAATTAAGTTGCGTAAATAAATATATTTACTTGAAGCGTAAAACTAATATTAACTCTATTCATCAGTATAGAACAAGATGTGGAGAAAAGAAATTGCAAAGAGTGGCAGCAAATGTAAATGACCCAGTAATTTCTCCTTCACCAATCACCCTGGTACAAGGTGTGAAATGAAGGTATATATTTGTAAGTTACATGGTAATCATCATATTTTCCGGTAAAATTTTCAAGGAACAATACTATCCTTTTCTATCAATAATTGGTAGCTATACTTTCAAGCTGATATTTATCAGAGTTTGAAATTGTTGAGGACCTACAAATTTTGTGGTTAATTTGGTGACATAAAAAACAAGATTATTCTCTTACGTTAACAAAATGACGTTAAACCCATTTCAATGGAATTAATATTCCCTCAAAAAAAAAAAAAAGTAGCTGATTCCCTCAAAAACATGCCAAGATAAACTCAAACACAGAACATGAACATCTATACTATTATGTTACAACTCAGATGTTACTGTTCATGAACATCTGGATTGATGTACACGAAAAAAATTCCTTCTAGATCAAATAATTCAATAAAGAAATCAATTATATTCTAAAAGATAATGGAGAATCGGTTTTTCTATATAAACCAGAGATGTTCTTGTCATCTTATACTTACACTCAGAAACTAACATTTTTATTTTTCTTCCTTTTCTTTGCTGCAAGAGAAAATGGTTTTTTTCTTCCGTAGAACTGATAAGAAGTTACCAGAGTCATTGAAAGACGATTATGGTGAGATAATGACCTTATTCAAGGGTTGTGACGCCAACAACGATCGAAGGCTTAGCTGGGACGAAGTGAAGGCAGGTTTCCAAAAGCTTCAATCGCGTTGGCCCGCCTATAGAACTCAACGTGCTTTTCAAATGGCTGACAAAAACGGTGACGGGTACATCAGCGAGTCAGAGGTGGACGAGCTTGTTAAATATGCCTTGGACCGTTACAAAGGCAAACGTAAAAATTAGATCCATAAGTACTTAGATATAATATAGAAAGATTTAATAATGCATGCTATCTCTGTTACTAGTTGCAGTTTGCCTTTGCATCTGATAGCGAAAAGAAGCTGCAGACCTTTGAGCGTGTAATACGTATGTTCTGTATAATAAAGTATATTGGGACTTGTTTTAAGACAAAAAAGTCTCTCTCCCCTCCCGTAAAGTTCAATATCTTCCGAAGTTTCTCATTAGAGAAAGTGTCCATGTTTCCTTACCTTTAAACAGACGGGCAAATTTCTAAAATGATTCCTTCTTCTTAACAATTCATTAGAAAAAATTAGATGTTCAATAGGTGATCAATTTCAGGGCTTTTATTTCTGAAACTTTTGACTCGAAAATCACCTTGGAACTTGCAGAAAGCTTTCAATCCGGGTATTGTTATGTTTTGGTATGCAAGCAAAACCAGTTCGAATTTGAGTCAGAAATCAGAACAGTCTTTTGTTCTGACTGCATCTCTTGGGCTGTTAGCTTACCCTTTTTCAGGTGTTTCCATTATTTTGACTGTTTGCATCTGATCAGGAGGTGTGAGAGTCCTCCTAGTTCAGTATTTTCTATGATGTTCTCTTCTATTAACCCATACTGATAATTTATCAATAAAGTTTGCTTAGTCAAGAAAAAAGAGTGCTCAAGTTGTTCAAATTCCAGTATTGTGGGTGGATTCTCTCAAATCGATCCGTAATCCACACATAATTGCAACTTTGAATTGCTTACAATTAGAAAGACAGTGGGAATGAGAGTTCTTTAGGCATAATTCAGTCCACATGATGATGCAAATGATCAAAGGAACCGCAGAGAAATAACTTGAATTTCTTACTAGAAGCACACTGATGGCCATGATTCATATGTAGTACTAAAAATTGCAATGATCAAATACAAGTACGTAGATAAACAGTCAGCTGAATGTTAAATCAATAAAAATAGCAACAAAATTAGACCCTGGATAAAAAAATCCTGATTAAAATATAGTTAGTCCAACCCCTCCCCCCAATAAATCTTATGAAACTATGCTCCGTTGCTTTTAAGTTTCTTTCATTGTCCCATCTAAAATTCCTTTTCCACAAACCCTTTTTTTCTCAAAACTGTGCGTAGGCTTTCGGCTTACTCTTCTGCAAAAATGAAAGGGTCAAGAATCACTTAAAGATGGCCACCAACGGATGTTTATCTTATAGGAATCTTCTCAGCAATTATTATATCTCAAAGAATTTAACCAACCCTCTTCAAGATTCATTTTTGTGAAGATAGATATCCATCAACTCAAAGTTAGGTCTAAATTTCTTATCAAGTTTTGCAATGAAACAAGCCACTAAAATCCAAGCCGAAAGAAAGCATCTGATCCAATTCCAATCTACAATTATTTGGCATTAATTTTTTTACGAAAAGGATTACAGTTTAAAGATAAAAATAAAAATAAGAATTATAGATATTAAAATTTGAATCTCAATTAAATGATTTAGCATAATATTTTCTTTTCATAGCATCCGAAGAATTTATCAAAGTGGTTGAAGCAAAATTTTGTTCAGAAAATTTTAGACCTCTTCTCAAATGGAGAGATTCTTGGTCGGCTGCCCCATGAATAGAATTCGAGGTCTTTCCACCTGCAAACCTTGTCCTCTCATATTTGGAATAGGAACCTGACAATCAAATACTATTACATGAAATCATTTAGCAATACACAGTTTATTTGACCTGAGAATATATATCAAGCATATAAATGACGCTTGATTTACTCTCCTGCCATTATATAACATGGAAATTTTAATAAATAAATGCTTTTGTGGCATCTTTAACAACACCTAAAAGAAATTTTTTATATCAAGATTTTTTAGAATAATAGACCCTATTTCATGGGTTCTCTCCGCGAAATTTGATGATAAGGTAATTTATGCTCAATTAATTTTAAAAGTTACACGTTCAAAACAATATTATTTTTTTTTATTTTATATGATTGGAAGAGTCAATGCCATAAATAATATCTAAATGATAATAAAATATTTAATGTGTTACTTAAATTTTAAAAAAAATTATGTGATATTTGAAAAATAAATTTATTAATTAATATAATACTTCTTTTTAATATGATTGACTTTAAATAAAGATCAATTTTTAAAATATAAAAACCACATCAAGCATTCACTATAATTTAAAAATTTTTTATGATATTAACCATATATGCTAAAGCATATAATCGTTATCACCTAAATCTTTTCCACCCACCGAATTTCAATTTTTGGGGCCCTCTCTGGAGATAAGTTGGAATATGGAATTTACACAGAAAGCTAGTAATGCTCTATATAAAGTATAGACCTCAGTTGAGGGAACCATAGCAAGGCAAGCAACTGTCTCTTACACGTACAACTTACTGTTATTACTCCAAAACATGCTTTGTTCTTCAGATTTGCCAAAGGGTATCCATGCTAGTTGCCAAAGGAAAACGGGTGCGCCTTTGCCTTTAACTGAGGCGCAACTGAAAACTATATTCAAGCAATCTGACAGCAACGGAGATGGGCGTCTTAGCAAGCAAGAGCTGAGGAATGCCTTCAATAGCCTAGGTTCTCATCTACCAGGCTGGCGAGCTGCTCGAGGGCTTGATCAAGCTGATAGTAATGGAGATGGATATATAAGCGACGATGAGTTAGATGATCTTGTTAAATACGCTTTCAAATGTGGCTATACCAAATACATCAGAATCTAGTTGCTGATGACCGGCCAGGAATTGTACTTTCTTTTATTTCAGATCTTTCAGGAATAAAATGCCAACAAAATTATACCGCGGATAAAAAAAATCCTGATTATCCAAACCCCCCCCCCCCAATAGAACCGTAGAATTTATGCTGCGTTGGTTTCAAGAGCTTTCATTGTTCCATGTAAAATTCCTTTTCCACAAACCCTTTTTTCTCAAAAGTGTGCGTAGGCTTTCGGCTTACTCTTCCGCATACAAAAAAAAAAAAAAAAACCTCTATTTTTTCCTTTAAGAAGAGTAAAGGACATCAGTCAAGGGTTGCCACCAACAGATGTTTATCTGATAGGAATCTTCTCAGCAATTATTATATCTCAAAGAATTTAACTAACCCTGTTC